TATGTAAAATGATTTTAAACTTGAATACGGGATATTTAGGTAAAATTATTATTCGGGAAAAAATCATTTTTTGGTTCAAATATAAACAAAAAAAATTCATCAATTTTAGTCTTAATATAAAAATTTTATCAATTTTTGTCTCAATATAACCAAAACTCATCATTCTTTGTCTCAATATAAGATTTTTACCAATTTTAGTCTCAATATAACAAAAACTCATCATTTTTTGTCCAAATATAATCAAACCTTATCTTTTTTGGTCCCACCGTCAACAAACTGATGGAAAATGCTAACGTGAACTTGCAAGATTGTGCAATTTCTTCAAATATAAATATAAGGTTTGATTTCTTTTCACGTCAACATTTTTCGTCGGTTTGTTGACGGTGGGACCAAAAAATATAAGGTTTGATTATATTGAGACAAAAAATGATGAGTTTTTATTATATTGGGACTAAAATTGATAAAAATTTTATATTATGACCAAAAATGATAAGTTTTGGTTCTATTGAGATAAAAAATGATAAATTTTAATTTTATTGGGACCAAAATTGATAAAATTTTTATATTAAAATCAAAATTGATGAATTTTAGTTATATTAGAACTAAAAATAATTTTTTCCTTTATTATTTATATAGTATTAGAATCAGGACTTATTGTATTTGAGTCCCATTGGCCCATTCATGCAAAATTTTAATAATTTTGGTGGACAAAATTTTTAATATATATATATTAAATTTAAAATATTTTAAATAAGACACTTTGACCAAGAAAATAGTTGGAAGTTTAGCTAAACAATCATACCTACCCCCATCCATCTTAATTCATGAAATTGTATTTCAATTAATAATTAATAAAATCAAACCTCAAACTTCAACCAGCATTACACTTTGGGTGTGTTTGTTTGGGTGTTTGGATTTTGAGTTGGAATTTGAATAGTAAAAATTTTGAATTTGAATAGTTGTATGATGTGATATGAATAGGGATTGATGTGATGTTTTAAATGTAAAATTAATTTTTAGTATAATATAAAAAAATAAAAAAATAGGTATTTAATTTAATGTTTTTGGGGAGAAAAAATTGGATGAATAGTAAGAATTTGGATGAAAACTTGCAAACAAACACACCCTTTATTGCCTTTCGTACATATAATGAAATTTCACATAAATATGAGAATAGAAAATAAAATTGAAAAGAAATGAAATTGAGTAAAAAAAAATAGAATTAATTGTTTTGTTTGGTAAAATAGAGAATTCAGTTGAGAAATGTAAAAAAAATACACCTATATGAATGAATAATAAGAATAAATGATTAACTGGATAAAAAAATTGTAACGAATGAAAATTCATAAAAAAAAATATTTTGGGTAACTTTTTTTTAAGAAAAAAAAAAACTTATAAATTATATACAATATTTTTTAAAATTATATTTTAGTACAATTTCTTAAAAAAAAATCGTAAAAACTAAATACTTTAACAATAAATTTAATTTAATTTTTGTAAAATTAAAATAATATAACTTTATAAAAAGTATAAAAATTAAATAGTATAAAAAAGATTAAAAAAAAATAAAAATATATATATTTTAATATCATTTTCATTTCTCTGCATATAAGAGAAAAATAAAAATAAAGAGACGAAAATTATTTATTTATCAAATTCCATTTGTTTGACTCAAGTGAAATAAGACAATTTTCATTTATTTGACCTCATTTCTCTATAAGTACTCAACAGTTTGAACAACACACATTGAACTTGGGTGGCGTGGCGTTTGGTACAAAGAATTGCAGAGAAATATGAGTAGATAATAGAATTTGAGAGAAATAAAATTGAGTAAAAAATGCGAATGAATTTTGTTGTTTTGGTAAAACAAGATAATTCAATTGAAAAATGTAAAAAAAATGCAGCTATATGAATGAATCAAATAAGAATAAATGATTAACTAGATAGAAAAAGAGTTTTAACAATGAAAATTCATGAAAATAATATTTTTTGTGACTTTTTTTAAAAAAAAAACTTATGAATTATATACGATGTTTTTTAAGATTACATTTTAGTACAATTTTTTAAAAATCGTAAAACTTAAATACTTTAACAATAAATTAAATTTGATATTTGTAAAATTAAAATAATATAATTTTTTAAAAAAATATAAAAATTAAATAGTACAAAAAAGATAAAAAAAAATTTAAAAAATATATATTGCTACGTCATTTCTCTGTATACGAGAGATAAATGAAAAAAAGAAATGGAGATTTATTTCTCAAATTTCATTTCTCTAACTCAAACAAACAAGAGAAATGAAACCATTTCTATTTCTCTGACCTCATCTCTCTGTACCAAATGCACCATATTGAAAAGTAAAGTTTAAAATAGAAGGTTTTGTGTTTAAATAGAAGTTTGGTTAATTGTTAAAAGTTTAGAAAATTTTAATGATAGTTAAAAAAAAATAATTATTTGATGTAATATTTAATAAAAATATACATGTGATGTGATAATTTTTATTTATTTTTTAAAAAATATAATTATTGATAAATAATCAAAATTTCCAAAAATAGATAAATTTAGAAAGTCTGTTAAACTATTACTTCTTCCATCCATTCAAAATTTTTTATTTTTTTATTTTAGTCTGTCAATTCAAATCTTTCTTTTTTATTTAAATTACTTTTCAAAAAAATACTTTTATTTTATCATCGCATATTTTTATATCAGAAAAATAAAGATAAAATTGTTTTTATATACTTCCATCAAATATTAATATACATAAATTTGTATTTAATGAAAAATTTATTAATGGACATATATAAATTAGTTAATAAAAGAGCGAATTTGGGCCATAGCGTGGGCTTCTAGTCATTGACCTAAATTTCAGGTGCAAAGCCATTTTTTTTACTATATACTTTTTTATTATTTTAATCTATATATATATGACACACTAAATAATACTCCCTTTGTGATTGTTTTTTCTTTCTTTTTTTTTTTATTTTTATAAATTGACAAATTTGTTTTTAATTATATGATAAAGATGAAAAGTAATAAATGAATGAAGGGTAAAAATGTAAAATCTATATTTAACTATTCATTCTATTTTTTTCTTAAAAAATATTAAATCAAACACTTTTTTTTTTATTTTTTATATTCTTTTAAAAATTATTTTTACATTTAAAATATCACATCAATACCTATTTATATCATATCATACAACTATTTCAAATCAAAATTTTTTAATATTCAAATACCAACTCATAACCCAAACACTCAAATAAACACACCCTCAGTGGAACTACCAGAAATATGTAGAATTGTCTCAATTTTTTTTTTTTAAAAATTTATATAGATACGAAATAATTAATTGAACATTTTCAGTAATTGTCTCGAAACTTTTGCCGTGACCGTTTTATTGTGATAATTTGGAAAGTCACAAAATGGTGAGACAAATTATCTCGTCAAATTGACCGAGAGAATATCGAGACAACATATTGTCTCGAAAATACTCGTAAGCATCGTTGAGACTATATTTTATCTCGAATAATCGTGATAATTTATAAACTATGTTTTGTATCCAATTGTTGTGATAATTTTCGAAACTATTTTTGTCTCGAATGACCATGAAAGTTTTTTAGACTATTTTGATTCAATTTGCCATGATAAATTCCGAAAATATGTTATCTTAAACGGACATAACAATTTTTGAGATTATACAGTCGTAAAAAGACAATATGCGATACTACATTTTGTCTCCAAATCGAGACTATATGTTGTCTTGGACAATCATAATAATAATCGAGATGATATCTTTTCTTAACACAAATCGAGATAATAGCATGTACTATATTTAAAACGTCTGTTTTCTGAACTCTTGATCAGTGTTTTTTGAATTTTCTATTAATATTTTATGCACTATTGAATTTGATGATATTTAAAAAAACTAACAAAATATAAAGCATAATATATACTTACATTAAACACCAATATATTTTCATAATATATCAGATATATATTCTATAGAACATCAAATATATTTTCATAGAGCACAATATATACTTTTGTGCACTAATAGATATATTAAAAAATATATATATTTTATTGATAAAGTGATAATAGTTAAAAGTATTTTTAAAATTTTAATAAAAAATTAAAGTAAATAAATTAATAGTATTTATTGTAAATAAGTGTTGAATTGAGAATAATAATTAAATTTTAATTTTTTAAATTTTTTAAAATTAATAATAAAATAAATTTAGACGAACAAAATAAAAAAATAATAATAATAAATTTGAACGAATAAAATACTAATGGTAATGAATTTAGTAAAAATAAAAAGCGTAGTCAATCGTTACTCGTCTGTTGCAAGAAAAGTTGCAAATCTAGCAGGCATTTTTGACCATTTGGTCAATTGTTAGTAATGTACTACTATATTTTTTAATATAATATTTTAAAAATTATATATATATTATTTTTTAAAAAATAAAATTAAATAAAATTTAAGTGTCCGTCCAGTATCGTTGAATAGATGGACACGTGTTCATCGACGAATCACATGAATGTAATATAAGTATTTCTGACGTCGGAGAATTAAAATTGTAAAAAAATTATATTTATGAAATTAATTACGACATACTTTAATTACGATATTAAAATAATAAATTGATCGGTTATACAACTAAAAAAAACCAATTATATCAAACTTAATTTCTCCAAAAGCTCAGTTTACACAGAAATATTTGAAGAGTTTTAAAATTTTAAAAAATTAAAAAAAAATTAATATTTAATTTAATATTTTGTAAAATAATTATATTTGATCTAATATTTTTTTACAAAAATAAATAATATCATATAAGTAAAAATTAGTTGTGTAAACAGAGGCTAAGCCTTTAAACATTTCTAAAGATAAGTCATAAATGAGAAACAGCTCAGCAAAGGCCAACAATTATTTTCTTTTCCTTTTCTTTTCTTACACTACAAATCTACAATACAATAGAATTGAATGGATTGGATGTTCGATTTCCGTGTCGGGCAAGGATTCTTCACCCCATCCATTTCTTGCCCCTTTCCCTTCTCACCAAGCAATCAATCACTCCCTCCCACTGCCCCGTCCCGCGCCTTTGCGTGCCGTGCACTTCACTTCACTTCACTCCTTCCCTCTTTTCCATTCCTTTTTCGGAGTGGAGTCGGGTGTGCGTGCGGGAGATGGAGCAGGAGGCGGGGATGGCCATGGGAGCCACGTCTCTGGCGCCGGGGTTCAGATTCCATCCCACCGACGAGGAGCTGGTTCGCTACTACTTGACGAGGAAGGCCTGTGGGAAGCCTTTCAGATTCGAAGCGGTTACTGAAATCGACGTCTACAAGTCGGAGCCATGGGAGCTCGCAGGTACTGCTCTGCTCCTTCAATTGGGGGATTTTTGTTCGTTTTGGTCTTCGATTGCGTTTCTGTTGCTTTGGTTCGTTGAATTCCTGCTAGGGTTTATGCGTTTGGAGTTGAATTTTTTTTATGATGATGGTGATGGTGGTTCGATTTGATTTATTTGGTAATTAGGTTACAGGTTTGATATGTGGTATGGTTTTGCGTAGAAATGTGAGGACTTTGGTACTTTGATTGTTGTTGAGAATTGTGGAAACTGAAAACACAGAGATTGGAGATGATGAACAAATTGAGCTCTATTGAGCATCATACCATTCAACTATGGTGTGTGTATATATGTATATATATATATGTATAATTGATTGATTTTTTACCAAGCTTTGATGGAGTGTTAGATTCTATCACACTCGAATTTCGACTCTCATTGAGCATCATTCCATTCAACTGTGATGTGTATATATATATTTATGTGTATGTATAATTGATTGATTTTGATCCGAAGCACGGAAGCTTCAAGATTCACCTTTGATGGAGTTCTTGATTCGATCATCGTCGAATTTCGACTCTCATTGAGCATCATAACATTCAACTAGGGTATGTGTGTATATATGTATGGGTATAAATGATTGATTTCGATCCGAATGAACATATTAAGAATTTATATATAGATATATAGATTCGTGCGTGCGTCTTGTGGTTGGTCAAATGGAAATTGTGCTCGAGAATTAAGTTCTAATGATTGCTTAGTGTTCTTGCAAGTTGACGAGCATCATAAATGTTAAACGATTTATATAAACACGGGTATGTATTCGTATATTAAAGTATTTGATTTGAACTCGAGCAAATCGTGCATGAACGATTGCTTAGGGTTGCACTACTAGACGAGCATCGTAAATTTATGATAATTTGTTAAATATGTGTACATATATACGTAAACAGAAGTGTTCGATCCAAATTCGATTGCTTAATTAGAGCCTTCCTACTTTTAGTTTTTTGGTGGATTCGATGCGATATTTATATAACGGAATTAATGAATTCTAAGGACGTTAATGTTTTTTCTTTTCAGAGTACTCGTCTCTTAAAAGTCGAGATCTTGAATGGTACTTCTTCAGCCCCGTGGATCGTAAGTACGGAAACGGGTCCCGACTGAATCGCGCCACCGGACAAGGGTATTGGAAAGCGACCGGGAAGGACCGTACGGTGTACCACAAAAACCAAACTATAGGGATGAAGAAAACGCTCGTTTTCCACAGCGGACGAGCTCCCGAGGGCAAGCGAACGAATTGGGTGATGCACGAGTATCGACTTTGTGATTACGAGTTGCAAATTTCCGGAGTTCCGCAGGTATCCATTCCGCTTTTAAGTTCTTATTTCTTTAGAAACTTCTTCGACGTGCTATGAATTTCGACGGTGATTGACTTTTTTGTTGCTTTTCGCCTTTTGCGTCGGAGAAGGATTCGTTTGTGCTTTGTAGAATCTTCCAGAAAAGTGGTTTGGGGCCGCCGAACGGCGATCGGTATGCACCGTTTGTCGAGGAGGAATGGAATGAAGATGCACTCGTTGTCGTTCCTGGCGGAGATGTCGAAGATGATTTCGCCAATGTTGATGAAGAACGAGTCGATCTCGACCAGGTTTCTTGTCTAAACTTCGAATTTACTGCCGCCCTTTCGCACTCGATTTTTTCTAAGCACGTTAATTTCGAATTCGTCCTTATGGAACACGAAAGTATCTTCGTCGAAATTTAAGACTCGTCGAAATATCGAAAATTAGTCGTGGTTGGATAACGGTGGTTAGATTTTGTCGATTGCACTCGTCATATGTCAAATAATCGTCTGATATGATATAAATATGTATTGTTGTGATATTTTAAATATAAAATATTACGTTAATTTCGAATTTGTCCTTGCGGAACACAAAAGTAGCTTCGTCGAAATATCGAAAATTAGTCGTGATTGGATAACGGTTCTTGTTAGATTTTGTCGATTCCACTCGTATGTCATAAATAATCGTTTGATATGATATAAATATGTATCAATGTGATATTTTTGGGAGAAATTTTCCGAAATTCCCGTCGATTTCACTCCTTGTATGCCACGCAGGACACACCGCCGCTAAGCATGGCTCCCCCTGGTTCCGAAAATGCCCCCGGCCCGTCGATCCATCCGTTTACATGCAAACGCGAGAGGTCGGAGGACAACCCGGATCCCTCCGCTGCATCCAAAACGAAAAAGTCGAAGCCCGAGAATCCCAACGTGAACGGATCCGAGGAATCGACGACAACGACGACGACGACAAATTTTTCCCCGGCGCTACTAGAATTTCCTTTGTCGGAGCCTCTCGACTCGAAAGAAACCCAACCGGCGACGAACACGGTCTCGTTCGACTCGTCCAATTTGGAGAAATCGGTGCCTCCCGGGTACCTAAAATTCATCGGAAATCTCGAGAGCGAGATCCTTAATGTGTCGATGGAACGGGAGACGTTGAAGATCGAAGTGATGCGCGCCCAAGCGATGATCAATATTCTTCAATCCCGAATCGACGAGCTAACGAAGGAGAGAGACGAGTTTCGAAAGCGCGACTGAGGAGGTGAGGAGGTACGTGTGAGTCGTCGTTTGATAAAGCTTATCGATCGATGTATTTTTTTTTTTTTTCGGAACCGCAGAGTAAGGAAGGGTCTTTAGGACAAGTTATGAGTTATGTAAATTTTGCGTAGGTTTATTACTTTAGTTTTGAGAGTGAATCCGTCGATCTAACGTTGTGTTCTCCTGAAACGAATCTAGTTTAATAAAGTTGGTGTCTTTAGATACAATTATGGGTTTTTTTTTTTTTTAAGTATTTTAAATTTAAATTAATATTATTTCTTATTGTAGTATTCAAAAAATTATATTTTGTTCTGTTTTTTATTGTTTAAAAAATAATTATACAAATTTTTTATTTAAATTACAAATATATTTTCTTATATATATATAAAGTTAAAAGCAAAAAGTTAAAATTCCTTTTTCTACAAAACATTATGTATATTAAAATATTATTTAAATAAAAATTTAAATTAATATTTTTTATTTTAATTAATTTTAAACTACAATTTTTATATAATGAATTTTTTTTGTAGCTTTTGATCTATTTATTCTCTCACCAAATAATTTGGTGTGCGTTTGTTGAGTAATGAATTTTTTGTTATTTATTATTTAATTTATTACTTGCTCGGTCTATCTATGAGTCACACTTATTTTAACAATTTTTTTTTTTAATTTATATTATGTTTTAATATATTAATTAAAATTCAAATATCAATAACAAAGAGTAAATAAGATCTTAGATTGTGTTTGGTACAAAAAAATAAGGTTAGAGAAATGGAAATTGTATCATTTCTCTTGTTTGTTTGAGTCAAGAGAAATGGAACTTGGAGAAATAAATTATTTTTATTTCTCTGCTTTCATTAGAGAGAAATGATGTTGCAGTATATATATTTTTTAATTTTTAAAATTTTTTGTACTATTTAATTTTTATAATTTTTTAAAAATTATATTATTTTAATTTTACAAAAAACAAACTTAATTTATTTTTAAAGTATTTAATTTTTACGACATTTTAAGAAATTGTATTAAAATATAATCTTAAAAACATCGTATATAATTTATAATTTTTTTAAAAAAATTTTACCAAAAATATTTTTCATGAATTCTCATTAGTTAAAACTCTCTTTTTATCGTGTTAATCATTTATTTTTGTTTGCTCATTCATATATCTGCATTTTTTTTTAGATTTCTCAAATCAATTCTCTGTTTTATCAAACAAGAGAATTAATTCTCATTCTCTACTAATTCCATTTCTCTTCAATTTTATTCTCTACTATCATTTATCTCGTTTGTCTGCAATTTTATTCTCTGTACCAAACGCCCCCTTAGAGTCATACGGACGGAGATAGTATTTAAGTATTTAATTCTTATGTTTTTTTAAAAAATTACAATAATTTTTTAGTTTACAAAATATAATATATAATCTATTATTTAAACAAAAAAATTATTTTTTTTATACCAATTAATCATTTATTGGATTCATATATAACTGTATTTTTTATTTTTTTTTTACCAAATAAAATAATTTATTTTCTCTTGCAATTGTATTTTCTACTAGTAAATAAATTACAATTAAACAGTTAAGAAACCAAAAAATAAGTTGAAAGTGGGTCAATATCATTATCATGCAAACTTCCACGCAGCTGCACCATCAATATTAATATTACTATAACGATAACCATACAAAATGGGAACAATAAATAATTACATAAATAAAAATAATAATAATAATAAATAAAATAAAATAAATGTATATATATATATATAATAATAAATAAACAAATCTAGAACATTCCAAATCCGAACAAACAAACAATTCGTGGCATCGTAGTTACATTGCATTGCAGCAGAAGACTTGGCTTTCGTCAAACCACGTTTCAATACGACGCCGTATCGTTCTTCGTTTTTTTACGGATGCGCTTGCGCCACCTCCTAAACGATGCCGTTTCACCTTCACCCCCTCTTTTATTTATTTATTTCTATGTACACGCTAACGAACAATTCTTTAGGCACTACGTACTACACTCGCTTGCATTTACACGTTAGGTAATTGGAAAATCATATTGGAAAAATCAATTCTTCTCTGATTTCCACGCTCCTCATATGGGCACGGTTGATCCGAGAAAGATCCGAATATCCGACCCGATTTGTGGAAATTATTATTATTATTATTTAGTAATTTATAGTACTTTTAAGAAAAATATGTAATAATATAAATTTTTATTTTTTTTTTCTTTGGTAAAGAAAAGTTGTATTTTTTTTACTAAAAAGGAAAATGGGAATAAATTTAGATGACAACCCAAAAAAAAAAAAAAAATAAAAATAAATTTGAACGACGGAAGAAGTAATAAATAAATACTATTATTATATTTGACTATTGTTGTTTTATTTAAAAAGTAATAAAATTAGAGATAAGAAAATTAACTTGATCAATATTATACTCCCTCCGTTCAATTTCTATTGTGCCAAAGTATATTTGCACCGTTTTTTAGGTGATTGTCTCTTTGTTATGAATTGACAAATTTGTCCTTAATTGTACGGTAGAGATTAAAAATAATAAATGAATGGTAAAAATGTAAAATTTGCATTTGAAAAATAAAATAGGACAATAGTTGTTTGATGTCCCAAATAGAAAAGTAGGACATTAGTTTGTGAACAGAGAATATTTATTAATAAATTTGACTATAAATATGAAGTTAAAATAATTATATTTACAAATAAAATCAAGTTAAAATAAATTTGACTATAAAAATGAAGTTAAAAAATTTGATTTAATTCATATCTTTATAAAGAGAAAATTAACTTTAACAATATTATATTAAAAATACAGATAAACATAATTAGGTGGTGTTTGCTTGTATTATTCGTAGTATTCATAATCTTTATTTTTTTTATTAAATTAAAATTTAAATGTTTATTTGTTTATTATTTAGTATTCATTAAAATTTAATTTTTGTTAGTGTTCATAATTTTTTTTATTAGATAATAGTAATTTAATAGTATAATATTTCATAACCAAAAAAAAAATATTTGTATTAAAAATATAAAAAATATTGATATTGATTTGAAATTACAATCAAACATACTTTAAATTTACATAATGAAATATAATTTTTATATTTATTCATATCATATTAAATAATTATTTACATTTAAATTTTATTTTAAATTCAACCATAAAACCCACTGATAAATATATTTTTGTTTGATTTCGATTTGAAACTGAACTTAGAATTAAAATTTTAATTTAATGAAATAATTTAATACTATCTCCGTTTCATAAAAAAAGATAACATTTATTTTTTGTTTAATTATATTAACTTTGAAAATATTATTGCTATAATTTACTCGTGTATTTGTATTATACGAGACTAATAAAAATATTGCAAAAAATTCATAATACTCTTTTTATAAGACGAAAGTAATATAATAATTTATAAAAAATATATATATATTTATTGATAAATAACGTTAGAATGGTATTTAAAACATAAACAAAACGCAATTTATTTGTTTTAATGTAAAAAAAAAAACGTCAAATGAAAAAAAAAAAAAGTCTCAGTCGAAGAAGTTACCCTACCCGGCTTGATCCGAAACCCGAATCCGTATCCGAAAATGCTCCTATCCACGGCGTTCACGTGAGCCCAGCTAGGGTCACCGGCCCGTCACCAAGACCTAACAGATTATACATTTACCCAACTACGGTCACCGCGCCGTCACAGAGACCCACCGTATTTCGTAGTATCTAGATTATTCTGGCATACGGTATATATACGCAATTTATTATTTTTATATTATATTACTAATTTATTTGCAAAGCTAAAGTCTGCTTTTCTTTACGCTTTTGTTTTTCTTCTTCTTCTTCTTCATCTATTAAACAATGGCGACTACTCGTTTCCACCCACGTTAGCGTCGATCGGAAGGAACCTGCGAGGACTGCCGGAATTGGGGGTGAACTTGGATCGAATTTTGTGTGCGGACATGGAATCGATTGCAGGCAAGAGGAATTCGTCTGGATCGTCGAGTACGCTAGCGCCGGGGTTCCGCTTCCATCCTACAGATGAGGAGCTTGTGCGGTACTATTTGAGGCGGAAAGTCTGCGGAAAGGGCTTCCGCTTCGATGCGATATCTGAGATCGATATTTACAAGATTGAGCCGTGGGATCTTCCTAGTATGTGCTCTGCTCCTTCTGTTCTGGTGGTTTTAGGTCGTTTTTGTGTTTGATGATTCGATTTTAGTCTTATCGGTGGTTTTAGGGTTTGGCTGGAGATTTTGGTACGCTGCTCTGGCGGTTCGATTGAGGGTGGAACTGGTTGATTTTGTAGGGTTTAGTTTTCCTTTCTTTTTCTTTTTTGTTCAATTTGGGGTTTTGTGGTGTTCCCGGAGGGTATTGTGGTTGTTTTGATTCGATTGGTTTGTGAATTTTGCTGTAGAAGTCGATTACCTATGGTCTAGTGGTCTGTTTCTTACGATACTGCATAGATCTGATTTCCAAACGAAAGTTTCTGCTTGTCAATCATTGAAATTGTGTACGGATTTCTTTGCATCTTTAATATGCTAAATATTGACTAAGATGGAGGAAATGAGGTTTTATTTCCTTATCTAATTTGTTCTTACAGATGTTAACCATATTTCAGTGTATCTTTATCGTGTCAGTCAATTATTATCATTTTTTGGTGCCAAATATGACCAAGTATTAGATTCTTTATTTTTTTTTTTATCTTCAGCAATTATTAACCATATATATATATGCATGTATATTGACACAGATGTTTGCATGCAAGCATACTGTTCTTAATCTTGTTTACATAAATAAGTTTGTTTTCTGCATTATGAAGCTGAAATGAAAGTGATGGTAATGTGGGGTTTTAGGTTTTTCGAAGCTGAAGAGTAGAGATTTAGAGTGGTATTTCTTCAGTGGACTGGATAAGAAGTATGGTAATGGAGCGAGAACGAACCGAGCTACCGAAAAAGGGTATTGGAAAACGACTGGAAAGGACAGAGCCGTCTACCATAAATCACAAACTGTTGGGATGAAGAAAACTCTTGTTTATCACAGCGGGAGGGCTCCAAAGGGTCAGCGGTCGAACTGGGTAATGCATGAATACAGGCTTACTGACACGGAGTTGGGAAAGACTGGTGTAGCTCAGGTAGGATGATATTGTGGCCTTTTCATTTCCATGTAGAGGTTAATCTATATATGTGTATTCTACCGTTTTCTTAGCATATTAAAATATGTGGAAGTGCTAAGAGAAGCTTCTTCAGGGTTAGCTTTTGAAGAAATCGAATTTTGCATTTAACTTACTTATATATGGAGCTCTTACTCTTTATCTTTCTCTCTGCTTTGTTTTCTAAAGCTTAATTAGAGATATAAATGTTTTTAATTTTTGCCATCTGAGAGTTACTGTTGTAAGCTTTCAATGCAAGAATTTGTAATTGTTGAATGTAATATTATTAATAATGGGACAAGTGGCCTGTGGGTGATTTGTTAATTACCAAGTCCTGACATTTTTTTGTTTTCTTTCCTTGCAATCATTTCGGTGGGACAGGATTCTTATGTTCTATGCCGAGTCTTTCAGAAGAGTGGTTCAGGGCCGAAGAATGGTGAACAGTATGGGGCGCCATTTGTGGAAGAAGAATGGGATGATGATGAGTTAGAGACAGAGTTTGTTCCGAAAATGGAGATCGCGGAGGAAGTTGACATGGGTGATGATGCTTATTTGGATGCTGATGATCTTGAACAGGTTTATCCTCGATCCATTTGTAACTTTTAACCAATTTGGTTGTACTACTACCCCACCCTTTGACTTAATCAAAATGATTCAGCTATATGTTACCGAACATTAAATGATGAAAGACACATGAAGCTGTGTTGTCACTTGTCATCATTTGTAGGTGTTATATATGCATCTGACATTTATATAGAAATTGATAATTAGGTCAAGTAAACATTATATTTTGCATTTTGCCTTCGAAATTTAGGTGTCTTCTGGAAGTGAAACAAACAAGATTGTGTTGATCGACTTTCTTAGTGATACATATACCTAGCATGCAAATTTGAGTGTTTTAATGTATACTTGAGTACAGAGTAGTGCTGGAACTGGAGCTTTTGGGCTTGAATTGAGCATGATATACTTAACAAATTATATTTTTATAAGTTGGCGTATTTATTTATTTATTTTAATCTTCGTTTAAGAGCCTGTATTAGTCCCACAAGAATTGTTATTTTCGAATCTAGTTACCTTATGCTATTAAAATTAAAATTTTGAATCCCCTAATTTAAAGTTGGTTGGACCTTCATCCTTTCTGATAAATGATAATTACACATGCTAGTTTATTTTTCTCCATCAATCTTTTCATTCTTGAAAGTTTTTGGAAAAGAAATTACTCACTAATATCATCAAATATAAGTGGGGGACTAAATAGATTAAGAACTGTAGTTTTTGTTTGTTTGTCCGTTTTTCTTTTTAATTGGTCTTATTGAGCTAAGAATTTCTTTGTGCCAGATTCTCGGTTCTGATGTTCCATCCGGCGTACCTCTCCCTTTAAACACCCAATCTGCAGACAGTAGCAACGTGGAGGAAACAACAGAATCAATCAATGATGCGCAACTGTACTTGTTGAATTCTGGTGAACAATATTGTGCGCCCGAACCACAGGAGAACAAAAACTTCTACGATTTCTCCATTCCTTACGACACAGAAGTAAGAGCAGTCAAGCATGAATATATTGGAGAGTCCAGCAAGTCTCGGGATTCAGATGATTTGGAAAACTTGCTCGATAAACCATTTGGTGGTTCTTCTGATAATCTTCCATTTGGCAATGGGGGTTTCCTTGAAGCCAATGATCTTTCAAATCCAATTGAAAATAGTTCCGGTGATTTCAACCTGCTGGATGAATACCTCTCATTCTTCAACGAGGATGATAACAGCCCACATCCATTTACATATGATTCTTCATTGGCTCTAGGAAGTGTCGATTCTCTTCCTGATCAACCTTTGCTTCCTCAGAAGGTAACATTACGCCCCAATTTCAGCTTCCGTTTTTCTAACATTTTGAAGGAGTCTTTTCTAACAGAGTACCACTACAGGAACTGATCGAAGCTGTTGACAACAAAGATGAACATGATGCTCCATCTTTGCCGAACGGACATGTCGACAACAATGACAGTAGTAGCTCAGCAGCAGTTTCTGATAATTTGGATTCTGGCAAATTTGAATCAGGTACTCTAACTCAACTCACTTTCGACACATCCAAAAATGCTTATATATACACACACATGGACGCTCGTGCTTTTGCTCGATTTATAAGTGAAATATCTATCTTTACATACACATATACATGTATTTGTTTCAACAATTTTCAGTTAATCATGTCTTTATAGGTTGAAATGCTTTACAACCAAGTTCTACAATTTTTTTTTTTTCAAAATTATATACTTCTGACATTTTTTGTTTATTTTGGTTGTGAGTTTTGGTTTAAGCAGTAGCTGTTTTTATAGAGAATTGTGAAGGGTCCATAGTTAAAAAAATAAAATAACTGGAAAAAAATATCAAAGAAAATGGAGCCTTAGAATTAACCTTCTTATTTCTATAGCGGTAATGCTTTAGATGCAATGTGAACTTTGTTTTTATGAGAACTTCATATTTGTTATTTGGTTATGATTTGAAATAGTGTTAGTTTGAGTTTCAATTTGAAATGTTATTTTGATTTGATATTTTTTTAGAGGAAACAATGTATTATTATCGGGAATTGTACGAGATGAATAGCGCTGATTTCAGTTTGAAATCACAATTTAACACACCCTAAGATTTAGATATAAGTTTCGGATGTTCTAGAAATTTGGAAAATTTTGGGAATAGTATAGAGTTTGGGTATTTCATTCGACAGTTTTGTGAAAGTAAAGAATCATATATGGGTGTGTATGTTTTGGGGTTTGGATTTTGAGTTAGGATTTGAATATATAATTTTAAATTATAATAGTTGTATGATCTGATATAAACATGTGTTCATGTGATGTTTTGAATGTAAAATTAATTTTTAGTATAATATAAAAAATAAAAAATAGGTGTTCGATTTAATATTTTTGGGGAAATTTTTTTTTATAAATAGTATAATTTTTGGAAAATCCCTCAAATGAACACAACTATTAATGAATATTGACATCAGACAAATGTTCCAAAGTGGTGTTTATGTATTCATAGCCTTAGATTTTTGCAAAAAGAGCAGTTGACAAAAATCTGTTGATCTAACATATCTCCCCACCGGTAAATTGTACAGATTTTGATTATCCATTCCTCAAAAAGGCGAGCCACATGTTGGGCAGCATCTCAGCCCCATCGGCCCTCGCCTCCGAATTCCCATCAAAAGAAGCCGCTCTTCGGCTCACTTCACTTTCTCAACCATCGAGCTCGGTCCATGTCACAGCTGGCATGATCCGGATAGGGGATCTGACCGACAGGAGACACCAGGCATTGGGCAAGCCCGAGAATCTGAACATTGTTCTTTCCTTTGGATTTTCACAAAGCGCGGATGGATCAGCGCGTGTGGAGTCGAGCTTCAGCCTACTACCAGGCAAGTCTTTTGCCTCATCCTTCTCTAGAGCTTGGTTCTTGCTGCTGTTCTTTTGGGTCGTAGTTCTTTCTGTCAGCTTCAAATTAGGGACGTGCTTACGCACGAAGTAGACGACGAATTATCGAGAAAATTAACTAAAAAAAAAGAAAAGAAAAGAAAAGAAAAAGCTTGGGAATAAGCTTTTTTTTTTTTTTTTTTTGGAGTATGAGAAAAACTTGAGAAGAGAAAGAGCAGACAGTTATGTTTAGAGCCATGAATAATGTGGAAAGAAATATTGGCTCTATGTGCTGTGTGTGTTTTTTTATTTTAAATATGGTTTGATGAATTAGACCGTAGACTTTGCTCTCTCTCTCTCTCTATTTGTCTCTTTCTCTCTCTATATTTGGATTAGGACATACTTACTTACATACAGACTTGGGATGATGATTTCAAATGGTTGAAATCCACTGCCTGCCTCACTCTATTATTATTATTATTATTATTATTATTGTTGTTGTTGTTGTTGTTGTTGTTTACCTCTAATGTGACATGGTTCTAGATTTTGGGGTCAGCTTGTTTGTGTTTTTGGGAACTTTGGACTCAAATTTAGATTTAAGTTTTGGAAAATTTTGACAATAGTAAGAACTTGTGTATTTGATTTATATATATATATATATATATGTAAGATTATTTGATTTGATTATCTTTTGGTTTTTAAACTTATTGTTAATAAATAGAGTTAATAGTTCCGAAAGTGTTTTTGTACATTTGGAATTGATAATTTTGAAGGCAGGGGTAGGGGTAGGGATAGGGTTAACAAACTTCGATGTGATGTGAATGGTTTGCTTATTGTTTAACAAATTCTTCGAGAATTAGAAAGGTTCTTTTCAAGTTTGAATTTGTTCATTGGAATCTGAATTCTTCTATTTTTTCATTTTTGTTTTTAAAGTAGACGTAGTATCTATCTAATAATACTAATTTTTTTTTTAATTTATAATATATTACACAAATATTATTACATATAATACTAAAGTAAGTTTATCTTTTTTTTTTACAATAGTCTTGTTTACCATTTTTTTTTTCATCTTAAAATAATAGTCTTATTTTTATAAATAATCATATCATTGTAAAATTACAGAAAAATATAATATAAATATTTCTTAAATTCCGTGTCAAATATAATTCAGATTATAGTTTTGGGATAGATGGAGTAATATAATCTTAATATTTTTAAAATTTTATGCAGAAAAACAAACGAATAGATAGATATAGAAGGAGAGTATATATTAAGAAAAATAAGAGGTTGAACTATACAAAAATTATAAAAACAAATGGTATTTTGATGTTATTAAATGATACTTTAATGTAATATTCATAATGTTTTTTTGTTCGGGCTATTTATCTCACAGTATCTAAACAAATAAATTAGATAAAAAGTAAAATGGTCACAATTTTCAATATACGGCCATGGTGTAAAATTAATATTACGAAAACATAAAATCATGTTTTTAATATACAATTATATTTTTTTCGTTCAATATTCATTATAAGGTATCCATTATCATTATTTTTAGTTCGGATGACGTAATTTGTATTATATTATAATAATTTTTATTAATATATATATTTATTTAATTATTTACTAATTATAATTTTCTTTTTTTTTTTAAATATGTCCAACAAAAATAACACTTTATAGAGACGGGAGAGACAATTATTTAATGTAGTATATCAGAAATACAAGTACGTTAATATGGCTGTGTATGTTCCCGAAGATGCGACATGTGTAAACTCATAATGTAAATATCAAAGTGTCTGTTTGTTTGTATAATTTTGATTTTTGATTTTACTAATTTAATTTAATTTAATTTAATCTTTTTATCAAAAAGTATCAAATCAAACGTACATTCAGTATATATTTATATTGTATTAATTAATTATTTAAAATCAAAATTTATGGTATATTTTTTTATTAAGAATATTTTAAAATAGTCTATTTTTGTATATTTAGTCCTCCAGTGTTAAAATATCTACGTGACACCCGCCGCTGCAAATCAATATCTAACATATATTATTTTTTTATATAAATCATAAATATATTATAATATATATTATTCCCTCCGTCTCATATACTGTGTCTGCTATACTATATACACGGTATTTTAGGAGGGATGTAATTAGCAGATAATTAAAAATGTATTAGTGAAAATAATTATCCTAAATATAAATAATTATAAATTAAGATTAAGATAACTAATTAGTTTAATTAAAATTAAAAATAAAATTTAAAAATTTAAAATGAAATCAAAGTGTGTAATTATTTAAAAAAAAGAAAAGTGAAACAGTAAGTGAGACGGACAGAAACGACAACTTGGACATATTATTTGGGACGGAGGGAGTATTATATATAATTAAATTTAAAATAAATAACAAACTTAAAAATATATATATATATATATATTAAAATGATAAAATGATGGCCCTCAAATTTTTTATTTTTAGTGTAAACAATTATACTACTTTGATCGATTTTAAAAATTTCATTTACTTTAATAAAAAATTATTTTTACAAATTCTTTTATATAAATATAAAGATATTTTAATATTAAATATAATAACTAAAAAAATAAAATGTTAGCTACCAAGATGAGGAAGTACTATCTTAGAGAATCGTCCAAAATGCAAATAATACTTTTTTTTTTTTATAGGAAATAGAAATAATATTAATTTTATTGGTAATTATTATTATAAAAAACCCTGATAGAAGAATTAATGGCATCAAAAACTGCATATGCTCTAAATACCGCGTCAAGTTCTACAGCCGCGCCTCCAAAATTTTCAACTTCCGTTTAACCACCAAAATTTCTATTCCGATTCCGATTTCACGTGGACTTCGTGAGAAGCTATGGATGCCGCCGATGCTCCTGGACAGGGTACAGTCACGTGCGCCGCCTGGATTCGGCGGCCAGAGAGCGCGCACTTGGTGGTTCTCGCCAAATCGGGGAAGCCGTCTTCTCTCGAAATTTTCGCTTTCGATTCTAAGACCGCCTCGCTCTCTGCTGCTCCCAAGGTCAGGTCAATTTGTTCTTATATTTTTGGTAATCAGTAATTTGTGAATTGATTTTTTCGTTTCCTCGTAGCTAGTCACGTGAATCAGTGACCGTCTGTTAGCTAGGTTGATTTTCGATGGTTTGCTTTGAGTAGTGTTTTGAAGTTAATTTTGTCCCTTTCTTTAACACTTTCGAACTTCGAATCATTTTTTTCTTTGTTTATATATATTTGATGTTTTGACTTGTGAGGTATTTATGGAAGCAGTTGGGAATACCATTGTTGGTTGGTGATTAGCTATGTATTAACTGCAGGCAAGGTATGAATTTGGCAAAGGGACGAATCCGGTGGGAATTGCTGTGCATCCTAGTGGAGACCAATTCGTTTGTTCCATCAACACTGGCGATTTGAAGTTAGTTTTCTTGCTTTAGGGTTATATATGCGCTCATTGTGGCTCACACAATTTACAAATTTCTATTAGGTGAAATATTTTACATATCTGTTGGGAAATATAAGTTTTTGGAGTTTTGGAAAATTTTGGGAATATTAGAAGAAAGTAGGGTTCCGTTAGAAAGTTTCCTAGTTTTGGAAAATTAAGAATAGTAAAAAAATTAAATATTTGATGTAATGTTTTGTGGGAGAAAAAATGTTTCTGAGAAATTTCCCGTAGATGAATAGAGCCAAAAGAGTGTTGTGAGCAAGAGTTTAGGTATTTGATGAGATATTTTATGAGATGAAAAATATATATGTTTGAAAAGGTTGAAATATTAAAAAAGTAGGTATTATATGTGATGTTTTGTGAGATAAAAAAATGGTATTTTATTTTATGTTTTTTGAAAAAAAAATTATTGATGATGTTGATGAATAGTATTAAAAGTTCCAAAAATGTATATCTTAACAGAGCTTTATTAGTCATTAATGGTTGAAGCACCAATCGCCTCGATAAAGAAGTGGTTCAATCCTTGTTGTTAATGTGTGTAAGAGTTTTGTTGTTAAAGGAAATTGAGGGTATCACCAGAAGATGGGAAAATGAGAGCAATATGTAAGATAGGATTTAATCATGTATGTTGGAGACTTTTGAATGCTACAGCATGTAAGGAATAGAAATGCCCTTTTTTCTTAAAAAGGGTAAGAATGATATAGAAAGAGAATCGAAAGTGAGTTATTAGGAGACAGAAATGTCACGCGTGAGGATGAATAAAATATTTTTCGATTGTTTGAGTTGTGCTGAAGTTGAATTTGGCAATACTAACGGAAATTTTTAGCACACTACGAGTTCAGTTGTGAATTTGCCAAAACCTATTGCTTACCACTTGCAGATTGTTCGAGGTATATGGTCAAGAAGACAAGGTTAAGCTCAGTGCTAAAGATGAGATTCTATTGCAGGGTATCGTCGGTCAGAAAAAATGCTTAGCTTTTAGTGTTGACGGGACTAGATTTGCTTCCGGTGGAGTTGTACGCTTTTTATCATTACATCATTTGTTATGAGTTTCTGCTTTTATGATGATTTAGAAATATTGACTTGGCAATATATTATTCAAAATTTTCTTATCAATTTGAAGGATGGATGTCTTAGAATATTTGAGTGGCCGAGTATGCGCAACATTTTAGATGAACCGAGAGCTCACAAGTCAATTCAAGACATGGATTTTAGGTAGAAAAGGATTTGATTACATTAGTCTTTTTTTTACTTCTCTTTAAATCTTATGAATATGTGTAGTTTATTAGGAGTATTATTTACTCTTAAATTAGAATTATATTTTTGTTTGGGGGATAATTTGCAAAATGTCGCCTGTAAAATAAAAATAGTTTAAACTATTGTTTTATGAGAAAATTTTAAATGATCATCTCATGTAAATGCTTAAGTTGATGAGGAATGCCTTGTACGTGGACAATTTTTTTTTACGGAATTTTCCGTCTTTATATCATGTTAAATGACCATCTTACCTAAAAATTAAATTTAGTAGGGAAATGCATCATTAATTATGTATTATAGCCTTACAACAGGAAAAAAAATAGAGATAACCCCCCTAATGTTTGTTGAAAATATCCAAATAATTTACACCATTTGGTGAGTTCTTTTTCACATGGTATTATTGATTGATTTTATTTTACCTTTTCTTGGCATCTTACGATTGATAGTTAAATGACTTGTATCTTTGTATTGCTTTATTGCAGCTTGGACTCTGAATTTTTGGCTTCGACATCCACTGATGGTTCAGCAAGAATATGGAAAACCAGCGATGGCACTCCGGTTACAACCTTGACAAGGAACTCTGTATGTTCTATTTAATCTCAAATTCTCCATGTCTTTTCCACCTGCCTTGTTTCACTTATCCTTCTTCATGTAGGATGAGAAGATTGAATTTTGTCGATTTTCTAAGGACGGGACAAAGCCATTCTTATTTTGTTCTGTTCAACGAGGTAGGTTGTGAGTAATTTCTTGAGAATGCATAAATCCATGAAGTATTCAGTGAGGATTGAACACCCCGCCCTAAATTGTGATCGATCAAATCTACCAGGGAATAAACCGCTGACAGTTGTTTGGGACATAAGCACTTGGAATAAAATCGGGCACAAGAGATTACTGCAAAAGCCAACTTCGATTATGGCTACTAGTTTGGATGGAAAATATCTTGCTCTGTGAGTCCTAGACCTTTTTCTAAATCGCAATTAATCTTGTTTCTGGTTAATGTTTCACTTCTGGAAAAGCAAATAAATTTTGGCTGCGTTTAGACAGAAATTTTAGAAGTTTTGGAGTTTCGAAAAAAAATTTGAAGATAGTAAAAAATTTAGGGATTTGATGTGATGTTTTGTGGAATGAAAAAATATTTGATGTGATATTTTTTTTTTAAAAATTACTGTTGATGAATAGTGCTGGTAGTTCTGAAAGTGTCGATGTAAACAGAGGAATTTCTATCTCTTAATTACGAAGTTACTTGGTTTTTATAGCTTTATTTTCTAGATTATTTCTATCAACACTTTCTGACGCTTATACTTTAATGCGATTGATTGGTAGACAAAAGTTTATTTTATCGGTTGGTGATGTATAGTAATTTCCTTGTTCGACATATTATGTGCAAATTATTTGTTCTTCATTTACAAACACAGGGGAAGCAAGGATGGAGATGTATGCGTGGTTGAAGTGAAGAAGATGGAAGTCCGCCACTTGAGCAAGAGGCTGCACTTAGGCTCCAATATTTCATCGTTGGAATTTTGCCCGAGCGAAAGGTCAGTCGAACTTATCACCACTCTTTTTTTTTTCCTATTTGATTTTGCCACAATTCATGATATAACTATGTCAATTTAGCAACGGTCATGAATTTACGAGAGTTTTCACATCTATCGCCCGTTGCCGATAAAATTTAATAGGAACTAGTTTGATCGATTATTCGATCAAGACATAATTCACTTTATCTATAGAAGTGAGTATGTGAATGGATATATAGGCGGCAATGCTTACAACACAGGATGTAACATCAGATAGGGGACGCTTTAGATTAACTTAATACAAATAAAGTATATGAACTAACAATTGTCTAATATTTGTTTAATGTGATATTTTTAATGTAAAATTAATTTTTAGTAAAATGTAAAAAACAAGTGTTTGATTGGATATTTTTGATGAAAATTTTTGAAAAAATAGTAGAAATCCTCAAAAAGTCTCCCATACAAACACGCATATTGATTAGGGGTGGGCACGGGGCTATTTGCAAATATGCTGGTCTTTTTATATCTGATTCGAACCAAACAAATACTCGAAATCGTGAACTGTATCCGAACCAAAAATAAACTCAATTAACCGAAAATATTTGCAACTAATTCGAACCGAACCGAAATAAAGAAAAAATACATTAAAAAATAATTAAAATTCTAAATAAATAAAAATATTTGTAAATATCCGAACTGAAATCAAATCGAATATAATTATTAATATAAATCTTAAAATATAAGCATATAAGTATAAAATATCAAATATGCAGTATTTGTTTCGAATCGAATTTGCTCTGTTATTCGAAAAATTTGATTCGGTTTTTTTGCCCACCCCTATTATTGATATAGTATATCTACAAGGATGAACTGACACTTAGTGGTTTTATTTGACATAATTGTTGTATTAAAAGTAGGTGTTGTCTGTCTGCCTGCATGTTCTATATATATGTTGATTTGTCTCAATCAGCACCTTAATCATCCCCGAATAAATAACTCTGTTTTCTTCTCGACTCTGCAGGGTAATACTTACGACTTCCAACCAATGGGGTCTAATGGCTACAAAGCTCGCCGTCCCCGCCGACTGGAAAGGTCTTCGACTCAATACCTTCGCCACTCATTTCCATTTTGCGTCGAACCGATTATAAATCTAACGAATTATTTCCTCCGCAGAATGGCAAATATATTTACTCCTGCTGGGGCTGTTCTTGGCGTCCATCGTTGCATTCTACATATTCTTTGAGAATTCGGATTCATTCTGGAACTTTCCGCTTCCCGCACACCACCCGGGAGGCGGCAAGAGCATTTTCGAGAGCGATCGGGTGCCGGCGACGGAGCCGAATGTTTGGGGTCCCGTCGACCTTTGAACTCGGCCGTTGAGGATTGTACAATGTCAAGAGTAGAGCTGTTGATGATTCTGCGAAAACTTGTATGAATTATGAATTTGAGTGTTCTCGTGGATCAGGTTAGTTATAAGTATTAACTTTTGTTTTTGCACTATTTATTAATAAAATGAAAAATATTTCATTAATATTTGTTTTACTATTTAATTGTTTTTATTTTAAAATACTTTTGTTTTTTCTTTTTTCTTTTTAATGAATCAGATATTTGTAGTGATTGTTGATATGGGATGAATTCGGACAAATTTTCGAATTTTGCACTATGAATAATAGTGGTCATAAAAAAAATAAAAGTACAGTACATACACATTACTTTAGTAATGTCAAGTTTGAAAGTAAATTTAATTTAACTTTTTTCTATTTTTTTTATTAAAATATACATTACAATGCTTATTAAAATATTAATTTATCTTAGTTCATATCCAAAAGTTAAATAAAATATTTACTAATAAACGAAATGAGTATGTTAGTTTACATTATACTAACATATGATTAGAGCTGTTAAATGAGTCGAGCAAGCTCAAGTATTGATTATTCAAGCTCGATTCGAACTTGTTAACGGTATAGGTTCGGTTGGGCTCATTAAGAGGTCGAGCCAAAATAGTGCATCAAGCTCGGCTAGTTAAACTCAAATTCAAGTTCGCGTTTTTAAATTTTAATAATAAATGTAAATTTTGATAATATATATATATATATTATATAATATATAAATAATATAAATATATTATTACGAGTTTAATTGAGCTACTTGCGAGCCAACTTGAGCTTGATTCGTTTGTAAAAAAAAGTAATTTCGAGCTCAAACTCGACTCGTTTATAGATCTCTATAAACGAGTCGAGTCGAATTTGGCTCACAAACTGTTCGATTTGTTTAAGAAATATATATATGATGATGTATTTGGGATAATATGCCATGTATGATAAGATAATAATATGTGTGCATTTCATGTGGTGCCATATTTTTTAAAAATTTCTATCCAATTTATTATTACTATTCTTATTATTATAATTATTTGATAATTTTCTGTATTTTTTTTTAAAGTCTCATAACATGCTCTTTAAATATATCATAATTTAAAGAAAAAAACTACAATAATTTAGCAATATCACAGCCTAATTTAATAACACTACATTAAAATTTTGAGATATGTTATAATAATAATAATAATAATAATAATAATAATAATAATAATAAATGGACATGAGCAGGATATGCTCAAGGATATTTTAATATATTGAATTATTGAATACCTTCTTTTATTTCCTCAAATAATTACCAACCTGAATAAGGAAATCGACGGCGGAGATTTGGCGATGGAATGAGATTCACGATAACCGTCAAGCAGTCCGGCCCCGAAAAGCTTCACACCTTTTTCTCGTCTTCCTATAAAAGCCCGTCCACGTGACGCTGCTTCTCTCTTCTCTTCGCTTTCCAATTCGCCATTTTTGTTCTCCACTGCAATCTTCGCTATGCTCCATTCACTCACTGTTCCTGAGCTTCGATCAACGATGAATTGCCTCCAGAATTTGCCACGGTTTCGGTTTCTTTCCGCTCTGTTTTTCGGTGGTTTGAACTTTGAGCGTATTGTGTGGTGTCTGTGAATTTTTAGGTTTCGATTTTGTTGATTTGTTTTGGCAGGTACTCAGCTTGGCCTCCGAGGCACCATTCTGGAAAGGCTCCGTGTGCTGTTAATGTATCGTCAAGCTCGAAACATTGCTTTGTTTTGATTAATTTTTGTTGTTGATGTTAATGCTGGTGTCCTTGATCATTTTGCTTTTGTGATTCAGGGTGTGGTAAGAGGTATGGCGTTGTCTTCACTACGTGGCATTGGTGCTAAGGTGGGATCTCTTTTCTAGTTGGATTTGCGCCTTCAATGGAACTAATTCATTGGCTTCCATATATCTATACATATGTATGTATGTATGTATTGGTTTCAGATTATTATTGTTGGTGAGATGTATGCCTTCTGTTCAGTAAATTTCAATCTTGTTTGAAATTGTTTCACCTTTGTGCGAAGTAATATTATCTCAATTCCAGTACTTGATCCCTTAAAAAAATTCCTCATTACTTTATCTTTATACTGAATGAAGTTACTGTTAATTTCTCTTCAAAAGTTAAGCTAAGAGGGAGATGCATCATCTTGTGTTTATTTATAATGATTCCACTAAGCTCTCATGTGCACTTGTTATTCTTGTCTTTACAGAATTTTGTAAATGGGTGACGAAAAAGATCTGAGTTTTTACTATGATATCATGTTATGACCACTTAAAATTAAATATTTAAGCTCACAGGGATTGTATCGCTTTATATTATATTTAACTGCCCCTTCAAGAATACATATTTTAGTTTAGGGTTGCTTGTTAATCAAACTTTTGTTTCGGCAAGGAGCCATGGTACTTCAATTGTTGTTGAATCCTCTATGTTGGTTATTATCTTGTGCAAAATTTCAGGCATCTTCTGGTTCAGCACAAAGTACAGAAAATGAGACATCCAATTTGGATGAAAAATCTGAAACTTATAGTCAAGACATGACTGCAGCTATGGGTGCTGGTATGTGCTGTTTTTACCTTCAATCCGTTTCCTTAGGGAATAGAGAAAAAATAAATAAACATGTTTAGCTTTGGGAACTGGCATATATCTGGTGTATCCATATTTGTGATTGTACCCTATTTACGAATTGATTGTATTTACTGTTAATTTGCCTGGTTGCAGTCTTAACCTATAGGCATGAACTTGGAATGAACTACAACTTCATTCTCCCGGATTTGATCGTAGGTTCATGCCTGCAGGTGATGAAATCTCTACATCTTAATGTAGAAAATGTTATATATATATATATACATACATACACATTCACAATTCTCCTAAAGTTGCTTCTATTTGAAAATATAACAGACTCCCGAAGATGTTGACAAGCTTCGCAGCATTGGAGTGAAAACTATATTTTGCTTACAACAAGATTCAGACCTTGAGTATACAAACAAACAAGTTTATATTTATCATGTTTTCTGTTGCTATTATATTTGGGTTCCATGAAAACAATGTTTTTCGTCCTTAAATTCTTCAGGTATTTTGGGGTTGATATAAATGCCATTCGCAAATATGCCAATAGCTGTGGTGACATTCAACACTTGCGTGCCGAAATTAGGTTAGTGACATAATTACATGAATACAAAGTTATGTTTGAGCAGTTGTGTTCCTTGGTAATTCTATTTGTGAAAATTCTCTTGGTGCCGGATATTAATCTTTCAATTAATCCAATCACCAAATCCAAGTTTATAGTCTTTTAGCTTCCGTGCAGTTTCTGGTTCATAATTTAACTGTATTCTTGAACAGGGATTTTGATGCATTTGATCTACGGTTGCGGCTTCCAGCAGTGGTGAGCAAACTCCACAAGGCCATCAATCGGAATGGAGGGGTATCATATATACATTGCACTGCTGGTCTTGGACGAGCTCCTGCAACTGCAGTATGGACCTCCACCTTCAGCTTTTGCTGTTCTTTTAATATATTTACTTCAATACATTTTTTATATTTATTTATCAGGTACTTTGCCATGCAATTTCTCGATTCTTTTGAACCTAACTTCGATGAGAATGATATCGTTACTAGTTATAACTGTAGGTGGCTTACATGTTTTGGGTTCAAGGCTACTCACTCATCGAAGCACATGAGTTGCTCTTGGTAACTCTTTCTCTCCTTTGATATCTGTCTTACTACACATTTCTTTCCGTGGTAACCTATTGATTCTCACTTCTCTAGATTACTTTTTCTGATTTCTTGAGCTGAGTTCAGCTTTATAAGTCACTGCTGACTAACTGGTTCCACTTAAGTATGAAATATTAATTAGGTCCTTGTAAATTGCAATATATTCAGAATAATTCTTATGAAGAAACAACCAAGAAGCTAGTGCAATTTACCTCCCCCCATTTTTTTACTGGATTGTTAAGAGTTTTTACTTAAAAAGGGTTTTTTTTCCCTTCTCACTTCTATTACTTTGATTTCACAGTGTATTTCAAATATTTCATTTCTCATATGGGGTAATTTTCAAATCTCCGTTCCTATTAATTATAAATAGCATGTTTCTTCGCCAATGTGCCCATGGAACCAGTTCTGTTAAAAGAACCATGAATTTGTCTATGATTTCTGAAGCTAACAACAAATTGACTAAACATTTCTAAACTGTTAAGATAATTCTTTTTCTTCGGTATTTTTGCAGAGCAAGAGATCATGCTTCCCAAAATTATATGCTATCAAAAGTGCAACAGCTGATATTGTGAGTCATTCTTCCCTTGTATTGTTCGATCTTGCCAGTTGGATTGCTGTTATCCAGTCTAAGTGTGAAGCTTTATATAACTCAATATACCCTACATCTCAGCACTTCAGCTGCTCTAAGATATTTTAGAAACAAACCATATGGCCTATTTAGTTATGACATTCGTCGCATGTATGAACAATTTTGCTATTATTCTCCAAGCTCAATTCGAGAAGCCTGATTTATTTAGAAGATATGTTATATTTTGGCCAAGTGAGTTAGGTGGATCTACAGATATGGCAATCTTAAATTGATCTGATGAGGTTTTGGTCTCTGCTTAAAGCTTACAGGACTTGAAAAGAAGCGTGTGATGTTCACATGGTATGGTGGTGATTGTACGACAGTGGAAATCTCAGGACTTGACGTCGGCTGGGGTCAGGTAAATAATATTTCTTTTGAGTCTCGAAAGCCTAGAATCCTTAATGTAAATGTTCGAATATGAACAACCCCTCCCTACAAAAAAAAATCAACAGAAAGCTCCTAACACTTAAAAAAAGTAGTATAGCTGTGGCCAATAGGGATGATTTGCGATGCACATTTTCATTTGAAACGAGATGTTTTGTATGCCATGGCATCCAGCTCGATAAGGATATGAATGTGGTGCATACATGTTTAAATCTAGCTGTGCATATTTTCCATGTGTTGTTTCTTGCCTTCTTCTTCCGAACATTGATCTAAATGGAGATCCATGTATCCTGTAACCCGAACAGAGAATACCTTTGACATACGACAATGAACAAGAGTCGTGGATTCTCCATAGAGACTTGCCGGTAAGTATTATTTTTTTTCATTATATTGTTTGATCATCAATGATTATATCACTTGGAGTTAGTTAGCTGATTCAATTGTTCCTCGAACAGGTAGGAGAGTACGAATATAAGTATATAGTTGACGGTGAATGGCTGTGCAGCAAATACGATCTAATCACTAGTCCTAACAAAGATGGCCATGTCAACAACTACCTTAAGGTTACATATCATTGCAATTCCCTTTATTTTTCAGTAAAATTGTTCATAAATTGCATTGATTTCGAAAACATTGCATAAATCTATGTTTTAGGGGATTCTGCATAATATTTTTGAAAATACAATGGAGCCTCACTGAATTTTTTGAAAATTTCTAACAATATTTTTAAAAAACATGAGAGTTTCATGCAATTTTTAAATATACTGGAATGTGGTACTAACAGATATCTTTATGGGAAACTTTGTTAGAATCACATTTCATTGAATCTATAATTCACTGCATATGAGATATCCTTATCAATGCAGGTTTTCGATGACAACCCGAGCAGCAGTAGTGCTGAAATTCGAAACAGATTAACCGGTGATGATCCTCAGCTATCCAACGATGAACGCCGCAAAATCAGACAGTTTCTTGAATCCTATCCGGCCAAGGATTGATTCTTTTTCGACGAGTTTTCGGGTACGTACGCATATATATATATATATATATTTATATATATACACATACATATGCACAAATAATAACGTGATGCTGTATTGGTATAAGACAAAACAAAACAAAACAAAACTGTAGTCTATATATATATATATCAAAGGTATGAATATATGTATCATAAGATATTAATTAACTTAGTATTGTAAAACATGTAACCTCCATGAAACGACTCTTCTCATTTAAACTTATCCATAATTTATTTATAATAAATAGATTCATTAATTTTATTTTTAACAAAATAATAATTAATTTGTTATTATTATTATACTTTATTTTTTACCTATATCATTTTAACACTAAAATGTTATTATTTTTTTAAGTCTATATCCAATTATACACAACATAATTTGAACAAGTGATGTTAAGTTGCTAGACAACCCATAAAATATAAATCAATAATATAAAGTTTGTCTTAATATGATACAAGTACAAAATAACAACATATGATAATAGTTTATATAACAATTATTGTTATTGAGTTCCTAAGAGATGACCGGATGCTGTTACGTAAATTCGTGATCGTGAGGTTATGGGTTTAAATTTTCGATATTTTCAGTTTTGTTTGTCATACATGATTTGTATTGTCGGAGCTAATTTGTAGGTAAAATATTAGGTTTGATCGGAACATATTTTTATTAGTAATTAGCAAATCATGTGCCGTGAATAATAATAAAATTGTTTGAAAATGTAAATCAACTCAAAATATTTATTTTTATACTACATAAAAAAGTTTATATTTAAAGCATTGTATCACCTTGTATTTATTTTATATTAAACAAATATTATAATTTAAATTTTTACTATTTTCAACATAGGCTATTCAAGCCAGGAAGTAACGGGTTGCGTTTTTTAAAGGAATTGCTTCCATCCACTTGGGGCTGTCTCGGTCGAGCCAGCTTTCCAAGAAACTCCAAATTTTATTTAATTTTTATAAAAAAATATTTTTTTATAATATAATTATATTAATTTGTCTCTCAAAGTATTAAATTATTACTTTATTATGAATTTATTTTGTTTTCGTCACCAATTACTGTTGTGACAAAGAGAATAGAAAAAAATAAAATTCTATCAAATCAACAAAAGTATAAAGGTGGGAAGCCCTTATTCCGAAATTCGGAGGTTGGTTCCGCCGCTATATCTAAACATACTTTTTTTTATCTTTTATATTATACTTTTATAATTTATTTTATATTCAAAATATTACATCAACATTTTTGTTTATATCATACAATTATTACTATTTAAAACTCAAATATCTGAACAAACATTCTTTTTTAGTTTTTAGTTTTTATTTATTTTAAATATGCTAATTCTTATTTTTTTTTAAAAAAAAAGGTATACTCATTTTTTATACTCATTTCTGTCTACATAAAGTATGTAGATTTTTATTTTAAATTGTTTAATTATAATTTTTTTTTTATAGCTATACTTTACTATTAAATAATTACTTTTATATTTAAAAAATAAGAGTAAAGTTATTTTTATATTATATAATTATTTATTATAATTAAAGTATTATTACTGTTTAAATTGCACCTCTAAAGTAAATATAGTTTTTCAAATTGGACACTTTTGAAAAATAATAGTAATAAAATAATTTTTTTTTGTTTTTTTTTTTTTAAAAAAACCTATAATAATACTACTCGGGTATTTTTACATTTCATATATATCAACTATCGAGTATTCATATATCAAATACTATATTTTATTTTAATTTTATTATATTATATATTTTTATGTTTAAATTGATTTTTTTTTTATATATTAACTATATCAAATAGTATTATTTTTTATGTTTATTTTTTTTTCTTAATTGAATGCAATTAAGACTATGAGTTTATTCATTTTGTTTGGGGCATTTTTTTCTGTATACATTATTCATTCAATTTTTTTTTTTTAAAAAAAATATCAAATCAAAACACTTAATTTTTTATTTTTTATATTAAACTAAAAATCAATTTTACATTCAAAACATCACATCAACACTCATTTATATCACATCATACAACTATTCAAATTCAAAATTTTTACTATTCAAATCCAACTTAAAATCCAAACCCCCGAACAAACACACCAGTGTTTTTTGTGATACAATTGTTTATTAATATTATTAAAAATAATATGATATACATATATATTAACACAATATATGTAATATATATTTTATATTATCAATACCATTTTTTTTATCTAACATAAAGATATATATATTTATTTAGAAATACAAAGTAAACAAACCCTATATAGTAATCATTTCGCGTGGGTCAGATGATCCATTTGATTAGAAAAACGATATTTTAAATACTGTAAATTAGCAAATTATTAATAACATGTCATTATATTATTATTTTTTTATATGAGTAGGACTATTGTTATTTTAAATATCTTTCAGTTTAAGTTTAATTTCAGTAAAATATATACTATGAATATAATCATTTTATAAAAAAAAAATAAGAAGTTTTAAATGTAAATAAATATATTTGTTAATTGAGGAAATATATAGAATTAAATGGATTTTAAATGAGTCTAGAATATTTGTAAAAGATTGAAAATTTAATTAAATTAATTTATAAGATTGATAAATTTACTAAAAAAAAATGAGCATCTTTTGTGAGATGGACGAGAAAAATAGATCTTTTGTGGCGGAACGGAAGGTATATATATTTAAAAATAATAAAAAATTACTCCATCCGTCCTATGTAATATGGCTCTATTACCGTAAATACGATAATTTAGATAAAGTATAATTAGTAAGTACTTAGGAAGTAGAAGTATATTAACAAAAATAATTATTATATAGTAAAAATAAATATAGATTATGATAATTAAATAGTTTAATTAATATTAACAAATTATAAAATTTAAAAATAATTAAAATGCATGATCATATTTTCAAAAAAATCAAATGACATTATATAAAACGAACAAAAATAAAAATGCAAATGAGTTAAGTGTAATATATAGGATTATGTAGGATATGGACAACAATTATTAATGAATGGGAGGGCCACACAATAAATAGTAGGATTTATTAACAGTAGGGGTGGTCCTTAAGATAGCTTGCTTCTTGTACCGTCATAAAATACGTACTTTCGGGTAACGACTGTGGCTGCAGATTTATGCTCAGCTTATTTGGATTATAGTTTGAAATTTATTTGATGTAATACTTTTTTAGAAAAAATACTGTATTTTTTTTTATTTTTAGAAAATGTATATAATGAATAAGATGGATTTGGATTTAAAATGATAAAAGAAGATAATTCTTCATAATGTCAATATCATTTTTTTTAAAAAAAGAAAAACTAAACATATATATTCCTTCTGTCTCGGATATCATATCTATGTTGTCGTTTCTGTCCGTTCCACATACCATGTCACTTTTTTTTTTTTGAAAATGATTGCACACTTTAATCTCATTTTAAATTTTTATATTTTATTTTATTTTTAATTTTAATTAAACTAATTAGTTATTTTAATTTTAATTTATAATTATTTATATTATAGGATAATTATTTTTACCAGTACATTCTTAATTATCTACTAATTACACCCCTCCTAAAATACCGTGTCTACAGTGTAACAGACACGGTATCTGGGTCGGAGGGAGTATTATGTAAGTAGTGTGTGTGTGTTTTTGGAGTAAATTTTGTATAGAAATAGGTAATGAGATGTTTGGATGATGGTTGGATTTGTGATTAAAAGATTGGTTTGTTTGTTTCGTGTTTTGATTTGATTTTTTTTTTTAATGTGAGATATAAAGAATTGTGTAAATAATATTAAATATTCTATGTTAAATATTGACTATTGTTAAAAAAAATAAAAATATATATATTAAAAATCGTAGAAAAAAAAATTGACAAACATACTCGATATGTCATAAGAGATTTATTTAATCAATTTGAATTATAATACAATATATATTAAAATATATTTAAAATATGTATTTAATTATTTTCAAAGTTATATCTTAACAAAATATATCTATATAATATTTTGTAGATGATAATTTTTTTATATAAAATAACTAATATATAAAAATTAATTTTATTAAAATTAAATATATAAAAATATATTTATTTTTTATAATGTGAAAATTTGCGGTCTTGAGCTCTGGGTAAACTTTCGGTTGATTTAATATCCTCAAATTATGCTTAACAACACAAATCACACTAAAGAATTTTATTTTATTTTATTTATTTATTAAACAGTGGTTTGAATGAAATTATTGTAAAATGAGTGTTTTTATTAAAAAAATTGAGATAATTATATAATAACAAAAAATTGAATCTGTACTTAAAAAAAAAAAAAAAAAAAAAAACCTACTTAAAATAGTAGTAGTGTGTAATTATTATTATTATTATTATTAATTTTTTCATGACAATATATAAAAAAATTTCAAACAAAATATTCTATCAAATAATTATTTCTTATAAATTTTATAAAATAAACACAAAATACCAATAAGTAAAAGAACCCTAAAAGTACATCATTTATTTAGAACATGTAGCTTATAAATGCATAATTAATCATGATTGTTTTAAAATATATATTTTTAAATATACATTTTAAATTTTATATTTTATAATATTTTTAATCTTAATTAAATAAAATTTTATTTACATATACATTTTTAACAATTATGATACTATTTATTAATAATATATATATATACAAAATACATCACATCAAATATGAAAAAATTACAAAATATATATGTACTCAATTACTTCCTCTTTCTCATTTAAAAATAAATTCTTTTGATTTGAATATAAATTTTAGTGTGATGTGTATTTTTTATTTTTTTATAATAATAAAGTAGAAAAAATAATTAAATAGTAAAAAATGGTAATATACAATATAATTTTTTATTTTTATACTAACAAAAAAGAACACACCCTCACATCTTTCAAACAATCATGTTTTTTATACTCTTTCCAACCAATTTAAATTATTTCCTTTACATTAAACATCGAGTTTTAGGCCTTGAGTAATTTGCAAGTAATTAAAGAATGAATTAGTAAAAATAATTAAATATTAAAATTAAAATGATTAAATAGTTTAATTAAAAAAAATTATAAATTATGAAATTTGAAAGGTGATTAAAATGTATCATTATATTTTAAAAAAAAATTATGTGAGACGAATGAAATTAATAAGAGTAAAAAAATTAAGTGAGACGAAACTTTTACCAAATGGGTTATATATTTATATTTATTTTGTATTATATATATATAACCAGGCCCGACGGAAGACCTCACGGTCATAAGTCCAACCCCTACCCCACGAGTCAATCCTTTACGGGACTATATATATATATATATGTATTCTTTCTTATAAGAACTTATAGATACAATGTTTATATTTTTAAAATATATTTTTTTTATCAATAATTAAAAAGTTATTGTATTTACCTATTAAAATTAAATTAAAAGTTCAATAAAATGTGTTGTCCATTCTACTAATAAAGTAATATACAAATATATAGTTTGATGTGATTTAAGATTTTAATTGGGAGTTTGGGAAACATGTTATAAATGACAGTTGGCCCATGCAACTAATTTTGATTTGATTTGATTTCATCTTTTTAGTTATTCAATATTATATATATATATATATATATATATATTATATAGAGAGATAGAGAGGTGAAAAATATATATTCATGGATATAAATTAATGCATTTCTATATTTCAATCCAGGAAAATTATAATTTTTTCAAATAAACAAATAGTTAATCACTTCTAATATAATATACTCTTTTTATTTGTTTATTAAAAAATACACATTCCGTTCCAATACAATATTCTTGTAACTCTTGTTTACTATTTTATCCGTTCAAAAACAATAGACTCATTTTTATAAATAATTATATCAATGTAAAACTACCATTACCTTTTCATTATTACTACACAATTGTCACTACTTTTTACACTAATGTACTCACAAGGACAAAAACGTCTTTTATCGTACTTTTTACACGATACCAATATAATATCAATATTCCTTAAATCTCGTGTCAAACACAACCCCAAACTATAGTTCTGAGACGGAGAGAGTATTTCTTTTCAATTATAATAAAAATAGTTATTATTAAATTTTACAATATCTTTAATTTTTAAAAAATAATTTTTCTTTTACTTTCAATGATGAAAACATTAAAAATATTTTACATATTTTTACTTATTAATAAAATATTATTATTTTTTAAGTCAGTTAAAATATGGGCCTAAACAAACCAATCCACTTGAGCCGTGAGATTGGGAGGAAATTAGCCCGCAGCGAGACAAATTAGCGGCCAAGTAGATATAATAATTACTCTTTTTAAAATATTTTTTTTTATCATTTTTGTTCATTATTTTTCTAATGAAAGTAATTAATTATTAATACCAAATTTTTTTTTATTTTTTACATAAATCATAAATATATCAATGCATATTCAATTTTATTTATACATAAAATATCAAAATCTATCTTATACATTTTTTTTCTAAACAATAAAATATTATTCTTTCAATTTACTGCAATAAGGGATACCTTTAATTGGGATGCATAGAATGTTATTTATATTGTAATGACATCTTTAATATTATATTTTATAATAATTTTTTTAAATACTTTATATTAAATTAGTTTAAATCAATTAATTTGTACTTTTTTTTTTAACTCTCTTATTAATGTCATTTTTTTTTTCGATTTTCCAACATTTTTTTTTCATATTTCATATTTTATATATTTTTTCTTTTACAATTTACTGATAGATTCGTAAAATTAACTTTAATTTATGTTTTAAATATGTGTTGTTATTAGTTTATACAATTAGTTTTAACTTCTTTTTTTTATAATTTTTAAAAAAATTGTGGGTCGACCCGTTTAACTTGTCATCCATTGGTGGGTCGAGTTAGACGGATTAAATTTTATCCCGCCCGTCGTGGATTGACCTATAAATAACCCATCTATTTGCAAGTAAAAAATTAACCTGTTTTAATAATTTTAAGGAGTGCAATTATTTATATTTAACTAATTAGGTATATATTATTTATTGATTTATATAATATATTTCATCCGTTTGCTAAATTTATTCTTATTTTTCATGTTGTTCACTAAATTTACCTACCATTACAAAAAGTTAACAAATAAATATTTAATTATTATTCTTTTATTCAATATTTATTTATAATAAATATCACTATATGTTTATTATATTTTCTCCTTTTATCTTTTTTAAATTACAATTAAATTTTTATAAATATTTCCAACAATCTTTATACTTTTGTAATTTTTTATAAAATATTTATTTTTTTAATTTATGTACTTGATTCAAATGGGTTAATTTTAACCGACAGAAACTATGATTTATCATCTATAAAATTATTTAAATAAATATACCTTATTTAACATATTTTAATAAAATATACTGCAATAAACAATAATCAAATAACATCTTATTTTATTAAAGCCCAACTTATAATCTTCTAATAATCGCAATATGAAATTATAAATATAAGAGTGAGTGTGTACTTTTAAAGTTTAATTTTACTTTTTTTTTTTTTTTTGAATTTTAATATAAATACCTGTTTAGATATATAATATTTATTAAAAAATAATAATATATATATTTATAAGAATTGCAATGATTATGATATCTCGAGTTATTTGAATTTAGTCACTACCAAATACACGGTTGACCTTTGACCATCAATGTCAAATACGTGTAATATTTCCACGTATATTAGCTATCTGTATAGTGTAAGGACCAATTAATACCACCATAATCAAATTATGTATATCTATATTTGAAGTTTTGGCGCTAGTTATTATTAATAAGTTTATTTTTTAGAAAATATATATATATATATGTACACTAGTATTTAATATTTTATAAAATATTATATTAAATACTTAATTTTATACTCCCTCCGTCCCAGATACCGTATCTGCTATACTATAGACACGGTATTTTAGGAGAGATGAAATTAGTAAATAATTAAGAATGTATTAGTGAAAATAATTATCTTATAATATAAATAATTATAAATTAAGATTAAGATAACTAATTAGTTTAATTAAGATTTTAAAAAAAATAAAAAATTTAAAATAAGATTAAAGTGTGTAATTATTTTTTTTAAAAAGAAAGTGACATAGTATGTGGGACGGACAGATACGGCAACGTGGACGTGGTATCTTAAATCGGAGGGGGTAATATTTTTAAAAAAAATTAAAACTCGAAAAACTCCCAAAACTTTGGCCCCATTTAAACATAAACATTAAAAAATTCAAAAATTAGGAAAAAAAAATCAAATAGTAAAATAATTGATATTTAATAGCCTACATTTTTTTTTCTTTTTTTTTTTTTATCTTTTCATAAAAATACAATATCCATAAACAGTGTCAATAGTTAAAAAACAATGTCAATAAACAGATTGACTAAAAATTTAATCAAAGTCTATTTAAAAAATAATGATAGCAAATTTCTACAGTATATAAAATTGTCACAACTTAAGGTAAACTTGCTACTATAAAATTATGAATTAAAATTCTAATATTTTAAAATTTATCTGCAACGTATAGTTTGTTTGATGTAAATTATTTCATATTAGTTGAAAATTTATTTGAAACGCATTCAAAGAATAGTGACGGGTACTACACATTATTATGTATTCCTTTGGTCCCGATATAAGGTTGTTGTTTATTTTTTGCACGTAGAATTTTTAATATTAGTATTATAATGGATTGTAGTAAAAAATAAAAAAATGTCCCTATTAGTATTGTGTAGTATAAAAGTAACGACATTTGTGTAATATAGTGTAAAGTGGAAGGGTACGTTAGATATGTAGTACAATTAATAAATTGAGAGTATTATATTATATATTTTTTTTTAGAGAAAAAAAAAAAGGAAAAACAGAAATAAAATGAAGTCCCGAAACACCTAACCTCTTGAGTTGGGTTTGAAAGTTTATTGAATACAGAGTGGATAAGGATCATCACCTCACGTCATACAATAAAATAAATAAATGAAGAGTGACCGAATATTTGAGATGAAGGAAGAAGTAAAAACACAACAAATATAATTAATTGGAGGACTTTCTGATCTAACTGTGATGATGATGATGATGATACTATCATCACATATTCCATACATGAATATGAATGAATATATGATGATGAAGACGATGATAGTGATGTCTAACGAAGTTCGATGAAATCCTAAAGCTCAGAGACGATGATGCTAACATTACATTACAATCTGCTAATCTAATCTAATCTAATCAGATCAGATCTGATCGAATTGCTCAGCCAAATAAACAACCAAAACTGTAAATCCTAAATACATACATACATACATATATACAAATGAACACAGAGACGATTCTAGAATTTGATATATATATATAATTTTGATTTATCATACGAATTACCAAAAAAAAATTGAGAAATGAAGAGGCGCAATGTAATTTCGCACCTGAAATCACCATAGCTTCCTCCTGTAGGAGCGATTCATGCTCACCTTTCTCTCAATCATTTCGAGAAGCGATTCAACCTCGAAGAATTCCATTTCCAGCTCGTCGCCGAGCCTCCGACTCCACGTCTCTGTTCTCTTCCGTTTCTTCGGCGCCGGCGGACAGGTCACCGCCGCCGGAATCCTGTGCTGCGGAGATCTCGGTGTGCGACAACCTTCGTCTTCTTCGTTAATAATTCGGTCGGAATCGGAAGCCTCTGGAGAATTGCCGATCCGATTAATGATCGGAAGCCTCAATTCGAGATCTGTCGACATGATCCACCGCCGAACAGAGAAGTTACAGTTACTCCGTGAACCAGATTCTCTCTCTCCTCTCTCTCTCTCTCTCTCTCTCTCTCTCTCTCTCTCTCTATATATATATATATATATACATATAGCTATACACACGCCAATATATGTATATAGATGTATGTATATATTAGCGTGCAATGGGAGGTAACTAACTAGAGTGTGGGTCCCATATTTTATATATATTTAAAATATATTATAAAATTATTTATTAATTATAGTGATCCATTACAATTTACAAATCTAATACTCCTCTCGCAAATTTACTAAAGTTTTGTTTGGACAATAATACAATAATATTTACTCAAAATCCACTCTCATTTTTCTTTTTAATTCTCCGTTAAATTTATTTTTATTATTAATTATTTTTCATTTTATACTCATTTTTTTATTTTTCAAAATAATAATTTTTTTTAATTTCCAGAACCAATATTTTAATTTATTATAAATAAATAAATATAAATTTAGTAGATAATAATAATAATAATAATAATAATAATAATGAATAACAATAGAAGAGTGTCGACTCTATCATCTCGATTCCTTAACTTACAATTTTCTAATTTTTTTTTTACTTTTTTCATATATATTAATATATATAATAATGTACATTAAATTATACTCCCCGTCACAGATAAATTATTCATATATTACCATAAATATAAGAATTTAGATAAAATATAATTAAATGAGTAATTAAAAAATATATTAGTAAAATAATTATAAATTAAAATTAAAATAATTAGATAGTTTAATTAAAATTATTAATTATTAATTTTACAATGTGATTAAAGTATATAATCATATTTAAAAATTAATAAATTATTTAGGACAAATCAAAATAAAAAAAGTAGACAATTTATATGAAACAAAGATAATATATTTTTTAATTTCTCAACCAGTTTTTTTATGTCACATTGTCTAGGATAATAAAAACAATATAATAGAATGTTAATATAAAAGTTTGGTAAATTAAAAAATAAAAGATAAATATTATAGAATATTTTATTAAAAAGTGAAAGCATAATAATAAAATGATGATAAAATTATTTGTTATAAAATAAAATAAAATGATACAAATATCGCGGATAGAGAAAGTATTTGTATATTACAACTTTTTTAATATAATTTTTAAAGAATATACTATGGGTGTGTTTGTTCGAGGGATTGGATTGGATTTATACTATTCATTCAATTTTTTTTCCTCAAAAATATCAAATCAAATACCTATTTTTTATTTTTTTTATTATACTAAAAATCAATTTTACATTCAAAACATCACATCAACACCTATTTATATCACATCATACAACTATTTAAATTCAAAATTTTTATTATTCAAATCTCAACTCAAAATCCAAACCCCCAAACAAACACACCCTATGTGTTCTTTTAGGGTGTGTTCGTTTGTAGGATTTAGATAAAATCCTACTATTTATCCAAAAATTTCCCCCCAAAAACATCAAATCAAACACCTATTTTCATTTTTTATATTATATTAAAAATCAATTTTACATTCAAAACATCACATCAACACTTATTTATATCACATCATACAACTATTCAAATTCAAAATTTTTACTATTCAAATCCCAACTCAAAATCCAAACCCCCAAACAAACACACCCTTAATAAAAAAAGTACATATATTTTTTAATATCACATATTTATTTATTTTTATATTTTATATAAAATTTCACATATTTCACATTTAAAAACACTCATTCAAATTATCTCATAAAACAAACACACCCATATATTGTTATACTCCCTCTGTTTCAATACAATAGTCTTGTTTATTATTTTTATCCGTCCCAAAACAATAGTCTTATTTTCATAAATAACTATATCATTATAAAACTACGTTTACTCTTTCATTATTATTACATAATTGTCATTATATTTTACATTCATACACTCACAAGGGTAAAAAAGTCATATTTTTTATCCATTATCAATATAATATTAATATTTCTTAAATTTTCGTGTTAAATCCAACTAAAACTATAATTCTGAAAGGGAAGGAGAGAGTATATAATTATGATCTTTGAGATTTTTCATTTTATTAATTTTTATAGTAGTAGTTTAATTTAAAAAGATGCATAAATTATGTAGTTTTTGTTGAGAAAATAATATATTTGTATGTATAATTATGGTATTTTAAAATTGTTTATTTATTTATATTTTACTTGAAATATATGTGAATATATAATTATGATATTTTGAGATATTTTTTTAAAAATTTCAAAAAATTTAATTGGAAAAAAATATATATTGTATATATAATTATAGTATTTTATTGTATATATATATAACTATGGTATTTTAAGATTTTTTGTTTTATTTGGAATATATTCTTTTCGTCTCAGTACAATAGTCTTGTTTATTATTTTTGTCCGTTTCAAAACAATAGTCTTATTTCCTTAAATAACAATATCACCATAAAATTACCTCTACTTTTTTATTTTTATTACACAATTGTTGCTTTTCACACTAATACACTCACAAGAGCAAAAAAAATTTTATCCATATTTTTTACCAACTACCAATATAATATCAATATTTCTTAAATTCCGTAGCCAATTCAATTAAAATTATAGTTCTAGAAAGGAGAAACTATTATATATTTTCATATATATATATATATATATAGCTTTCAAAAAATTACAATTCACAAAATCTTCACGAATGCAATAATACATATTGTATAGGATTTTCAGTATTTTATTAGTTTTTATTTATAGATTTATTTATCTAATAATAGTATACATTTTTTTTATATATTTTCTAAACATTCCGATATCAACTCTTCATAGATATTCTCTATATTTTTATTTAACAAAAGGAAAAATAATTTATTTTTATTTTTAATATTTATCACCATTAATTATTTGAATGTTTTTTAATAATCAAATGGGCAAACGACTTACGTCAACCTGAGTAAAAAGATAAGGATGTAAGACTCATCAATACGTGTAAGAAGGTTAGATATAATATTCATATAAAAAAATATATTAGATAATATAATCAATTTTGTATTTTTTTATATTAAAATATTTATAATCTTGTTTTATAGCATTTAATTTCTTAAATTTATTTTTATTTTTAAAATTTTAAAAAATAAATAATTATTATTGACATAGATAGTACTTAGTTACTGATTTTATCTAATTTTTTATTAGTCAAATTTTATATATAATAATATATGTGAATTAAGTGTAATATATATATATAATAAAAAGTATGACTAATTATTTATTAGAAAAAACAAATAATTATAATTTAAAAGATATAGAAATAAAAGATTATAAGTGAACCCACCTTGATATTTATAAAAATAAATAAATTGAGAATACATTATTTAAACCATTAGGATTTGGATTGAGAAGATTTAACTTGAATTTTATTTTTAAATAATAAAAAATAAAATATTTTATAAAAAAATTAATATATTTTTAAACCTAGTATCCCAATAGTAAAATATTGGAATGAAAAACCAAAGAAACATACTACTCCATCAGTCAATTTCTATTATTCTAAAATATATTTGCACGATTTTTTAGGCAATTGTCTTTTGTTATAAATTGACAAATTTGTCATTAATTGTATGGTAAAGATTAAAAGCAATAAATAAATGGAGGATAAAAATGTAAAATATGTATTTAAAAAAAAAATAGGACAATAATTGTTGGACAACCCAAATAAAAAAGTAGGACACTAGTTCGTCAACAGAGAGAGAGAGTATTAAATTATTGTACATATATACTCATATAATTACGCAGTGACTTAAAAAATGAATAAATAATACTAAAAAAAATAGATCAAAACATACATTTTTTTTTTCATATTTATTTAATTTTAAGTATTTATTTTTGGTACGTAAAGTTTGTGAGTGTGTAGAAAACCATAGTGCATATTTTTAGCAATGATTGTAGGTTATGCAAATAATATACTCCCTCTGTCCCAAAATAATAGTATTGTTTTCTATTTTTGTTCGTTCTAAAATAATAGTTTTATTTTTATAAATAATCATATAATTATATAACTACATTTACTCTTTCATTATTATTGGTCATTATCTTTTCCACTAATACACTCACAAAGGCAAAATTGTCTTTTACCTCTACTTTTTATCCACTATTTCGTGTCCAACACAACCAAGATTATAGTTCCGGACGGAGGGATTATAATATATATAAATATATATACATATAATAAATCACAAGATTAAATTGTCCTTTTGATTTATATTGTGAGAAAAGATAGTCAACAAGCAATCCTAAATTCCTTTTCTTGAATAATTTGAGCTGAATTTTGTGGTCTTTTATTTATTTTATTATTTTTCTTTTAAAAAAAATGACTTGAGTGAAAATAACTTTTTGTTTGCTTAAATAATACGTTGTATAATAATAATTATTATAATAATAGTGTAATTTTAGCAATATTATTACACTAAAATATTTCATGATTGTTAATAGTATAGTAGTAGTATTATACTACTCCTATTATTCAATTAATTTTTTTTAATTTTTTTTGTTATTATTAAAGATAACACAATAATTTAGAAAAGAAAAGCTAACAGAAATGTTCGTTGGTGGGGGTGACGTGTAAGGATAGGATTGGTTGAAATTTTGACGACATGATTTGAAAGCCCAAAACCCTGCTCATATGCTTCCCGCAATTTCATAGAATTTGAGGGGCTAAAGTGTTATTTAATCTCAAATACAATACTCCTTCCTATATACTATTAATATAATATTTTTAAAGTAAAATGAATTTTAATGTAAAATGAAAAAAAATAAAATTTAATTAATTTAATATCTTTTGAAGGAAAATTTTTTATAAATAATAAAAATTTAGTAAAAAAAAAAAAAAACATTCAAACACAACCAAGGAGTTTATCAAATAATTATTTCCCTTTGAAATCAATTTTTTATGATAATTTAAATTTGATATTTTATAAAATAAAATAATATTGTTTAATCTCTTACCTTTTCAAATTATCCTACTTAAACATATATTTCTATTTATAATCTAATGGTTTCATTTAATTACCAATTTACTCACATTTTTATCTGTTTATCCCCACACCAACCCATATTTTACTTTTAATCCCATTATATCCAAAACTATTTTAAATTTACAATGTAGATTGGCCAATTTTGTACAACACTATAGTTACAGTGCCGATTAAATATAATCACCATTGAGCTGATAGGATATAATAAATATTAAACAGCACATTATATATAAACACACGATGTCTGACCTATTTTCATATGTAATCTATAGTATTTTTAAGTTGCCAATCAGTATCCTAAAACTAAACAAAATTATGAAAATCTAATTCACTAAAAGAGGCTCTAATCCCTTAAAAGAAGTCGGGTTTCGAACACGAACACAAAAATTTATCAAAGAGTTTCTATACCTTCTCGAAAAACCAGATATGATTCTATGGTGCAAAAGACACATCAAATACAACAATGAGATAAACATCTTCGAGCATGTTGTAGAAGAAGGGCGAAAACACACACCACATTCGAATCGACACAATAATGTTATGAAAAGAACAACAAGGAGAAGCATATTTTACCTCATTCGGTCCAAAACTTGAAGAAAGACGCGATCCCCTTGAGTAATGCAACGAGTGGATTGTTTTCAGGTCCGGTAGATTTCATCGGAGTTTCACTGCCCAAAAATAAATGAGTGTGTGTTCTTTAGTGTTTTTAGAGTGACATGGTTTTCTTTAAAAAATTACCCCAAAAATAAAATGTATACTACGTATACATAACAATAAAAATCAACAAAAACACATTGAAAGTAAAAAAAGAAAAAAAACCCAATAAACTACTCATCTATAATACTTTCACAATTCAAGACAAAAACATGTAAAACTATAAAAATTAAACAAACATACCGATTTAGATTGCCAGTGTAATCCAGATCATTAAAATTTCTTCTAGCTGAAGTAGAGTTGTGTTCGGTGGAACTACCCGCCTGCATAAGCATTAGATCAATAAGTGGTAACAAGGAACAAACAGTATATCAAAACACAATGCTTGACAATAGGAGTCAGAAATATCTCTGTTTACATAGAAATTTTTTGAATTTTTGACATTATTAATCAACAGTAATTATAAAATATAAAAAATAACGCCTGTAGTATAAAGACAAAACTATCCTTATTAAAAAATAATGAAAAGTAATGATATTATTGTAAATAAATGTAAAAACAGGGTATTGTAATTTGTAATACCATTGATGATTATTGAAAAAAGAAAAGTATACCTTTGAATTAGACAGACAAAATAGAAATATATAAAGCTTAGAAATGGACGGAGAGTGTACTTTTCTCTTTCACAAAACATTAAATCAATCAAATATAACTTTTTACTATTTCCAAAATTTTTCAAAAGTCCAACACTTCTACAACTTTCAACGGACCCTAAGTATAGTCGAAAAGTTCCTTTGATTGACTTTTCAATCCAAAAGCCAAAATTTCATAGGTCTGTTAGCTATGGTAAGAGCAAAATACTTCATACTTCTTCTATACAGCACTCAGCTTATTTTCTTCAGCAATTATACATATACATATATACAAGCATACGAAAGCTTTATAACTATACCTAACCTAATAGTCAGCATAACAAAGATTGAATCCTAAAAAAAGACTAAATTAATCTATCAATGAAGAAAAGGTATCAATTGAAAATGGAAGACAAAATTCTCATCTAGGAAAAGCTTACCTGCGATCTTTTGTGCAATGCAGTCTTGGATTCACGCTCGATAGCATCATCTAGATGAAGTTTTGATTGATCATCTTGACTGTGCTTATCTTTCGTTTTCACAATTGGATTGTGAACTTTTTCGAATTCTCCATCAACGTCATGAATTGTACAAGAGACAGGCCTCAATGGAAATTTCTCAACCACAATGTCGGGATTTAGGGAAGCACCATTTAGTAGAGCATCTCCATTTCTCTCCCTATCCAAATTCTCAAAAAACACCGGCTTTGGGATAATTCTTTGTGTAAATCCTCGTGATTTTTCCACTACCCGATCAGCTTCATCAAGAATTTGCTCCTTAACATCAATGGATTTTTCTAAATCAGGGTGTGAATTATCTTCGAGCATTTCGACATCACCATTCACAATCTTCCCATTTTCGAGAGGTTCGTGTTGATCCAGCTGTTCCTTACGATTCGATACTTCTTCACTCTCGATTTTGATTATTTCGGTGAATTGTTCATTGTCCAATTCCAAAGAAGAAATGCTCCCTTCACTTGTGATCGTAGAACTTCCATTCAATGTTAGCAAATCCATACGAGGTTCCATAGAAATGGATCCTAATGGATGTTGTTCAAGGAATTCGGAATGTTCTTGTCCTAGAGACAACTTAGGTGGAGCCAGAACTCTATTTTCTTGAATAATTTCCCTAACAATCTCCCGAACTGTATAGAAAGAACCCCCGACTTCTTTGTGTGTGAGGTTGAGGGAAGGGAAATTTCCGGCGTTTGAACTTTGATATCTGAAAGCAATAAATTCAATCGATGGAAATAACTACAGAAGGTCAGTATGATGCAGAATAACATAGATCGGAATATTGCAAACAAATAAAAACAAAAATAACGATAAACTTTTCTTGATACATAGTATCACATTTTATAATTGAACTCAACACATAAGATATATAAAAACAGTATACCTTTAAAATATAAATAGACAAAACATTGTAAGAATTAACACAACAGATGTTGTATTAATTTAGGTCATGTGCTATATTTTATGTGTTATCAGCACAGTGCTTATTAATATATTGTATTAATTTAAGTCATGTGCTATATTTTATGTGTTATCAGCACAGTGCTTATTAATATATTGTATTAATTTAAGTCATGTGCTATATTTTGTGTTATCAACACAGTGCTTATTAATTTAAATCAATATCCTAAACAAGCCGATTGTTTATCTACTAAATGAATAACCTTCGGCAAAAAATGTTCATATAAGTACCAAAAAAAACAATATATGCTCATAGAAATATGTTATAATACTTATCCAAATGCAATTTTTTAAAAAGAAAAGAGTAAGACAAAGATGAATAATCCTCAATAGTGTAATGTAGTATTTGCACGCCGTTAAGCAAGAGGGAAGCAAAAAGACGTTACCTTTTTATGAAAGATTCAACCATTTCCTTTCTCTCTTCTTTCGACCGTCTAATCCTCGATTTCTTAGAATCGTTGTTGGCTGCTAGAGCAACAACTTGTCCACTCCAGCTGCCCTTGATTGTGTCCATGACTAAGTTCCAACAGCGAATGTCTGAAAAATAAAATGAAGTGAGAAATTGGCTAGTTTCCATGTACAAGTACAACAACCATATAGCTATCGGTGCATGATTACAATTAGGACCCGTTACAATACCATAATTAAGTGGAATTATAATCATATATTACATTGCAATTAGCCAATTACACCTTTCAAGTCCAAAATATTTGAGAAGAAAGATCTTTTTTTATCTTTAATCCTTAACTAAGTTAATAGTTCACAAAGGGATCTTTACCATATTATTAGATTAGGATGTAAGTTATACTGTAATTAGAATAGTTAGATCATTTGAACTAAGCATGTATTGGACTAACATCAACAAATAGCTCACATTTTATTAGAGGGAAAAAAAAATAGTAATAATAAATAAATAAATAAAAGGAAAAGAACATATAGTTCTTGAAGAATAAAAAGAACAAAAGATACAGAGTAAATAGAAACACAGAGCAATAACAACACACAAAATTCTTTACTCAATCAAAATACATTATTTCCTCTCAAAATCCAATTTAAACCCAAATCCAAATAAAAAATCTCAAAATCAAACAAAACAACTTATGATTAATCTCCACTGCAGAGAGAACTTCTGAAGATTCAGTAATACAAACTGCACAACGAACAGATTTAAGTAAATAAAGGGACTAAGAAGTTATCCTGAAATTAGTATCTCTAGATTTCTATATAAATGGGTGCTCTCTTCGTTTATAACAAACTAAGAGTTTTTGAGAAAAATTTTATAGAAACGTGAGAAGTTTTAACTTAGTTCTCAACAAAATTTTCGACTTTTTTTTTCATACTCACCATTGTCATCTCAAAAATAAACAGCTCGAAATTAAAACAGAACAAAATAAAACCAAGAAACGTATTCTTTAAGCAACAATTTCAATTAAAAATGGAAAAAAAAAAATGGAGAAACTTCACCTGTAGAGAAAGGATAGAGATAGAATTGAAAATCGGTCGATTGGAAGTCTCAGAGGTTTTGGCGCTGATTCTCTATAAACCCTAACCCAATAATTGAGGGAAAAACTATTTTTAAAATTATTTCAAAATTGTTATCATTATTTATTATTACACTTAAAAGAAAATAAAAGTATATTTTTTATTATTTTTTTGTTTAATTGAATATTTATTTAATTTTCAACTTTATATATATATAAATAGTTTTACATAGCTATGTCAACTCATTTTAAATTTATTTTAAAAAAAATTATCTTACCAAACACTTCATTCACCAAATTTACCTCATTAGTAATAAAAATATTATACTATCAAATATCAATATATTATTAATTTCAAAAAATTAAAAACTCAAATCTATAATTAATGTAAACACAAGAATTTAAAAAGTATAATTAACGTATAATTAAAATATATTAATAAAAAAATTATTGTATAATAAAAAATATTTATAAATTAATACTATTAAAGTAAATAATTAATTTAATTAAAATTTAAAAAAATTTAAAATAAGATAAAAGTGTATCAATCTTTAAAAAAAAACTCACACTTTAAGTGGATAGTGAAAAAATAATACTCCCTCGACTAATATCCTATTTTTCTGTTTGGGACGTCCAACAACTATTGTCCTATTTCTTTTTTTTTAAATACAAATTTTATATTTTTACCTTTCATTCATTTATTACTTTTAATCTCTGTCATACAATTAAGGGCAAATTTATCGATTCATAACAAAAAAAACAATCACCTAAAAAACTGTGCAAATATATTTTAGACAATATAAATTGGACGAAGATAGTAATTAATAAAATCAAATAATTAAATATTAAGATTTTTTAAAAATATGTATCATAATAAAGAACTAAAATGAAAATAATATATACAAGTATTTAAATCACATAAATATTAAATTAATCATATACTATCTCCCTCCCATAATAAATTATGATTGGACAGAGGAAAATAATAAATTTCACTTTAAATATATATAAAAGACGTGTTCTTTCCAAAATTTTTTGAAGACTTCAATTATCCATCAAAACATTTTTTTAAAAAAAATATATATATTAAATTAATTTTTTATTTTTTTATTTTTTATATTATATTAAATATTAATTATAATAAAATATATCATGTATAATTATATTCTTCGTATAACTATTCAAATTTAAATTTTCAAACTCAAAATTCAAATCCACGAACATAAACATAACATTTTCCACGGTACTATAAATCATTCCACGATAATTTATTAAATTTCAAAAATTCAAAAAATACATTTTTAATTCTAATTATTTCTTCGAAATTCCGTTCTCTTCTTCGATCTTCCTCAGTCGCTGCGATTGCAACACCATACTCGCCATTTGCGGCGTCGCGTAGCCGTTAAAACCCGCCCCTGCCGGCGCTGCCGCGCCGAAGCAAACACTCTCAGTGGCGGCAGCGGTGGCGGCACCACCACGAATGGTGGCTCGTTGAGAGCCATGCGAGCTGATGCCGGACAATGCATAAGCCCGTCCCGTTTGTTGATAAACGTATCGGTTCAACATCCTCGACTCGGTTTCCTTCATATCGGCCTCAAGCCACATGCTCAATCCGTCGCCCGCTTGCGCGGCGGCGGACCCGAAGACGACGCTCCGTTTATCGGCGAGCAACGTCCTTGCTCCATCGAAATCGCCCGTCTCGGCCATCCGTTGCGCCTCCGAGATCGCCTCCGTCGCCAAGACACGGTTCCTCTGTCTGTCGATCGATAAATTAACCATCATGTCGGTTAGGGACACTGTCGCCGGCCGACGAATCTCTATAAGGTCGCCTTCCACGCGCGTCATTTCGTTCGAGACCACGTCTTTCGAATAGCACGATACGTCCAAAAGCGACGTTTTCACGATCGTATCATTTTCGTTTTCTTCAATTGACGGGACGGAGACATTGATTAGGAACTCCTTGTGCTCGTCGGCGTACATGTCGCCCACGCGAATCACGCCTTGCGACCCGTCGTTGACGATTTCGCTCGGGTATCTCCCCGATGGGATCGATTTTATCTCGACTCCGTGCGACGCGGATCTTATGTCGAGTCGAACCTCCCGAGCCACGACGCTTAGGAGACCGCCTAGGCATCCGGCGAAGGCGTCTTGCACCACTTCATACGACTCGATGAAGGAGAAAGTCCCGCCCGATGCGTCGGAGATTGCGTGCATCGCTATTGGGTCGTGGTCCGATCCGAATCCAAATGTATGGACCGGAATTGTCTGTATAGACTCTGCATTATATGCGAAAGCATTATTATTCCTCGGACGAATAGATGCCGGCAATAAGTGTAGGTATTCCGGAAGATTCCGATTGCCCGAGGTTGTTGGAAAGAAGATGCCGCCGTGATTACACGTGTCGTTTCCGTCGGATAAGAAGATGATGCTCGAGACCGGATTCATTTCCCGCCTTTCTTCGAGAACCTATTTAAAATTTAAAATATCTCATAACGTAATAATAAGTCGGCAATTACTAAGTTGAATTTAAAAATTCAATATAATTATACCATCACAATATATGATAATAATAACATGTGACAAATTGTTAGCACAATATATATACTCCCTTCGTCCCTTAACGATCTATCTATTTTTTCATTTTGGTCCGTTTCATAAGAAAATATCCATTTTCTTTTTTAGTAATGTATCATTTACTTAATATTACAAATATTCTTCTACAAATACTCTTCTAATTTACAATATATTAAACGTTATTAATATAATACTAATATTTCTAAAACTTCTCGTGTAAAAAGTAAATAAATATATAGATACGAGACAAATGAAGTATTGTAATTGATTTTAAAACATAAATTATATCATAGATATAGATCGGTAAAAGAATAAAAAATATATATATATTAAAAATTATGTTAGAAAACTTATTCTTTTTAACATATCATATTTAACATATTCTTTTTACCTGAACGCCCTTTTTAAGGCCGTCGACGATGTTTGTCCCGCCGTCAGCTATAAGTGAATTAACCGCCCTCTTGGCCTCCTCGCGTCCCGACTCGGACATCCTCCGCAACCGCAACATCCTCGTCGCTCGGCTAGAAAACGACACGACAGATAACCGGTCGGAAGGGCCTAAGCGGTCAATAACAAACCCGACCGCGCGCTTAACAAGCGCCAACTTCGAACCCGACATGCTCCCGCTCACGTCCAACACCGTAACGAGGTCGATCGGCGCCCGGCCACCGGAAAATGCCGCGGCCTTGACCCCGACAAGAACCGTGAAATCGGCCACCGACTCCGACGCCGCCACTGCCGGCCGCTCCGCCACTCCGGTGACCGCCAAACTCCGGCCATCATCCGGCGGCACGGCGCCTGACGCCGCGGCGAGGAGGGGATCATCGTCGGAGAAATGAACGGGCTCGACGGGTTCGACCGGCCGCGGCATAAACCGGCGGAAATTGAAAGGGTTGGCCGGGGCGGCGGCGGTGGCGGTGGTCAACGGGAGGCGGCAGATGGGGCAAAAGGGGTCGCCGGAGAAGAGGGTGGGGGAAATGCAGAGGAAGTGGAAGGAGTGGGAGCAGCCGCCGGTGAAGATTCCTTGGCCGTGCACGGCGGCCGGAAAATTTTCCGAGCAAATGCCACATGTGTTCTGCAACAAGATTATATATATATAAATTTAATTAAATGATATATATATATGTATGTGTTTTGTATGTATATGTTGAGTTATAGCAGAAAGGAAAGGAGGAAGGGATGAGAGTACTTACAGTTTGAGCAGAAGTCATTTTTGTTTCGATGTTTTTGTGATAAGGGAGGATGATATACGAATATACCTATTTATATATATATATATATATATTGAAGTTGCTTGGCCTGTAAGGTGTAGAATTGAATTTGATAAACGTTACGCGGTTAAGATTGAATTTTATAATTATAATAATAATAATAATATTGAGATATTGTGTCGAACAAGCGTGTTGCGGTAATGTAACGCAAGTTGACTTTTGGGGGCAGTTGATTGACTCATCAGCACATATTTTCTTTTCAAGATAAAATTACTATTTATATTTTTATTTTTTCGAAAAATATATATGTATTTTCTTATAAAATTATTTAATCAAATATTTCTTTTCACATTTGAAAATAGTTTTTTAGATTTTATAGTAAATTAAAAAATTAATTTTTTATTAGTTAATAAAAATGTAAAAAAAATTTTATATTTTCCTTCTTGGACTTTATATAAAAAAAATTATAAATTTAATGATATATTTATCATTTAAATAAAAATTAAGAGTATTTTAATATTAATATATAATTATTTTTATTAGAAAAAAAAAACTAAAATAATAAAAAATGATATTTTGAATTAAAACGAAATAAATATTATTTAAATATAAAATCTAAATTAAATCTTCTCGCATTATGATTTGCTATTTTTGCGGGTGCGAAAGGTGCCATAGTATTTTTACAAATTCTATTGCGCGAGAGGTGTTACTTTTATTGTTGGATTAATTTATAAATTATGTCATAATAAATTTTGTTTTTAATTAGAAAAATCACAATCTGTCATGCATGATGGTTCTCACTCAAATATGCCTCCATGACTGACACATCAAAGCTCAAATCGATTTTTATTTTCTAAATCATCAAATCATTCACAGTGTCTTAAAAGATTAAGTTACAGTGAAGAAGAAAAAAGAAGACTAACGAGAGGAAGAGAGAGAAAATAGAAAGAGAAGTGACGAGGAGAAGAGAAAAGGAAAGAAGAGAGAGAAGAAAACTTGTGATTTATTTTTTATCAGTGACAGTGACAGTGAGAGTGAGGGAAGAAGATAGATAAAGAATCTGTTGTATTTTGCTATAATATCCCAAAGCTCAACCGTCAGCCTCCCCAACCTACAATTAATTATTCATATGTAAAAAAGCATATCATCATCTTAATCTTTTAGATACGCAAATGGTGAATAATAAGACATAAATTAAGCTCTTGAGAACAAAATATGTTAAATATGAGACTATCACGAGGTCTAATAGAATCCTAGGTGTACCAAATGTTTTTGTGGAATAATTTGCATAAATATTAGATATAAAAAGTTACGTAAATAATAATCCCTCCGTCCCTTAAAATTATGTATCAATTAACTATACACATTTTTATTTTGGAACATCTAATTACAAAAAAAACATTTTATTAAATACCTCATTTTTTTCCACAAATACCCTTATTTTACGTCACATCATTACTATTAATTACCCACTATAATTAAAATACTATTACGATATATACTTTATTCGTGGACGGATGGAGTATTTTTTAATAACTGTATTTTTTACTAATATTAAAAATACTCGTACAAGTTACAACTTACAATATATTATACAAATGTCATTATTTTCATACAATATTAATAAAATTATTTTAGTCTTTTCACTTTATTCATACAATATTTTAATATAATACTAATATTTTTAAAGCAAATGAATAAATAGATAAAAGGACGAAGGAAGTAACATTTGTAATATATTACTCCCTCCGTTCCACCTTTTTCATTAATTATTTTTATTTTCGTTGCTCTCATCTTATTCATCATTTTCTTTTCAAAAAATATAATTATACATTTTAATCACATTTTAAAATTCATAATTTATAAATTTTTTTTAAATTTTAACTAAACTATTTAATCATCTCAATTTTAATCTTTAATTATTTTTACTATATTATAATTATTTTTACTAATACAACTCTTAATTTCTTAGTAAACAGAACACAAGCAAGGAGTAATTTCTTTTAGAAAAACGTGTAGAAGAAAACAAACTAAAAGAAGACACTAATTTCAATCTAAGTCAAGACTAACCGAACATCTCACCCAACCATCATGCTTTTACCTTATAAACAAAGTACACAAAAACTACCATGAAACAAGTAAGCATATATATAATCAAGCAAAAGCTACAAGGGAATGCAGTTTTACTCCAAGACCAAAAAAATCGATATATATATATGTGCATGTAGTGTGTGTTGTGTGTGAACTATTTACGATCGAAGCGACCGACGCTTGCCTTTTGTTGTTCCGAAGATTCTATTTGCAAAATGTTTCGTATATATATATATAATGAGGAAACATTTCGAGAGCCTATAATCCTAAGCGAAAGAAGAATCGGAGGGAGGAAAGAGAGCTCGGAGATGAAAGTAGACAGAAGTGTAATAGGTACTTACTTTATGCGCCCTTCTTACCATTTCTCTTCCTCGTTTTATAGTATCGAATAAGCTCTAATCACCTCAACAATGGGCGCCCGGCACAGTGGACATTTCCCTCCCCCTCGAACCAACTCGTTCGCACATTTAGAGCATGTGCACATGTGCCCACATCTGCAACTTATTGTAAAAAAATCGTATTGGATCTAAACACATTGTAAATGAAACTTTTGACATTATTTGTCAACAATAATTTTTTTTTAAAAAAAAATATATCGTATCAAATAATTATTTCCTCTTATCGATTGCTATTTCCACAAATTTTCAAAATTACAAAAACCTATATCGATTGCTATTTCCACAAATTTTCAAAATTACAAAAACCTATAGGTTTGTTAGAGGATTTTGGAGAATTTCTACTATTCCTCAATAAAATTTCCCAAAAATCATGAAATCATACTCCCTCCATCCATCCCTTTAACAATCTATCCATTTTTCCATTTTTGCCCGTCACATAACAAAGTATCCATTTCTTTTTTTTTTTTTTTTTTTTTTTTTTTATAGTAATTGTACTATCTACCTAACATTACAAATACCCTTCCAATTTACAATATATTATACAAATGTCATTACCTTTATATCATACAATACTAATAGGGTTAATTTAGTTTTTTTATTTTTATTTATACTTTATCCCAATATAATATTAATATTTCTAAAATTTCGTGCAAAAAGTCTATATAGATATGGGACGAAGGGAGTATCATATTTTTTTATTTTGTATATACTAAAAATTAATTTTATATTCAAAATATTACATATTACAACTATTTTAATTTAAAATTTTAAAATTCGAAATCCAAACTCAAAATTTAAACCCCCAACCAACCATGATCATGTAAACAAAGTCTATAAATTTCGAGGGATTCGAGTGGATTTGTTACTTGACACCTAAATTGTCAAAGACTATACAATTTTTCCTCACAATATTATCAGTGTCGAAAAATCATGAGACTACATTACAGTCATTACTAAGAATTTTCCTAAAGTTTCCGAAAACAGTAAATTATTGTACCAGCAACTCGAAGGCTAACACTTATTGCTAAAGAAAATTTTCGATTTGGTAACGAGAAAGCTTGATAGAACATGCAGTAAGTATGATAACGAGGCGTACCTGTACAATAGGGCATCGATGTGGCTATCACAACAGACACAGCAGGTACCTTTTCGTACGTGAATCCATTTAGATCCATCCTCGGATATGTCCGCCACTGCATTCAGTGCATTATGGTAAGAATAAAGCTCCGAGCAGAATTAAAAGAGTCGAGAATATTAAGAGCACAATCACAAGCAGAATTGGAATCCAAACAAACCTTGCCCAGTGGCAGACCGATTGAGAGCAGCCGAGACCTCCTGCCGAACAGAGCGCTGGAGCTCCAGTTGCATGTCCATGCAAGCTTCTAACATCCTTTGCATGTGATTCATACCTTGCTGGAGTTTCGCCACATCTGCTCTTAGATCATTGATCATCTCCCATTCCTGTTCAAATACGAGTAAAATTGCATCAAATATATGTGTGCGCGCAGATGTTTATCGCAATCATCAATTTGTAACTTCATACAAAGAATAGTTCAACATCTTAAACAGCAATTTATACGTTAAAATAGAAAAGCTAATAAGACCAAAAAATGATGACATGGAGGAATAAAATGACAACTAATATATCATGTAATGACGAAACTGGGAGCCGGTGTGGAAAATGAGAATGGCAATATAAATCTATTTATTCCTGGTCATTTGAATTTTAATAAATCTGACATAATATAAACTTGAATCAGTATGTATTGAATTCAATTTGGTTCAGATATCTCACCAAATTTATAATTCGTGTATCTTTTAAGTGAACTCAATTTGAAAGAAATAGTTCAAACTACAACTCAATGCCAATTGAATAAGTCCAAAACTAAGGAGAATGAAGACCGTGTTGATTCCACCACATTCAAAAGTCTTGTTGGAAGTCTAAGGTACTTGACTTGCACTAGACCAGATATTTGATTTTCGGTTGGAATTGTGAGTCGTTACATGGAAGTTCCTAGCCAAGCACATTGGATGGCTCCATAGGGCCTTTTCATCAGTTGCAGGGTTAATTGGTAAGTCGAACCAAATTGGAGAGTATTTAAATTCAATTCCGATCATGCCAACAGCCATATCCTAAACTCATTTCCACCCCAAATTCTAGTTCATGCATTTTAAAGTACTCATCTTTCGAACAAATTACCAAATTAGAAATTCTTCTAGTAAATTGGCGATTATCAAAATTTTTGCACATTTTATGACAAAACTACTGGAAATTCACATGGAGTTAAAGATAGGGAGAAGAAGAATCAGCTTACAAGTTCAGAACGATTCACAGTATGACGTGGCCAAGGCGAGTGATGCAGATCCTGGTGCCAAAGAGGTTGTGATGGAGGTACAGGAGGAGTCGGCAACACCAGTGAAGGTCTACCAATACCATTAGGCTGATCCTCATTTTGCTCATCGTTCTGTTGATCCGAATCCCTCTCGGGTGATGGTGGAAGAGGCAAGTTCCTATGGAGATCCCAATCAATTGGTGCCCGGCCTTGCCGGTCTACATAGGACTGAATCAACTGATCCAGACTTGCACGGAAACCACTGTGAAGAAGATTCGAGACACTCCTCCTGAAATACAGATGTGTATATAATGTAAGCTGAAAAGAGTGACAAGCCAAATAGAATACGTTGAAGACACCGAGAAAATGCACGAGAGAAGAAAATCATACTATAGTACTTGATGCTTTACATAATACATATTTACACGAGATGACGAGATGAATTTCACCTACAAATCAATAGGGCATATGTTTTTTTTAAGGATCCTAAAAATACAATGAAATCAAACAATATAATTTAGGATAAATTAGTATAATGGGAAAAAATAGACATATCCCATCCCACAAGAAAATACAATGCTCTCTGGGCATTTTCAGTTGAAAATTAAGGTGAAAAAATAAAAAATAAAAAATATCCATCATAATTACATGTAAACGAGCTCCTATAGGGTTTAACATGATCATCTAATCCAACTTTATATTAAATAAAACTATAATCTTAATCATGTCTACATGTATATTTCAGAACTATCACTAATATACAGTATAATACTTACTAAATTGTAAATAATTATACTGAATGGTCTAAGTATGCTATAAATTAGTGAATTTAATCAATTTAATTAAATATAATTAACTCATCAAAGAAATATTTTATGACTAAAATTATTATCATATTCCAAGGCATCAGCAAACAAATAACCTGCTTAGTAGTTCCCTGAGTTCCATGCTGTACACATTATCATCATCAGGAGGGTGGAACCTTGAAACTCTTCTTGATGGGATAGACCTTAGCATTCTTGGAGGGTCTGAAGGCCCTTCTGACCAATTTTCAACAGCTTCTCGAGACCCGAGATCTTGCTCTTGGTTTTCTGTTGCCATATTTTCTGAGGGCCACTCAGATATTGTGCTTTCCTGCCCGCTCAGAGAAGTGTCCTCAACTCCTGATACCTGTCCCTGGCGATCACTTTCTTGATCCCTAGGAGCATGTTGATTTTCAATAAGTCGGCTGCCATCTGTGTTTCCAACATGATCTAGTAATTGATTATTGTTAATATCCTGATTCTCATCTTGATCTTCCGGAGAAGCAGTTGCAGTACTCTGATCATATCCGAAATCGCTGTTGCTATTGTTAGAGGAATTTTCAAGATGGCTGCTTACTTGGCCTCGCATAATGTTTTCCAACCGGGATCGAAAACCTTCCCTGAGTGAAAAGTAAAGCATAGTGCATAAACAAGAAGCATAAGAATTACCGAGTTACTCGCAAAAGATTACAGGGCTGGTAATGACAACATTGAACTCACAAAATAAATCCATGAAAAAGAATATTGACTAATTCGTTTAGTAGTTGCCATATAACTCGAGTGGTTAGGTTTCTATAGAAGCAAGCAACTTATTCTTGTATATTAGGCTTGTTAGTACACGGAGTATCAAGGACACAATATGTTATTTTAATTAATTTATTATTATCTTAGGTCACAAACCCAATTGATCCAAATTATGTCATATAGATGTGCATACAGAATTTCATTGTTACTCCTACACAAAAAGCTTCCGATATTGTTCCTTAAGAACCCTCCTTAACATTCCCTTTCCAACTATCGTAAACTATTGAGTAACTTTGTATTCCTCTTAAATACCCAACTAAAACTCATGATACAGAGGTGATTGAAAAGCTCAAAGTTAAAAGAGTAACATAATTTGCTTACATTACAAAAACACGAAATGCATAAAACACCAATTTTTCATCCCTAAATAGCTATCTAAGGTAGTGTTTCCGCTTCACAGGGGTTTGGAAAATAAACATTTACAGAAATCAGCAAGGAAAGAAACTTAACAGCCAATTGAATATATAGCAGCCCATAATGGTAACTAAAAGCAAAAAAAAAAAAAAAAAAGATGAAGAGATGTAAGCTGATATTTTAGATCACAAGTAAGTTTCCAGCATATTAGATAGTCGGTGTACCTCAAGCCGGAGACCGTATGTCGTTGTCTTAATTGATTTAGTTCACTAGCAGCCATGGATGGAGGTCTCTCTTCCTCATCGGGCCTTTCATTTCTCAAAAATCTACCTCTAAGCAGTGACTGAAAAATCAAAAATAAATACAAATTACCTTTTCCATCCTAGACTTTGCATAAAAATATTAAGTGTGAAATAACATGTACAGTGCATTAGAAACATATTTATCGTAATATATTAATTTTAAAATTTTACAAATACTGCAAAGGCTTCTGTTTAAAACCTAATAATCAATAAAGTTGTCATGCAAACCACTTACCAAATTAGGATCATGGATAAAATCGTTACAATTAGTCCAAGCCAAAAAAAAAAAAAATCCATTGATAAAAGCAAACAGGGCATTGTATATTTCACGACTGTTTCAAGCCAAACACATTTTATAAATTCAGATAGAATTACCTGGATACGATTGCGATGTGCAAAATCAGAAACAGCACGATACTCCAACAAACCCTGAAGTTCCCCTTGTCTTTCCCTTTCCACTCTCACAAGCAAATCAACCAAAGCCTGTCTTCCCCGTAGTCTCAACATGTCCCTTCGAATATGCTCAGGCTGAGTTTCTTCGTGATTGGCATCAGACCCTTCATGGGACCGAGCAACTTGAGGCTCATCCCTACGCCCACCTCGAGAACTCCTTTGCTGACTTGTCATTTGCATCCACTCTCTCACAATCCTTACCCTCTCGCGCTCAGTCTCACCCAGCCACTCAGATCTCGGACTATCATTCCTCTGCATAACATTAGAGGAAGTGTCCCGAATACCACTCTCCATCCATCCTCGAACAATTTGCCTAACCCTCTCCCTCTCCACTTCTCCAAGATCCGGAGATTGCTCGCGGCTAGAATTTTCACGATCCATATTTCCATGCTGAGGCCCGAGCTGATCATGAGACCAAGTTGAATAATCATTCTCACTCTCGGTAGCATCCCCGAGGCTACTCTGATTCTCACCCTCCCTGGTTTCCGACATGTTTATGGATTGATTTGTATTAGAATCCACAGTCCTCTGCTGCTGCTGCCTTAATCTGTCCCTCACCCTCCCACGAGCACGGCTTATTGCATGTTCTTCCTCCAACTCGCGCCACATCTGAAAAATAGACGATGCTCGCGTGCTGAGCCTTTGTACATTCCCCTGACGCCTTGAGGTCGGCGACTGCGACTCTCTCAAGAATGACGAATCCAGCATTGAAACTGTGTGCAACCCTGCAAGCGCCATCAACTCTGACTCACGATTCCGTCTCTCAATTGTAGTAATCATCTCTTCTGCCTGTCGGGCCGCCCACCTGCTCAAAATCCTCGAGTGGCGCCTTCTGGCAGCGGATGATTCTGCTAAGTCATCACCATCGTCAAGATCCGACCTCCTCCTCCTCCTAACAAGCTGTTCCCCCTCATCTTCCTCATCCTCTGTAGTTGTTGTCCTCGGCGAACTGCAGGAGGCAAATGACATGCACTCGTCGTAATGGCCGCACATCAATTCCTCGAACCCCCTCTCGAAATCAGACCGAGCATCGCTCCTCGTGCTCTCGGGTTTCTGCTGCAATTGCTGCTGAACGTCATCCATCCCTCAAGTATCCCTTTAATAGGTATACTCACCACCTCCTAGTTATACAACTATTAAGGAACCCTCAAAAACTAATCCCTAACAACATACACAGCAATTATCCCCAAAATAACGGATAATGCACTGTACGTCACAGAAAAACCCTAATTTTCTCCACACCCAACCCTAGCCCCAACCCAAATTCTGAAACTCGCCATCAAAACACCAATTCCTCCACCCATCCAGGCCACAGCGTCGATACATGATAATACCACCTGATCAAGCTCCAAATTAACTACCGAAACAATAAAGAAGAACATCCACACGTCGCGAAAACGATACAATCAGACATGAAAAATAACCAAACCGACAGCAAAATCAAATTGAACCGAGATCCAATAAAGGCGCAATTACAAATGAGTGAAATTAGGATCGAGCACAACGAACATTATATATAGCTACAAAGAACAACGATTCAGAAACGACTGTGGGGAAAAGCGAAACTTACCTCTGAAGACGCGCCTCCTTCGATTGCAGTGCGGGAATAGAGAAAAGGGAAAAGAATAGCCAACCTTCCACGCTACAGCAGTATATAGATACACATATAGATATGGATAGATGCATAGGTGAGCTTCTTCATCAATGGCGGTAAAAGAGAGAAATACCAATTTGCTCAACGAAACGAAAAAACCGTTTCAGAGAACAGAGGAGAGGAGAAGAAGGCGGAATATATATACTTATATTTATATACGAAAAAAAATAAATATTTTTATTTTTATTTTTATTTTTATTTTGGCTGCTTATAGTGTGGAATGTAATAAATTGACATTATATTCTTGGAGTTCTTTTATTTTCTAAAATACTCAAAATAAATAAATAATAATTGGGATCATAATTTATGAGGTGGATAATTAATTTATATGTATTTTAAAATAAATTTACTTTTGTATTTTTTAATTAAGATATTTTTATATTAAATATGATAAATTGTATAGTAAAATAGAAAATATATATTGCAATGAATTGTTAATTTTTTTATAAACGGTTAAAAAACTATTATTTATTATTAATAGAAAATATACTTATATCATATACATATTTATTTTTATAAAATATTAAATTAAATGCTTAATTTTTTATATTATCAAAACTAGAAAATGATCCTACAACAACATTGTGTGTTTACCTATTAAATTTTGGTTTTGAATAGTAAAATTTTGAATTGAAATAGTTGTTTGATGTGATATAAATATATATTAATGTGATGTTTTTAATGTAAAATTAAATTTTAATGTAATAAAATAAATAAAAAAATAGATGTTTGATTTGATATTTTGAAAAAAATAAAATTGAAATAGTAAAATAAAAAATAAAATCCACGAGTAAACAGAGTATTCAGTTTTTTAAAATATTTTGCAAATAGAAGAGTATTAACATAAATATTATACTTTTGAAGAGTAAAAAAATATAGGGTTCGTTTGTTCTGTGAAGTATTTTGATGAAATTTTTTTTTAGATGAAATAAAAAATATAAAAATAATAAATATATGTAATATATTAATTTTTTTAAAAAAGTATGTATAATATTTTTTATAAAAAGAACACACACATACTTATTTAAATACTCCTAAAATTATATAGGTTGGGTTATCAAAAATAATACTTTTTGTTCTACTCACCTTGTCCATTTTTTTATTTATGTCTGTTGTACTTATTTTGTTATTTTTTTAAAAAAAAAATGTATATACTTTATGTGATGTATAGAAAATTATATAAATAGGTACTATTTCCGTCTGGTTCTAAATGTTATATTTATTTTTTGTATGTTGATATTTGAATATTAATTATTATATCAAAATGTAGCATAATTTAAGAAAAAATTGCTAAAATACTTCAATTAGTGTTATAATACTAATAGAATGAATGACATTTGTAAAAATATAAATTAAAAATATAAGAATATTTTTAATGTTGAGTAAAATGACTTAAAAAGGTAAATGTGACTCTTACATACGAATAAAAATATTTAATGTGTATAATTTGTTAATTGTTTTTAGAAAAATGTATTTTTGAAAAATTGTGGAAGAAATTACCTAATAGATTTTTATTCGATCAATTTTCTTCAATCATTTATGCACTCTGAGTTGCTTCTATTTCATTTTTATATTATTTCATAATCAAATTTGATTGAAGATTAATGAAAAAATATAAATTTTTGTTTTTTAAAAAAATATTAAATATCTATATTAATAGAAAACATTAAGGGTGTGTTTGTTTTGGAGATTGGATTTTTTTTTTTTCACTATTCATCCAATTTTTTTTTCCTAAAAACATCAAATCAAACACCTATTTTTTATTTTTTATATTATACTAAAAATCAATTTTACATTCAAAACATCGCATCAACACCTATTTATATCACATTATACAACTATTCAAATTCAAAATTTTTACTATTCAAATCCTAACTCAAAATCTAAACCCCAGACAAACACACCCTAAGAGAAAAAAAGAACCATGATTCACATATCATATATCCATTGTATTAACATCATAAATAGCATTTGTGTAAAGGTAATGACATTTGTGTAACATATTATAAGTTGTAAGAGTATTTGTAATGTTAGGTAGATAGTACAGTTACTTAAAAAAAAAAAAAGTAAATAGATACTTTGTTATGGGACGGACTAAAATGAAAAAATAGATACTTTGTTATGGGACGGACTAAAATGAAAAAATAGATACTTTGTTATGGGACAGAGAGAGTATTCAAAAATTCCAACTCAAAATCCAAACCCCCAAACAAACACACCCTAACTTAATCATATTTTATACCAAAAAATATAAAATCAACTAAAGCACACGAACAAGTACGAGACCATACATTTTAAATAGAATCAAAAGTTTGCACCAAATTTTTTTTTATTTGACTAATTTTCTATTATAATATTTTTTAGAAATATCATACTCCTTCCCTCCGTCCCAAACAACGTGCAACATTTACTTTTGGCAAGGGTTTTTACATGGGTAGTATTAAGTATGATACTGATGTGATGGAGAGATAAATATATATTTTATTTTTTTATTTGGATGATGTGAGAGGATAAAGTATGGGATAGAGATTAAATATAATTAATTATTTCATATTTTGGAAATATTGCAGGGTGTTTGGAACATACCAAAAAGAAAATATTGCAGGGGTGTTTGGGAAAGAGGGAGTATTATATATTTTATTTGTCGATCAAATTTATTCACCAATTAAATTTATATTTTTGCTATATTTGAAAAAGTCAATATTTAATAGTTACTCTCATTCAACACTTATTTGTAATAAATATTTCATTTGTCCTATAAGTAAATATTCATTTACTTTTTGAGTAGTTTTAGAAATATTAGTATGATATTGGGATATAATAGAAATAAAGTAGAAATGACTAAAATAACCTTATTAGTATGTATGATATAAAAATAATAATATTTGTGTAATATATTGTAAGTTGTAAGGCTGTGTTTGGTACAGAGAAATGAGACCTAAGATAAATAAAAATAGTTTCATTTATCTTGTTTATTTTAGTAAGAGAAATAGAATTTGAAAATAAATCATTTTCATTTATCTTTTTCATTTATCTCCTATATGCAGAGAAATGAAGAGAAATGATATAGCGGTATATATTTTTTAAATTTTTTAAAATCTTTTTTTACTATCTAATTTATATATATATATTTTTTAATATATTATTTTAATTTTATAAAAATCAAATTGAATTTATTGTTAAAGTATTTAAGTTTTACGATTTCTTAAGAAATTATACTAAAATATAAAGCATCGTATATAATTTATAATTTTTCTAAAAAAAAAGTCACAAAAAGTACTTTTCATGAATTCTCATTCGTTAAATTTTTTTTTTAATCCAATTACTCATTTATTCTTGTTTGATCCATTAATATAACTGCATTTTTTTTTATACATTCTTCAATTGAATTCTTTATTTTAGAATTAATTCTCTTTCTCTACTCAATTCAATTTCTCTCTGATTTCATTCTCTACTCTAATTTCTTTGCAATTCTATTCTCTATACCAAACGTCACCTAAGGGTATTTGTAATGTTAGGTAAATAGTACATTTACTAAAAAAAAAAAATTGATACTTTGTTATGGGACGGACTAAAATGAAAAAATAGATATTTTATTATGGAACGGACGAAGTATCACTTATTTGTTATATTATCTCTTAATTTTTTTTATTTACTAACTAAATTTTCAAAAATACATTCGACTACAAATTTATTTTTTTTTCACTTTTTCATTATAATATTTAATTTTTTAATCTCCGCGTCAAGTCCAAATGAGCTAAATTTTGGGGTGGGGAAATGAATGTTTTCTTACATAATTATTTTATGCCTCAAAATTCTCAAAACTTTAAAATCTTTAAAAAATATTAAATGGAGTTTGATTGTATTTAATTTGTGATTTATTTTATTTAAATAATAATTTTGATATAATATTTTATTAAATAAAATAATTTTATTTTTATAATTAAACAATAAAAATTGAAAATACTTATCAACTTTTTTTTCTTTTTTTTTTTTGTCATTTTAAGAATATAGTGTTACAAAATATCACATTAGCTAGTGCCAAATATGAATATGTATATTTAATTTTATACTATATGTTGTACTTTAGTGTATTTATTGATATTTTTCTTTTTACTTTCACAATAGTATAATTGATAGTGAAGTTAAATTTTTGGCTAAAAATGCCATTCTAAACACACGTTTTAAATTTTTTAAAAATTTATATTTAAAACAAATAAATAAATAAATAAATCAAAACATAAGCAAATAGTGGGAAAGTCATTATCTGATCCTAATGGGCAAATTGAGAGTTGACCTCATTTTTATTTTTATTTTTATTATTATTATTATTATTATTAATATTATTATTATTATACGTTGCAAAGCATCTCTCATTAGTTGTGCTTGAAGTTGATCTTCATAATTATATATTAATTCACCAATAATCATCATAATATATATATTTTTTTAAAATCAATATATATTAATAAATATACTTTAATATAGATGTATAAAATATTATGTACAAAATTTTAATATGGATCCTAGTAATATATATACATGTAGAATTCTATTTTACAAATTTTATATACACAAATATATAGATTTTATGTATTATTATAACTAAATTATATAATAAACTTTAAAGGTATTATTGTGTACCATATATTTTAATAAATAAATAAATAAATTTAAGATAAAATGTCATATAAAACCTATCTCGCTATCATGAGGTGTATACATGTGGTTGTGATTTTTCAATAGGTTTTATTTAAAATATGCAATAAATTTATTTAATTTGCACATTATTAATTATAAATTAGAGGATGTTTGAGAAACAGTTTTTTTTAAAAACTTTTAGCTTATTGAACTAGCTGTTTGACCAGTTAAAAAATTAATTTAGGTGTTTGATTAATTAATTTTTTTTTACCCAAAAAGCTAATTTCGCTTTTTCATTTTAATTTTGGTTATTTCTTATTTATCCTTAAAATTTAATTATTTATTTTATACATATAAATATATTTTTATAGCAATATTTATTAATTATTTTTAATATAATTAATTTATTAAATTATATTTTTATTTTTGTAAATTTAAAATACTATTATTAATTATTATATATAAATTATTTTATTTGTAAAATATATAAAATTTTAAAACTACATCAAATAGAAAAAACAAATATTATTAATTTATTTATATATATTAAAATAATAATTAACATAATAAAAGTATATATAAAAAAATTTCATTATTTTATAATTTACATAATTTTAATAAAAAAAATATTATTTTTTAGTAAAAAAAATTCTCAAATCTAAATAATAAAAATAAAAATAAATATTTTATAATTTTCAATAATTAATAACAAAATTTCTTATAAATTTCAAATCAAAATGAACAAAATTAAATATTTTTAAAAAATAACATATAATGTCAACCCGTTGTTTTACCAAACACTTTAATACAAACCGCTAATTGAATTAGCTAGTCAAACCAGCTAATTGAATTTTCTAACAGCTAAAAGCCATCAGCTAATTACCAAACACTTTAATACAAACCGCTAATTGAATCAGCTAATCAAACCAGCTAATTGAATCATCTAACCGCTAACACCTAATTGAATCAGTTAATTGCTAAACGCACCCTTAACATAAACTATATAGCATTTTATTCTAACTATATGTGATAAATAAACGCATCTAATTATCAAGATTATGTTCTTTTCAATTTATTTTTTTTTGGAAATATAAACACTCCCTCCGTCCCGCAATAAGGGTGGCGTTTGTTTTTTGCACGTAGATTTTTTAATATTAGTATTATATTAGATTGTAGTTAAAAAGATAAAAATACCCCTATTAGTATGGTGTAATATAAAAGTAATGACATTTGTGTAATATATTGTAAGTTGAAATGGTATTTATTATGTGAAGTAGGTAATACAATTACTAAATTAGGAAATGGTAACCTTGTTTTGGTACCGAAAATAAAAAATAATAACATTTCAATGGAACGAATGAATAATATTGTATTTTATACATAAAACGTTACTTTCAAACAAGTTTTTAAAAATAAATAAAAACTCCAAAAAAGGAACACATGGGTCGTGTTAATATAAAATTCTTTAGATTTTACAATAAATAATAAATAAATAAAAACATTTATTTAATTTTGATTTTTGCAGTTTGCAGCTTATTAATTTAAATTTTTATAGTAATTTGAATGTTATGTTTTTATAAAAAATAATACTCCCTCCGTCCGGTTCAAATGGGTTATTTGGAGTTTTGTAATAGATTAAAAAATAATAGTATTTTATTAATTAGTGAAAGTATGTAACGGATTTTGACATTTTTGGAACTTTATGTAAAAAAGTAATTGTATGTGTAATGGTATATTTGTAATTTAGATAAAAGTTAAAAGTATTTTGATATTGGTGTATGATTACTTTTACTAAAATATGAAATTAATAATTTAGAATGAGACGGACAAAAATGATAAAAAGAATATTTTGAGTTGAGACAAATGAAATATATTTTATAAAAAATCATTCGAATTACACAATAAAATTTTGAAATAAAGCTCCAAGTAAGCAACATATGTATTCTTTCGATTGTTATTTTTTTTTAACACGATTTTTAATATATATATATATAATATATTATATTTTATCATTTCATAAAATATCAACATTCAACACAATATATTACTTACATTATGTTCTATACCTTATATTAAAAATATATTTAAAAAAAACACTAAAAAAACCCCGAAATAATTTATAAGTTAAAAGTGAGTTGAAAAGTATAATTTAAAATGTTTTTTAATACTTCCTCCGTCCCATGTATTATGGGCCTATTACTGTAGATACGAAAATTTATATAAAGTGTAATTAGTAAGTAATTAAGAAGTGTATTAGTAAAAATAATTATAGTATAATAAAAATAATTGTGGATTAAGATTAAGATAACTAAATAGTTTAATTAAGATTAAAAAATTATAAAATTTAAAACTAGATTAAAGTGTATAATTATATTTCCAAAAAAGAAATGAAAATAGAAAATAAGTACAAATTATGTGGGACGGAGGGAATATATATTTAGATTTATATCATTCTTACCAAAATATATATATAAAAGAAGTCCCACAAAAATAAAGAAAATAATATTGGCAAGAAAGCCCACAACTCTTTCCCTCAAATCATTCCAAGACAAGCATGAAAAGAAATAAACTAAACCCCAAACACACACACAACAATAAATAAATAAATAAATAAATATATATATATATATATATATTTATGTGTGTCCAATCCATTTAGGACAAATACATTGGGATATACAAATCTAACTCAATAAAACCACCCATCTTACCTTATTTATTCAATCAATCATTCAATTATAAATAATATTAAAAAAAAAAAAAAAAATTGTTGGATCTAGCAATGAATCAAAAAAATCAAATGATTTAATTCTTAAAAGAATCAATTAAATAAAAATGAACATTATGTCGGTATTTTTGAATGACAAAAGTATCATTCATTCCCATAATTATAATTATAATTATATATATATTATTAATTAATTAAAAACCCACCCCATTCTCCCTCGTGCATTCAAGAATGCTTCTTGTCTACGAATTTAACAACACTCCATTCCCAACATTCCAAAACTCAATAATAATAATAATAATAATAATAATAATAAACAATAATAATAATAGTTAGAATAGGAAGCTGAAATTCTCTATTTCAATTATAAGAATATGTACATATTTATAATGATATACAAATCGTCTAAATAAAACAATAATCCTACGAATCTCTTTAATAAGATAACTACCATAAATATAATACTCCATTCTTCTCAATACAATAGTCATGTTTACCATTTTTGTCGGTCCCAAAACAATAGTCTAGCTTCCATAAATAATTATATCACTATAAACCTACCCTTGTTTTTGTATAATTATTACACAATTGTCACTACTTTTTACACCAATACACTCACAAGGATAAAAAAGTATTTTACTCATATTTTTTATACACTACCAATATAATATAATATTAATATTCCTTCGATCTCGTGTCAAACATAACCCAAACTTATATTGCTTCTAGATATATTTTAACAATAATAATAATAAGTTTTTAAATAATATACGCAACCACAAACTTTTCTATCGGAACTATGCACAACATGTGCTAGGGATGGGTACGAAATAAATATCGGGATATAATTAATTATATAACTTGATTTAAATTAGGGGGATAATTGATAGATAAACTTTTATTTTTTGTTTTATCTATGGATATATATATATATATATCAAATTATTGTTATTAAAAAAAAAAAAAAAAAAGAGAACTTGTATGATTAAGCAAGAAATTTTGGGTTATTTACAAATAAATCAAGTTAAAATTGATTGAAGTAATATTAATAAATAGATAAACTAAAGCTTCAAAACTTATATTTACAATTTATTTCAGTTCGGCCAACTAATGTAAATACTTAAAATTTAAAAATACTAAAAGCCCAAAGATGTTTGTAAATTTTATTTATTTATTTATTTACCATTATTCAATTTTATTTTTTTTTATCTTTTTTTTTTTTTTTTCTAAGAAAACATCACACATTTACATCCAACACTATTTTCATTTTAAAAGTATATATATATATATATAAACCAAATTTAACATCACCAACGTCTATTAGTAATTAAATCGAACCGATTTGATTAATTTGAATATAACATTATATGGATTAAATTAGTAAATTTCTTGTAGCTAGTTTTAATTAGTAAATTTGATTGTGTTTCTATCTCTATAATTTTTTTTCCCCACATTTGCACTAACTGTTTTTTTTGGGTGACGGTTTGGATGATTTCAGCACATATTATTATATATTAACACAAGATAATTAATAGTATTTTATAACTAATAAGTACTAACACAGTGACACATGTTAATGATATTCACAACATATATTGTTTAACAACCATCTATTCTGTATGACATTACAATACCATAACCACCTTAGTTTGCTTCTTTAAATAATAATAATAATAAACATTACAAAATATTTTTTACAGAAGTCAAAAAGTCATAAAAAAAAAAAAAAATCCCTCAAATATTCATTACAAAAAATTTAGTATTTAATTTAAAATAATATATTTTATATTTTTGACATAATTTTTTTTATCACACATAAAAATCAATCTATCATATTAAACAACTATTTCAATTTATTTTTTTCTAATTTAAAAATACCAAAATAACAAAAATAAAATAATAATAAGAGCCAAACACGAGCATTCTACACAAATGTACTGTATGTAGGGAAGACATAACGAACCACTTAGTCAGAAAATGTGGGAAGAAATCAAATTGGGAAATATCATTGGAAAAAGTTGGTTCTTGATTAGGATTTATAATATAGAATCCTAAGTTATTGATAAGCAAAACATATACTTACATATATATATATATATATATTATATATAGTGAAAAAAGTGTTGTAGAGGGTGGGGTGGGGTGGGGTGGGTCCCCAACCCCATTCCATATCGGTGTTTTTGGATTCATATTGAATGTCCATTTCTTCTAAATCGAATCACTTTAGTACTATTGCTACACCAACATACACACTACTTACAACTCTCATGGCTAAACTACCCTTGGAAAATAAATATAAATGTAGGTCGGGATTTACCCAGAAGGCACTCGAGAGATTAACAACCGCAAATTCTCACATTATCAAAAATAAATAAATAAATAAAGTATATGACAAAAAGTGATTGAATCAACAAATTAAATAAATCACTAGATAAAAGTAAACTTGAAATCAACAGAAAGTCAAGACTATATACTTCCGAAAATATATATATTTACCACGGTAACTTTAAAATTTTCAATTTATTCGCACAAAACATCACATTCAAAAAAATAAAACACGAAATCAAACATAAAGTAAGCAAACCTAAAAACATACCAAACTTGGGCTCGAACCAATACGTCTCACAAACAAGTCGTGCAAAAAAAAAAGCATGAAAAGCCAACCCGACTCAACAAAATAAATAGGCTTCAAACACAATGCTGATCAATTGCTACAAAGCAATATCATTTGATGTTCATCTTGTCGAAACAATGAGTATTTCCAAAACACGGATTAAAATCGAGCTCTCAAAATCCCATGACCAATCCCTAAAATACAGCTTATGAATTACACTTTCAAAATCTCTTGCTATCAAAAAGACTTCATCAAGATTATTATCGACGAGATTCACCACAACACACATGTATGTATATATACCTATGGAAATACAAAATTTGTACAAGAGAGGTATGAAAATTGAAAACATACCGGGCTCATCTCACATAGCCTCGACAACCTCCTCGACCTCAGGTTCACGTTTTGGTCGACCACACCTCCTCACATCTTTACCCTTCAGTAGTTGCAAGGCTTTCTCGAATGTTATCTCAGTAGGCTTCAACTTCTGCAAGGATTGTCGAGCGAGTATATATATCAGAGTAAAATATCATCATATGTGTTTCCATTCAATTGCATTTTCACACTCTTTTCGAAAATAAAAAATAATAAAATGGTATATAAACAATAAAAAATATAACTTTTTTACCAAAGAACATCATTTTCAACTCTTAAAACTCCAGACAAAATATCACATTCAACCACAATTTTGGGCTCCAAAAAAAAACCATTGTGTTCAGCTATATTGAACAGTCGCAAGTCACAACAATACAGAGTAACAGGATACAGGATATACACTCAGAACTATTGACCAATTTACCACAAAAATTCAAAGTCAATTGTGTAAATTCATAATTAATACATCGGTAGCGCCGCAATAAAATCTTGCATAAATTTCAACTTTTCAGACTTATTTTTTTAATTATAATAAGTTTCCACATTTGTTACATCTATTTCCATACCAAATTTGGCAATACAGAATTCAGCATAATGCTTCAAGTAGGGTGTGTTTGTTTGGGGCATTCTTCCCAAAATTTACTATTCATCAATTTTTTTTCCCCAAAACCATCAAATAGAACACCTATTTTCATTTTTTATATTATACTAAAAAATCAGTTTTTCATTCAAAATATCACATCATACAACTATTTCAATTCAAAATTTTACTATTCAAATCCCAACTCAAAATCCAAACCCCGAAACAAACACACCAACTGAACTGAGTATAAAATATTCAAAATGCAAAATATTTTTGAAGCAATTCACTTTGATTTGAAATTGGCCAGTTTTAAAAATTCGCATTAACAATAATTTGCCGAATTCATCGAATTGAATAACCAAAAATCAAATTTTGTGCTCTCCTCTACATGCAACAGATATTACCTTAGGTACGGGAGCAATACTGCGCCGATGTCTGATGACAAAACCGACCCTCCCAAGCCTTAAAATTACTGGCTGGTTATCATCTGGGTGCTTCCCCTGAAACAAAAACCCAATGTGATCATTGGAATGAAAATTTGGAACTGACAGAAAAATAATGCATTGTATTGTAAACATACCAAGGTAATCGGATACTTCAACAAATCAAAGGCATCTTCTAAGGTGACTGACTCCACATCTTTGATCTAGCATTCGAAAGAAAGCAAATATTATAAGAAAGCCGATCAAGAAATTCAAGCACAAATGTGGCCATATACTTACATGAGCTAATGAGGCTCGCTTAGGTTGGTATCCCTTTCGATCTTCACCAAGCTGCACATAGTGTCCGAATGGACCACACTTTAAAAGAACCTGTTAAATTGTCAAACAGCACTATATTTTTTAAGATTTTAAAATCTAGAATAAAAATAAAAAGGGGCAAAAATGCAATTATAGAGGAAAACCTTCTCATTTGTTGCTGGATGCAGACCGAGCAACTTAGGCTCCTCCATACTTTTTTGCTTGTCTTCGGGATCATCTTCTTCATCTTCTTCTTGGCCATAGAGAGTTCTAGCAATATACCTGAAGATAGACAGAAATGCTTGAATGAAAAATAAATAATTTGCAAGGTACCCCCTATAGAATAAATAATAATAATAGCTACGAAAAAAAATAATCCATTATTTTGTGGAAACTCCCAAGAAAACCCATGAGGAGATAATATCACTATTTTTACACAATTTTCCGAGCAATTCAACTTTTGTAGAGGATTAGTTATACTCACTTGCACTGTGGGAGTTGATCACAAGCAATGAAATATCCAGCACCAAACCGACTCACTTTGAAAACCAATGTCCCCACCAAGCAACTCGGGCATGTTCTATCTCCGTCGGGGAGAGAAGAAAACAAGGTTTTGCCAAATGCTTTCTCCAAAACCTTCTCCACCTGAAGAACAGGGACTTTGTTGGCACTCTCACAATACTTGCTAAATCGAGTCCAATAATCTTTTAGAAGGCCTTTCCATTCAGTTATTCCAGCAGATACATTATCCAGTTCGGTCTCCATATCAGCAGTGAAGCTATAATCTGTCACCTCGGAGAAGTAATGTGAGAGAAATGCAGACACCATGCGACCGCGAAATTCAGGATGTAATGTCCTGCCTTTCGAAGAAATATATTTTCTATCTTTCAGCACCTTAATAGTGGTTGCATATGTGGAAGGCCTTCCCATCCCAAGTTCCTCCAGCCTTTTCACCAATAATCCCTCGGAGTAACGGGGCGGATGCTGTGTATAGTGTTGCTCGGTTACTATTTTTATCAAGGATAACTGTTTCCCGCGTTGCAGATTACTCAGAATCTCAAATTCTTCCTTATTATCAGAATCATCAGCCTCCTGCCTTCTTACTCGTGTGGTTTCCGCATCCATGTAAACAGCCTGAAAACCCGGAAATTCCACCCTTGAGGATGAGGAACCAAACATAATGGACTGATTAGAATTTCCAATATCACATTGTATCTGCTCAATAACAGCAGGCTCCATTTGACATGCCATTGTCCGAGCCCATATGAGCGTGTATAACTTCAGGGAGTCTTCATCGAGCAACCCAGCAAGCACGGATGGCAGTCTTCGGATATCAGTGGGTCTAATGGCTTCATGAGCTTCCTGGGCATTCTTCACCTTCTTGAAATATTTAATTGGACTCTTTACTGCAAACTTAACTCCATACCTTTCCCGAACAAAAGACTGGATATCCTTTACAGCTTCATCCGATAAGTGTAAACCATCAGTTCTAATGTAAGTTACTAGTCCTGTAGCCTTACCATCTGGCAATTCAACACCTTCATATAGCTTCTGAGCAATTTTCATTGTATGTGAAGCGGAAAAGCCCAATTTGTTTGCAGCATCTTGTTCGAGTGTTGATGTTATGTAGGGAGTCGGAGGTTTTTTTTGGATTCTGTTGGCTTTAGTGTCAATGACTTTAAACTCAGATAGATTGATCTTCTCTTCAATATATTTTGCCTCTGTATTTGAGCTGATTGACAAAGGTTGCACTGGCTTGGAATCGAAATGAGACAAATGTGGCAGAAGAGACACACTGTTGGCTGAGTTTGGATCTTTCTTCTGGAAGTGTGCATTAATCGTCCAGTACTCTTGGGGTTCGAAGTTATCAATTTCCTTTTCCCTGTCGCATATAAGCGCCAAGGCAGCAGATTGGACTCGTCCTGCAGACTGGCAGCCTGGTAATTTCCTCCATAACAATGGCGAAACGTTGAATCCAATCAAGTAATCAAGAGCTCTTCGTGCTAGATAGGCATGAACCATATCTGCATTGATAACTCGAGGAGATTGGAGGGCACTTTGAACGGCAGATTCAGTTATTTCATTGAAAGAAACTCTTGCAACAATCACATCCTCACGCAAAGCATCCTGTTGCTTCAACATCTCAATGATGTGCCAAGCAATTGCCTCCCCTTCACGATCAGGGTCAGACGCAAGAATAAGATTTTCTGCTCTGAAACAAGGGTGGAAAATGGCAAAATAAATAAAAAAGTTTGTAAACAACATTGTGGCACCAAAGCATATTGAAAAAAAAATCACGTGTAAAAATTTTCTAATGATTCAATTCGCTACAACTTACTGACTTTAGAAAAAACATGTCCCATTCAAGACATTGTGTAAAAAAAAAAAACAAAAATCCACACATCTCACCTATGAAATATAAGATCAATACACAATTATGCACCTCCCTATTAGTTTAAACTTTGATTAAGGTGGACATAACAAAGATGACCAATAAAGGGCACAAAAGAAATAGAGCAATAGGATAATAATAAAGGAAAGGGCAGATCCAGCATAAATGAGGATAATAATTCTAATTGGACAAAAGTTATCGTACCCAGTTAATGCAACTTTTATACTCTTAAGATGAGACCAGGCAGATGATGGGACTTCCCAGACCATACTGAAATCATCATCAGGTCGTACAGACCCTGATCTTGCAGCCAAATCCCTGAAATGACCATAACTCGGCAGAACCTCAAACATTTCTCCAAGGTATCCTTGAATAAATTTTGCCTTTGCAACAGACTCAACCACCACAACAGATTTAGCAATAGGTGGATATAATTGAGGCCAAGTTTTGTTATGTTGAGATTTCGTTCTGCTGTGTTGAACGGATTGCACTGCAGATTCCTCATCAGACTTTGGCTTTGGCTTAGAACGGCTGTTTCCTTTTCCTTTTTTAACAGATATACTTGCTGCCTTCACTGCAACAGCCTTTGTCGTTGAAGTATTACTAATCGGTGTTTCTTTTTGAGCACTTGAAGTTGAACTAATCTAGAGACATGCAGAATTAGTGAAAATTATGGTGAGGCACCTAAAACACAATTAGCCTTGAGAAAAGACTTCTAACCTCTAATGATGTATGAGATTGTTTACTTTTGTTATCGTTGGTCTTGTCTGCTTTATGCTTAGCTGTGGAGCTATTCCGTATGTCTGCTGCCTTAGGAGCATTAGCACTCAATGATTGATTGTTCTTTTTCTTGCTTCTAGATTGCCGCTTCACTTTATCTTTGCTTGTTGGTGCTTGTGTACCTTTGATGTCAACGGAAGTCTCATTGGTCATAGTGTCACATAAAGAGGACAATTTGACATCTCCTGAAACAGCTTCATTGCCTTTAGAACTTTTACTTGCCAATTCATTTTGGGATGCTTCAGTGTTTTGGGCGGCAAACAACCGTGGTGACTTTGGGTGCTTCTTATATGTTTTCGATGAATAGCTTTTTCCACTGGCCAGACCTTTGACCCACAAAAACTTGTGTCCGGAACCTTCTCTGGCATATTTAGAAAATAACCTGGTTGTACTACCAAAATAATATGAACCTCCACCCATTAACTCATTATAAGAAACAGTTGTTGGCTTTCTGTAGTTGGAAAGCTCACGTCCAAAAGGTACTCCTATACCCGATGAAGTAAAAGAGCGAAGCATACCAGCATGACTCCACTGCGAACAAATCTTCATTTCTGACTTGATGCTGAGACCATAAGGTATCCTTACTCTCTGAGGTTTCGATTTAACAGCATTTGCAAACGAACACTTTAATCGGACACGAGGGTAACTTTTATATGTCAGGTTCTGTAACCAAGAACGGAAAATTAATGTGAAATACAAAATTCAGCTCGAAGTCCGCATATATCATAAGCTCTTTGACATGAAACTTTAAATCATGTAATCAATAGGAAAACTGAAGGCATACAACAAATTTAAAATGCACTCACATATTTCACATCCGTGGATAATAACCCTTAACTAATTAGCTCAATTATGGAAGCATAAATGATACAAAAATGGATAGAATGGAATAAAGCATAGTCCATTTAAGTAAAGATGGATTAAGGTATTTTGAATGATATGATTGATAGATAAAAATTTATTACATGTGCTACTAAAATACTACCTCCGTCCGCCAAATTTATGCTTACTTTTCATTTCAATTTGTCCATCATATTGTGATTACACAATACATAGCAAACACTTTTTCTATCCACTTAAATTTTACACTTACTTTAAACACATAATTAAACCTACGCCACTGTCATTGTATCACGTGTACACTATCAATTAATCACACTCCCCAATGGATTTCCCAAAATACCCGACATAATGTTTACTTTTACATTAAAATACTATTTTTTAGTCTCCGTGCTATGATAGACAAGCACAATTTTGGCAGGTGTGGGGAATACTAATTAAAGATAGAGGAAAAGAAAATTGAAAACTTTTAAGGAGAATTTTATTACTGTTGTTACATATGTCCATCCCCTCAAATAGAAAAATGTGACACTAACACAAGTTCTCTCAAAAAAACTTCAATATTGGTCACACTAGGAAATGCTGAAAGCACCTGGCAGAGAATTAGATATGAATATACTGAATCCCAATCACAATCCTGAACAGAATCTCAATGAAATTCACAAAACAAAGATATAAAATAAAAGGCTGTTCATCTTCAATATATCATGTTGTTGTCCACTTCAGAAATAATATGGGATACTGAAATATCTGAACCAACAGAATTACCAAAAATGAAAAACTAAAAACCCATAAACATGCCCAAGTTATTGTTCATCATAAAACAATTTTGATCACTACTGTATACCTGCGCCACTTGGCCACAACTCCATGTCATGCCAATAAACTTTGCTACTACTACATGCCTGCTTTGTAAATCCATTCTGCAAAATAAAAGGAAAACGAACAACAGCTTGATCATCCACAATACTGTTTCAATAAGAACATATCCATACAATCAAACAATCGCTGTTTGGAAATATAACCAAGAATGTGCAGCATATTCAAAGTAGAGAATGGTGAGCAATGTCACTTTTTCCAACCCAAACTACACGCAAACATACAAATAATTCAGCAGACATAGACTTTACTCAAAATTTTCTTTTCTTATTTAAACACAATAATCATCCACTCACTACCCATTTCTTAAATTCCATATTAAATCCAACAAACTGCTAGTCGTCGCCCCTTCTTTAAATTATAATCCAAATTCATTCATCCCCACATTTTCCTATAAACTGCCTAGCTCATAGCATCATCCAAATATCATATAATTCTTATAAAAAAAGAACATATCAAAATCAAATCAAATACTAATCGTACAGAATACACAATCATGTAAAACAGCTCAGAGATTAACTGCGATCATCTGCCACCTCAGTCACGCACAGGGAAGTTTCTCAGGATGCAGAAAATTCAAAATGCCGGCAAAACATTAGTATTTTCTCAATAATAACAGCCCAGGGGCATTAATTGAGGTAGAAACAGAGTGTTTTTTGAAGCGCACGGATAGAAAAATGTGACGAACAAAAGCACTGTAGAATACATTGCAAGAAACAGAGAAATGAATCCGTTGTCATGGTGAAAAAAAATGGCCGAGGAGGAAGGCGCACCTGTTAGAATTCAACCTGTGGAGAAGAATGCTCTGCAAAACCCTAAGCTGAGATTTTAGACCTGAACATTTGTGGGGATTGAATTGACATTTTAATCCCTCAACTTTACAAATTTTACAATTTTGTAATTATATTTGGTAAAATTACACAAAACTTCTTCTTATTTTTTAAAAAACACTCCATAAAATTCTTTAAAATTGCATAAGAGTTTTTTTTTTTAAAATATTGCACGGAATTTTATGAGTGTGTGTTTATTTGGAGAATTTTGTAAGCTTTTTACTATTTATTTAATTTTTTTTTAAAAATATCAAATCAAATATATATTTTTTATTCTGTATATGTTATCGTAAAAATTAATTTTACCGTTCAAAATATTACATCAACATCTAATTATATCACATCATACAATTATTTAAATTCAAATTTTTTATAATTCTAATCTCAACTCAAAATTAAAATCCCAAACAAACGAATTGTCAAGTATTTTGGAAATACATATAGTCTCATGTAATTCTTAAAACATAAAGAAAAAATATATATATATATATAGTGCAGATTTTTTAAATTATAAATATGTTATAACTAATTTTGCCTTATATTTTCAAGGAGATGAATATGTTTATGTTTTCAGTACTCCTCTATTCCGTAATAAAATATTTATTTTTTTTTAGTAACTGTACTATCTACTTATCATTACAAATACCGTTACAATTTACAATATATTATACAAATGTCATTACATTTATATTTATATTATACAATACTAATAAAGTTATTTTAGTCATCTCAATATAATATTAATATTTCTAAAACTCTGCAAAAAGCAAACGAATACATAGTTATGGGATAGAGTGAGTATAAATTTTGATTTTAATGATATTTGTATATGTATTTTATTGGTAATGTTTGGTTTGTTTCCTTAGTATTTTTAAATGAACATTTTTTAAAAAATATCATTAAAAAATGTATAATATAAATATATGAACACTATAATTAGTTTGTTCTTTCACATTTTTCAATGAAAAAAAAATTTATAAATATTATTACAAAAAATAAAAATATACACATATATTAATATAATATATATCATCCACCTATAAAAATTATTAGTGTTTTTTATATTAGTACTTTATACAAAATAAAAAAAAAAAAAAAATCAATTCATTTAAAACTGAGTGAACATCCTAAACAATATACATCTAAAATATATATATACATTCAAAATTTTCAAATTATTTGTGAGCCACTCAAAATTCATTTAATTTTTTCTATTTTTATCTATTTTCAACATATACATTCACAATTTTCTATTTGTTTGAAACATAATTTATGTTAATTATAAATAAATATTTTTATTAAATAAATATTTTTATTTTTATTTATTTGTATTGTATAAAATTTTATTTTTTAAAAAATTATAATCATATTATATATTTTTTAGATAAAATAACATAAAACTCTTGTGTTATTTCAAAAAATTCTGTCAAATTTCCTATAATTTTAAAATTCCGTTAAACTAACCTGGTTTAATATACTTTGCATCATATTCATACCGTTAATGATTAATAAAAATTGAATTTCTGTCACCCTTTAATGCAAATATAATTTATTAATTGCAACAGAATAATATTTCATCCGTTATAATTAAAATTATTTTTTTTTTGACTAATTTTGTCTTTTCCACTTCAATTTTTTTATTTTATAAAAAAATAATTATACATTAATATTAAGATATTTTTAATTTTTACTTAAATTACAAACATATCATTACACTTACAATTACTTTAAACATAAATTCAAATAAAAAAAAAAAGTTAAAAACTCGTACACACAGTTACACTAACTAATAAAATGCTATTATTTTTCAATCTATTACAAAACCCCAAAATGCCTTACTGAATTCAGGCACAAAGAGTAATAAGAAATTTACAAATTTACCCTTAATATGACATTCTTTTGTCTCATGTTTCATCTTTCTCGTTCTTGTTCTTCACATTTTACCTTGCTTTCTTCTTCTTTTCTATTATTCTTACCTTGTTTTCCTGCTCATTTTTTTGTTGTAAAATTGACGAGAAAAATATGATAAAATATTTAATTCAAAATAATTTGAAGGAACTTTTTTTTTTTAAAATAAAAACATACACAAATTACAGTGATTCATGATAAATTCTTACATCTACGAGCAAATACCTATGATAAAAATAACACAAAGAATCCAATTAAAATGAAGCGAAAGAAGATCCTAATTTTCTCGTATTCTAAACAACAAATCCAATCCGCAAAATCGAATTCGAATCTCTAAATTGATTTCGTGAGAATTGCCCTTTTTTAAATTGAGCTCCACCGACGGCTTAATTTCAAGTCACATAATAATAAGTTTTCACATAGATTGGAAACTATCAAACTTCAAACAAACGAACTCACATACTACATAAGCTGATCAAGTTCAGACTGTGTTTGATCTTGGATGCCACCAATAATTTAATCTTCGCATCCATTGATTATCAAATATTGAAGATTTTTTTTTTTTTTTTTTTTTTTTTTCAAAATTCTATGTTACAAACAAAGCAAAAGAAACATAATTTGGAGGTGGATTTACTTGTCTTCTCATATGACCAATATGCATATTATTCGGACATTATTTGAATCACAATTTGATGAAAAATCAGTAGAAATTGATGCATAATCTAAAATTGTGCTGTCTTAAAGTAAATAAATATTATTTTTTATCAAAGATTTCATGAATCACATGCGAAGAATTTTTAGAAACTCGTAGAACTCCACTAAATTGACTTTAATTAAGGATGTAAATATTATTATTATTTTTTTAAAAAAAACAAAAAAAGAAAAATAATAACATAATTATTGATTAATTGTATATAGGAGAGTGTGCAAGATTTATTCAACCACCGAGGGTTTAACGCAATTTCAACAGTACAGAGGTTTTGACGTAAATTTTATATGTATAATTTTATGGAGTATCTCTAAATTTAGATCTCGTATTTAATACAATTACATATTTTCATATAATTAATATACTCCATCCGTCCCATAATTATAGTGTGGGTTGAGTTTGACACGAGATTTAAAGAATATTGATATTATATTAGTAATGAGTAAAAAGTACGGGTAAAAGACTTTTTTGCCATTTGTGAGTGTATTAGTGTAAAAAATAGTGTCAATTGTGTAATAATAATAAAAAAGTAAAGGTAATTTATAGTGATATGGTTATTTATGAAAATAAGACTATTATTTTGAAACGGACACTATTGTATTTGAACGGAGAGAATAGTATTTTATTAGTTGTTATTTATAATTTAACTTAAAAATTAAAAATTAATGTGTAATAATTTATAAAAAAAAAACATATTATAATTTTAAATATAAAAATCTAATAACAAAAAAGGTAAAAGAATCATATTTATTGGATTACATAATAAAATAAAAGTGAAGCAATATTATACAGTATCTCGTTTAGCGCCAAATATATAGATCCATCCGTTTAATCTCAGCCGTTAATTCGCAAAAGCTAATCTACGGTCCAAAAGCAAGATCCGCGTCACCAGTGGGATTCCCCTCAGCCCTATATAAGCCGTCCGCCGTCCGCACCTCTTTCATTCATCATCTGCCTTCCTAGAGAGCTTCAACCCTACCGGAAAATTCTCCAAATCCCTAACCTAATTTTCATATTCTAAAAATGGCTTTGAAGGGCGAGAAGAAGCCGGCGGAGAAGGCGCCGCCTGCAGCGGAGAAGAAGCCGAAAGCTGGGAAGAAGTTGCCGAAGGACGCGGCCGCCGCCGTCGCCGGAGACAAAAAGAAGAAGAGGACGAAGAAGTCGGTGGAGACGTACAAGATCTACATTTTCAAAGTGCTGAAGCAGGTTCATCCTGACATCGGAATCTCCAGCAAGGCGATGGGGATTATGAACAGCTTTATCAACGATATTTTCGAGAAATTAGCGCAGGAATCTTCGCGATTGGCAAGGTACAACAAAAAACCGACCATTACCTCTCGCGAAATCCAGACTGCGGTGCGGTTGGTTCTCCCCGGAGAATTGGCGAAACACGCTGTCTCTGAAGGTACGAAGGCTGTGACGAAGTTTACCAGCTCTTGATTTAATCGAAATTCGTTCGTTAGGGTTTCTGATTTGGCTTTGTTGGGGAAATTGTTGGTGGACTATACAGATTTGTTGGTTTTGGCGATTGTTTAAGGTTGGATTTGGATATTGTTTCATCAATCTGGATTTGATATTTCAAACGATGATTTGGATTTGAGATTTTTTTTGGGAACAATCAATGGGGATTTTGTTTACACGTTTTCTGAAAATCTACCAATTCGATCATAAACATCATATTATGAAAATCACACAGAGTACTCTAAAAATTACAGAAATTCTCTAGTATCATTGGAATCATTTCTAACGATGATAATATTTCATAGTTATTAACAAGGGTATGATTGTGTAGAAATTTGGAGCTTTTTTTTTTATCGTGCTGCATATTTTATTTTATTATATCATTTAATAAAAATATATTAATTTTATATTATAAATATAGATTTATTAGAAAAGTAATAATCGTTGTATTCGGCATTGTATATAGTTCAAAATTACATTTCATTTTATTTGATAAAAAATTATACACTTTCTATTTCAAACATCTTGCAATATATATATATATATATATTTTAATATATGTCTCAAACTCACTGAACATTTAGTGGAGGGAGTATACCTTAATTTTATTTTAAAATTTAATTAAATTAAATAATTATTTTTTATATTTCTTTAAACTCAACTGCTACCAAAAAAAAATTCTGACTCTCCATATTTATTTGGTTATTTTAATTTGTCTAATTTTAATGTATCCAAATTTTTAAATCATTGTGAATTAAAGAAAAATAAATGCACAGTCAAAATTATCTTTTATCTATTATATTTATAAATACTACTAATATTTTAGAATCTGTATAAAACATAAAAAAATATATTGAAAGTAGATGCGGCAATATATAAATTTGATTCGTTCTGTATTTAGAAATTATAATTTCCCCAAAATAATGATAAATAACATAAATTTATATTTATATATATATAAAAGTCAAAAAAAAATCTTCAAGTAAAATATTTAATATAAAATAATATTTTCTTTGTATTTAATTTAAAAGAATATTTTTTTTGTCTCATCTAGATATCAATAGCTGGATATTTAATTACTTTTTTATAAAATTTTATATATATTACTATTACATTAATATGTAGCAAAAATAATGTACTACATAATGTAAATTTAAAAATAATAATATTTATGTAATATATTATAAAATATTTTTAATATTATATAGAAAATATTATTATTAAAAAATAAAATTAATATTTTATTACAAAAAAATGAGTAATTTATTAATAAAAAGATGAATTTAAATAATTATTTGATTCAATATAAATAAATATTGACCTTATATTTTAAATATAAAATGAATTTATAATATATTATTTTTAAAAAAAAACTATTTTTGAAAAAAAAAGAATATAAATAATAAAAACATGTGTTAAAACCACAAAAATCAAAACTTATTTCTTTGTTTTATCCCCACTTTCACCTCCTTCAAAGGATATCTCAAGGTCTGGTCTGGTCTGGTCTGGATGGATATATAGAGACAGACAGATGAACAACTCTCTATCTATCTATCTATCTATGGAGCTATGGCTAAACTAACTGTTTCCCCTAATGTCACACTCACACTCACACTCAACTCATACAAAGTAAGTAGAAAGAAAATCTTTCCCTAAAAATATTAGAAATTGAAACAAGTTCCTTCAAACAAGCAAATGTGTTGAAAGTGAGATTAATTAGCAGAATTGAATGGAATGGAATGGATGTCAAGTGTCAATTATGATCACAATCAGAAGATTGAACTAACGTGATTATATACATCTGATCAAACTATTATGTAACAACTCACAATGTCAATATGTCATCCTCCTCTACCTCTACCCCTACCTCTCTCTCAAGACTCTTTTGATCCATTTCTCCCATTATTTCCTGACCTGACCTGCCACAATTACAACTAGTTACTTCTTCAATCTCAAAATCAGAAACTTGACAACATTTAGGTTAGCCACCAAGAAGAAGAAGAAGCCAATAATACATCTCATCTATCTATCTAACAAAAGTTGCAACACCAGAACCACTAAATACAATCACTACACAATCATTCAACATTTCAAAACACACAATGCATAGATAAATAAATAAATAAATAGAAATCGCAATTAAACGCACGCTTAAACAATGTTAACAATTAGTTTCCCCCTCCCTCCCTCAGGTGTTCAACGGAATGACTGCATCTGCATGATTGAGCAAGCATCAATCTTCGCTTCTCAACAAAACAAAACCAAAAAACTCACCACCAGCAGCCATTAATTAAGTGACAGCTTAGAATGCAGCACAAATTCCAAATTCAAGCATATATTACACACCTCAAGGTATGTAGATTCCAATGCGATGAAATTGTGGAAAGTATAGTATAGTATAGTATAGGGAGAGGACTTCAGTTCACGAACCTAATTTCAAAACTGCAAATGCAAATACCACCCTAGAAGTATATATATATATATACATCAATTCAATTCCAATTTCGCTTCTCTTATCTTCACACAGCCAAATACACCTTAAATCACGACGCTCCTTCCATTTTCTTGCGGTTGAAACTTGGGAAGTTAGGTGAAATTCAAATCAAAATCCTGAAAGGGAAGAAGGAAGTTATTACTTATAAATATAAATGATCTCCAAGTATGACAGTGTTCTTTTTTTATCCAAGTATAGTAACCTGCATTCTTCTTTATTTTAGGAATAGGAATTTAACTTTCTTGTTTATTTCTTTCTACGATTTTGCTTTCAATCACTAACCTTATTAAGCTTTAATTTAATTTAGTTTTCTCTCAGGATAGTTAGTTTTGGGTTGAATTGCTGCATGATAAAACTACTAAGGTCAGGGGCGCAAAGGAGGCCACAACTTTCTTGCGACTAACCAAGGTTGGTTATTCCTTTGTAGAAGCATCCCTTCTAGGATTTTATAAATCTTACTGTTACGAATGGGAATAATATTCTTGTACGGTGCTTTGCAAGCAATATATATGTACAAGTGAACAAATAATGACAATTTTTTCTTATTTCTTTTTTTATTCCGACAATCTTATGTTGCCCTCTAATCTTCACGTAAGCCTATCTACAAACATAATATACTAAAAAACAGTTAGTATGCAATTTAGAAATGAAATCAATTCATGCATACAAGTCGCAGGATGTAACTATAATTCTTAATATTATATGCAAGTATGCTAAAATAAATGCAATGCATGAATATACGACAAAAAGAACGAAATACTCCCTATTAGGAAGTCATGGATAATCGACCGCACTAATAATAGGGATTATTTCGTCATTTTCCTCTTACATTCATGCATTGCATTTAATAATAGGATTATAATTACATTTTGGAACATGCATCCATGCATTGATTTCATTGCTAAATTTCATAACAAATCCTTCAATCTCAATTTTGGAACATAACCAAATGATCCGTAAAATCCATTTTAAACAAAATGGATGTATTCAACTACACCGAAGATAGAGACTATTCCTTCACTTTCTTTCTTACAAAAGCATCGATACTTTTTTCTTTTATTCAACATATAATACTTTTTTTTCTTTATAATATGATAAAGGTGCATGTGTTGTAGTGGTTAATTGTAATGTTACACCACCACAAAGCGATCCAAGACTTCCATCCAAAATTTTGCTTAGAAAAAATTGCAAAAAAAACAATATTATTTCCAAAAAATTTTTTATCTCATTTAAAAATAATTATCAAAATTATTACAAAAGCTGGGATGGCGACTAATTTCGGATCAAACAGTCCATGTTTAATAACAATAACACATTGGTGTTATTAGTAATGTTAACAAAAACAATTTATAAAACATTATTACTAACACAAGACGTTTTTGTTATCACATACGAACATGTTTGATCCAAATCAGTTACCGTTATGTCAGCATTGAAATTCATCAAAATTGATGATTTATATTTTTTTTAGATGAGATTTAAAAAATATATATATATATCATCGAAGTCAAAGAGAACAGATGAACTGGTGGGAAGCAGGAACAGAATTTTACAAGGAACTTACCATATTTGCAGTCATAGAAACAACACATACTTTGAATCCATCACCACCACCACTTTACTCGACTGTAAATTGAAGATTTAACAGATGGTACTTCCCAAGGTAGAATAGAAATAACTGCAGTAAAACACAATTACATGTAGAATGGTATCAATATCTAAATCAATCAGCCTTCCCTTCACCACAGCAAAACATTGGAATTTTCAAGCATTGGAAATAGCTACTTTCACCCGCTAATTGAACGTTGAAAAAATTTACCTGAAGAATCAGAGTGCACAGAGACGCATCCGCCATTATTGAATTCAAATGAATTTGGAGCTCATATATGAACTGCAAAGTGACTTGGAAAACCAAACAAATTGAAAATTTGCTAGAATTTCAAAAGGCTAATTTCAACAAGGCTGATTGAATGATGTTAAGGAGATTTAACTTACCAATCAGAGTGCAGAGTTGCATTCACCGTTGCTGAATTCGTACAAGCACTCTGCTAAGCAAACAGAAGGTGCAATCAGGCATCAGTAAGAGGTGAGTTTAAAAACCAAATAAATTGAAATTTTGCAAGAATTTGAAAAGGCTAATTGAATGTCAAAGAAATTTACCTCATCAACAGAGTACACAGAGTTGCATTCACCATTGTTGAATTCGTATGAACTCTGAGCACTCCGCGGAAGCAGACAGAAGGTGAGATTAGGAATCAGTTAAAAAAATAAGCGATATATGAACATTGAACTAATTTAGAAAACTGTAAAATTGTTAATTAATACCCAATATCATTCATCATCGAAGTAAAAAACGACAGAAGATCTAAACCAGCCTAAATTTACATCAACCCTAACAAAAACTAGAAATCAAGCTAGAGATAACATTGCAGAAGCAATTCAGTCCAAACCAACCCTAATTAGAGAGAAAATGTAATCTCATCCTTTCAAGAGCTGGTGAATTTAGTAACCGCCTTGGTGCCTTCGGAAACAGCGTGCTTAGCCAACTCGCCGGGGAGAACCAATCGAACCGCCGTCTGGATCTCGCGCGAAGTAATCGTCGGTTTCTTGTTGTAACGCGCAAGCCGAGACGCCTCCTGCGCCAATTTCTCGAAAATGTCGTTGATAAAGCTGTTCATAATCCCCATCGCCTTGCTGGAGATTCCGATGTCAGGATGAACCTGTTTCAGCACCTTGAAGATGTAGATCTTGTAAGTCTCCACCGACTTCTTCGTCCTCTTCTTCTTTTTGTCTCCGGCAGCGGCGCCGCCTTCCTTCGGTAGTTTCTTCCCAGCCTTCGGTTTCTTCTCCGCTGGAGCTTTCTCCGCCGCCGGAGCCTTCTCCGCCGCCGGTTTCTTCTCGGCCGGCTTCTTATCTGCTGCCTTGGGAGCCATTTGTAGAGAGGGAAAGTTAGGGTTCTGAGGTAAACGAGGTTTGCGGGAAAGGGAATAGTGCGTACTGATGGTAATGAGATATTTTGCAACGCTTTAGGATTGTTTATATAGTGGAGGCGTCAGGTGCCATTGGTTGAATCTTGCGTACACGGATCGTCATGGAGAACCGTTGATTAGATTATTAGACGGACGGTGCAGATTGGTCAGACAAACCTTTATGGTTTTCCTTCTGAATTTCGAACATTTTCGTTTGGCGGTATTTGGAAAATTCGCAGTCCACGTGTTTTTCAAATTTCAACAAAATTTCGTAGAATTGCAAATCCCCGCTTATTAATCTAAAATTACCCTGAAAATTTAGGGTGGGTTACTCTGCATCAAATTTCAAAATTTTATTATTTTGAGTTTTATATTTTAAAATAAAAATTATAAAATATTTTATTTTACATTATTTTATTACGAAATTGAAACTAAATTTTTTTTAAGCAAAATCACAAGAAACAAATTCGTATTTTTAATATTAAATTTAAAATAAAATTATATTTAAATGATACTTGAGGTATATGTTTTAGTTATTTTTTATTATTTTAATTTAATCTAATATTCTTAAATAAATATTTCAAGTTAATTTATCCATTTTAGTTGTGCACAATATTTTATATTTTATGTAATTTGTAAGTAATTAAAAAATATATTAATAAAAATAATATTAAAATAATTGAATAGTTTAATTAAAATAAAAATATATAAATTTTAAAATATAAAATAAGCTATAACAATCATATTTAAACGATCTATTGCATATAATAACAAGAAAGATAAACTTTTATGTAGTATTTTATTTTGGACTTTACTCAATATGCATGTTGGGATTCTAGATCTTCCTGAACGTCGGGTGATTTGCACAGATTCTCAACCAAATAATTAGAACGGATAAAAACGATGGTTAAGAATATGAAACAATATATTAAGAATTGAAAGAAAAATAGATCAATTGGTAAAGTAAGCTCAGATCGCAGCCACTCATTCGTCAACTCCAAGTCGTCCTATGAGGTAACCCACAAGGTGTCGACTACGATGGTTCCTAACACGAAGTAACCCAAGAACCCTATATTGTTCCTCGCACACGCAGTATCAGGAGGAAAAGTAACGAGAGAAGCCGATAGGCTTAGGCAGTAGGTTCGTTGCTCACATAACATAACATAACAGAATAGCAATCTCGTTACACCCCTCTCCTAAAATCCCAGACCCATATATATATAGAGAGAGAAAAGGTGGACGGATAGAACTCAAAAGAGTAGGGAACAACATTACCTTATCAACAGCCAGACAGACTAAATCAATCTCGAAGAAATAGGGATAGCACCGTGAATAAAAGAACAGATTTAAGAAGGGTTCAAAGATTCGAACATAATGGGATTAGATCGGTTAGATCGATTCTGGTTTAGGGAAGGATTGTTGGGGTGCAAACCCAAGTCCCACATTCGAAGTTGTGAAGAAAATTAAACATCTTATAAATCCTAAGTAAACTCCGCTAGTATGAGGCATTTTGGAGAATATCCAAAAACAAATCCATGCGAGCTCAGCCCAAAGCGGACAATATCATACTAATGTTGAGTTGACCCAGTCCCAACAGTGGTATATCAGAGCCTGGTTCGATGGTGAAGTGGACTGAGTGGCATTGGGGGCATAGGTTGTGATGATGGGCTCGCCCTCGTGACCTGCGGGTGCAAACCCAAGTCCTACCCGGGCTCAGCCCAAAGTGGACGAAAAATAGTAAAGCATCTGAAATTGATACGGTAAATATATAAATGCAATTAATTTTAAATAGTACTTTTATATCAAAATAATGTATTGAAAAATTTAAAGACCCTAATGAATCAATAAATTTACATAAAAATTATCGAGAAACAAAAAATATGTGGTCAAGTCTCATCGTCGCAGGATAATGCTACATCTGAATCTCATAGGCTTTTGGCATTTATTTTGGATCTATCCGATTGAAATGTTGATTGTGAACATTTTTATTTGAATAGTAACTTTGGCAACTCTTCTAACGAACGACCAATATGTGTAAAAAAATCAAATGTTAAATGAAATTTGATAAAGTGTATGTTGCTGACTTTGCTAAGTTAGATAAGCACAATGCAGAACTTTATAAATGATGAAAAACAATTGTTATGATATACAAAAATACTTTTATATTTCAACAACAAAAAATATAACTTGCACAAGCCAAAATAGAAGATAAAATCATGTCAATCAACTTGAGCACCATTCGGCTACTTATGTTTTTTTATTGGACATGAGTCCAAAAGCTACTCGTCATACAACAATACTCCAAATAATAAGGCTTCAAATGATCAGAATTTAAAGAAAAACAGTTCCAAAAGATGAGGTTTTGGATGAGAAAGCTTGAAGACATTTCTATGTTTGTTTTATATTTAATGTTAGACATTTTTCTATAATAAATGTCATTCTCAATATTTTTTATTCATAATAATGTAAATTTAATATAAATAATTTATAATTATTTTATTATAATTAATTAATTATAAATATCAATAAACAGTAAATGAATCAATAAATATAGTATAATTTATTATAAATACCAACTATAAACATAAAATATAAAAATAAATTGTTTTGTAAATAATAATAATATTTTTTTTAAATAAAAACTAAAATAAAGGAGAAAAAATATAATATTTAAACAAATTTAAATTAAAATAAAGGAAAAATAGAGAAGCGGCCGATGACAAGGCGTCGACTGCACGAAGCGACGTCGATTGTGATTTTAAATTGATTTGAAATGAAATATTAATGTGAATTTTTATTTAAATAATATTTTACATTGATATTTTATAGAAATAAACAATATATTTTTGTTAAAAATTATACAAAATTAATATTATTGATTTTGATTTAAAATGATAAGATAATAAATTTCCAATGATCTATAAATAACTAAATTAGCAAATACCAAAAAGGGGTGTCATGGTTAAACCCTTATAAACATGTGAATGTCATGCCATGAAAATATCAAATATATATAGTATAAAAATATATTTTACCCGTCATAATTTAAAGTACTATTTTTATTATTTTTGTCAGTCTTATTTAAAAGTATATTTTTCTTATTTTAGTAAAAATAATTATATAATAATACCCAAATAATCTTAACTTTTATTTAAATTAAAAACATATAATTATATGGAGTATATTATTACTTTATACATAAAGTCAAAAAATAAAAATGTCAAAATCTCTTGCACACTTTAATATTAACTATCCTTTAATTTTTAAATAAATTATAAACACATAATTACACATACAATTAATTTATATATGAAATATAAATAATAAAAATATTAAAATATGTTTTTATTTTCGATACTCAATAAAATATTAGTATATATTAATTTACTATAAAATTTCAAAATACTTCATTTGAATTGGAATATGAAAAAAAAACATACTTCCTCCGTCCAATTTGAAATGACTCCTTAATTTGGGACACATTATTTAAGGTAAAATGATTTAATTAATTAATAATAATGAGTTATGATATTATTTGATTATATTTTTATATAAGTAGTATTGTTAGTGATTTTAAAATAAAAATTATTATATATAATTAAAATAAATTTGAAATATATGTTTAAATATTTTAAATAATAAATATATTCTCAATAAAATATATGTAATATGACATTATTTTGTAGAGAATAAAATTTTAAATAATACAAATAAATAAATAAAATAATAATTTATTTATAATTAAGATATAAAATTTTATGACAAAGGTGAAATTTTAGATATAAATAAAAATATTTGTTTATTGAAGAGAGAAATAAAAATAGAGGGGGGTTTGAGTGCGTCTTAAGTGATGAGTGATGTTATATATTACTTCATCCCTCTTATGTAATATGAGTCTATTGCTACAGATAATTTTGGTAAAATATAATTAATAAGTAATTAAAAAATATATTAGTAAAAATAATTATTATATAGTAAAAATAATTATATATTAAAATTAAGATAACTAAATAGTTTAATTAATATTAAAAAAATTGTAAAATTAAAAATGTGATTAAGGTATATAATCATATTTTTTCCAAAAAATGACAGATGATGTATGATAAAAAAATTAAAAAATAGAGAAAAATTACGTGGGATTAAAGAAATATAAAGTTAATTAAATTATTTTATATTTGTTAAATAAAAATAAAAACGTACCCGTGCCAATTAAAGTGAACAAACAAACGAGAAAATTGAAATGAGATAGTAAGTAATAAAGAAAGATTTACCAAAAATCAATAAATAATGGCTGACTTATCTAAAAGAAGGCCTAAAATAGAAGAACAGTTAAGGGCCCATGAAGCCCAATAACACAATAAATTAAAGACCACTCGCATCCATCGCACGCAGTTTTTCAACTTCCACTCTCTCTCTCTCTAGATTTCAAATGCTCTGACCTTCTATAAGCTTCGTTCTTCGCCTTGCACACACACCCACACACGCTCCAACACGCAGGGATAAAATTCGCTGCGAATTCTGCAATGGAAGGGGACAAATCTACATACAGTGCAGCATCCTCTGAGGTTGAGATGGATCAGTCGTCGCCTCGCAAATCCACGCCTCCTTTAGGTATTATTATTGTTATTATTCGTCTTACTTTGACATTTCAAGGTTTGTCCGGAGATCTGCGTCGCTGGATCTGTTTTCTCTGGTTCGAATTATGATTCCGTGTGAATTTCGTGTTTTCTTCAGCTCATTATTTGCTTCGTTAAGTCAATTTTGGACGGGAAAGATTACATGTGGGTGAAATGCTTGAAATAATATATGGCAGTGGAAAATTGTTGATGTGGTTTAATGCTTGGTCTTGCTTGTTTTTGTAATTGTTAACGGTGTTCTTATGTGGGAATTGGACGGTGATTTTTATTTTTTTTACTTATTTTATTTTCTGCAGTTCGTGAAACTTTCTGGTGCATGAGTGAAGTAATACCAGCTGAGATGTGGAATCTTAATAATCTTTTAGTGGAAATATCTTGCTCACCCTGTAATTGATGGCAACGGAATAGGGATTTGATAGATTTACATAGGTATATTCGAGGTAAAAACTGTAGAACTGATGCTTTCATGCGTACGAATCTCATATAAATGTTTCTCAATAAGAGAAATGAACAGTGGGATCGAATACTTTTAACCATTAAATGCTTTTATGCTGATGTTGGAGAACTTCAATTATGTGCATGAACAGCTTTATGCTATTAGCTAATTTACAGCTGTTGTTATAAATTTTAAGTTCTCGTGAAATTTTTCGTGCATCATTGATGGAGAGCACACTGTTTTCTACCCATGTCATTTGATATGGTTTTGTTATAGCACAGGAGATTACGAAAATGGGTTTCGATTGTTTTGTGTTGCACTTTAGATGTAATCTGATTCTAAATCTGATGCCCATCAATTCTGATGAATGGAAATCATACTGACATGCTGTGATTTTTGGCTTAATAATATTTGCGAGTAATCTGTCCCATCTTTGGGCAGCATAGAACCGATAGAGTGTTAAATTGGAAGTGTTGGACAATTACGCAAAAGCTCCTCACGATATGTTACAGTAATGTTGAGGTCGGCATATCTATAGGTTTGCAAACACCATGACAATGATAAACTGAATGGTATTGGTGGAAATTTTTGAGAGGGTTTTAGACTTTTGGAAATTTTATGCTGAACTGGTGTGACATAGGATAGTCTCAGTACAATTAATGTGAATATCTGGGCATTATACGAGCATGGTATCATCATCCTATTGGATTAATTTAATTTTTCATTTAGCTTATTCTGCAAAATTATGTTTAGGCATATCTATTTATGCATTGAACTTAATGCGAACTTATTCTTTTTCATATTTTTGTATGCATTGATCTCCATTGATTTCTTCCGCGCTTGGCTGCTTTTTCAAATTAGATAATTTGAATAATAGCGTAAGTAATCTAAATGTTGAGAGCAGTCAAGCCCAGTATAAATTAATGGAGGCAATTCGAACAAAAATTTGAAAAAGAATATTGAAACATGATATCAATTAAGAGTTTCCTCTTTGTTTCTTTCTTTTTCTCTGCTTGTACCTTGAAATATTGCTTGTATGTGACCTCGAATGTCTTATAGTATTAGAGCGATCATTTAAGTTCATTTGAATATACTACACATATTAGTTTCTACTCTTGCATCCAGATTTTGATTCATTTCTCTCTGGTCTAGGAATTGTAGGCATGCTATATTTCCTCCCCTTGAAAAATTTATGTTCTTGGTGATTGCGCAGACAATGAAGAGAAGACCACTCATCTTAGGTTTCTTTTATCAAATGCTGAGGCTGGTTCCATAATTGGGAAAGGTGGTTCCACAATAAATGATATCCAATCACAATCTGGAGCCCGGATTCAGCTGTCACGTAATTATGAGTATTTTCCTGGCACATCTGATAGGATTGTCATGGTCTCTGGAATTATTGATGACATATTAAAGGCACTCGAACTGATTCTCTCCAAATTACTACAAGAGGTTAGGAGAAGTCTCCCAATATTTCAGGGGATAATTATTTGGATGTATTGTTTAAAGTGTTGTTCTTCTGGGCTCAGTTTTATGTACAGGATGGGGTTGAAGTCGAACCTGAATCAAAGATTAGACTTGTTGTGCCAAATAGCTCTTGTGGTGGAATCATTGGGAAGGGTGGATCCATCATAAGGTTAGCCTGTTTGTTTTTGATTTTGTCCAAGACATCCCCTTTTCAGTTGATGTTGAACTTAATGACTAAATTAGAGTTGTTATCATTGAGGTCAGGTCATCTGATTCTTAAGCATAACATATATAAGTTTGGGACCATTATTACACATTATATCAATGCTATCAGTTAAAGTCAATGGTCAACAATGAAACTATTTCAGTATCTTTTCTTGTGTAATTCTGTTAAAAGGGGTCGGGTCATTCACTCAATCACTCCTTGATTGAATCATGCTTTTTGAGTGGACATATTTTAGCTTGTAACATCTTAAACTTTGATGAATGTAGAATGGAATATATACCCATAATTAGGTTGGTTATACTTAAATTTAGTCATGACTTCAAACTATTGTACACAAGGTTTAGAACTCTGACATGCTGAATGAGTGTTATTCTCAAAACACACACAAAGCAAAATAATCATGCAGTTTTGTTACGAAGCGTGGTTGTTGTTGATTGACCCACAACTTTATTAAGCAGCATGGTCATTTTGTTTCAGTGCATGCTGATTGTGTAATTATATCTATTTCCTAGAGCAAAACCTAGTCGCGGACATGTGAATAAGAAACAAATCTGGGTAGGTATTGGGACTGGTTACCCAATTAACTTATTAATTAATACTCAAGTTTAATTGATTGATACAAGGGATGCCTAAAAGTTTGTGCACTATCTAACTTTGCATGATGTTCTATAAAATTATTCCTAATGTACAGAAAACTAGGCATCAAATGAAAAGTTGTTTCAACAAATACTTGAATTTGGGCTCTATAAATGCCTGCCTAACTTCAACCAAGACAATCTTATCTTTTGTTCTACACGTGAATTTTCTTCCTTTGGCTGCCAAGTATCCAAAATACATTCAACTGGCCTCTCTAACTCTACCCTGCTCTCAAATTGATCCGTATATGTAATAATGTTTTCCCTCCATGTGTTAAATTTGATAATGTGAAACTAATGGTTAAATCATTTTCTAAGAGTGATGTTCATGTGCCACGTTTTACTTATTTGCTGACTCTTAGAAGTGAGTGTGTTAGTGTAACAAATGTTTATAAATGTGAAGAGCAGCCATTAAAAACCAATCATTTATCTACTTTTTATCCAATTGTTGAAACAGGACATTGATTGAAGATTCCAGGGCTAGCATCAAGATATCTCCCCAGGATCTCATTTACCCCGGTTTGCATGATAGGCTAGTGACGGTGGCCGGAGGTTGCAGGGAACAATTACGGGCGATTGAACTGATCCTACTGAAATTGGCAGAGGATCAGATTTATCATCAATCTGCAAATGTTCCATTTCCCTATGCAGGTACTGTTACTAATTCTTTCTTCAACCATTGTTACTATTTTGATGGCACTGGGATCTCTGATTTTTTTTTGCTGATTCATTTTGTTGTTATTGCTGTGAATGAATAATCTGATAAAACCACTAAAGTATATAACAAGACATATATATATATATATATAGAGAGAGAGAGAGAGAGAGAGAGAGAGAGAGACTAGCCCAATGGGTTTAGCCCTATTACTAAGCCCTTGTAGGCTTAGATCTACCATTATCTAACCCTTCCCCTCAAGTTGGAGCATATAAATCATTGTCCTATGCGTGTCACACAAATACATGACGTGAGGATCTTTGAGAGACGTATTAATGGAGACTTTAGTAAATTGATCAATGAAAGGTTCATAGTACTAATGCACTGAAATAACACCGCCACTTGGATAAAGTGGCAATCAATCCAATTTTGAGTAGGTAACCAGTACTTGTATTTCCTTCACCGATATTTCAATTTCTGACTTAGTGACTTCTTCAAGCTACAGCTGACATTTCATCCATCTACAACAAATAAATGAATGATGTCGTCTAGGTTCTTTAAAAAATATATGCAATCATCAAGCTGACTATGCAAAGATTGCCTCAGGGCCTGTTTCACCCTACATAAGAATATCTTTGGCTTGCACACAAATATTCTTTCGTGGTATGACAAATCCTTTGAGATCTTCCTTGAATTTGTTGCTCAAGAATGCTATTATTTTACATATCGATTTGTTCACTCAAGAGTGAGAAATACCAACTAGTGGTATTCATCAAAGAAGTAATGCTTTAGGGAAATTATCCGTGTGCTTTCTTCTTTAATATTCACAGATAATACGAGAAGTGAGTGGGAAAGGATCTCAGGCTTCTTTTAATTTTGCTGTGTGACATTCCCAACATCAGGCCAAAAAAATAAATAATAATGATTGGAAGATTTTCATGCATTATTTTATTTTATTTTTTCCCTAATTTACTTGCTATCTCATGGTTATATATATACACATATTAATTGATTTGTTACAATCTGTGCCTTTCAGCGCTTGCTTACAGCGGGATGAACTATGGTCCTCCCCCCAATGGGTTTGCAGGGAAGTATCAGAACAACAACAGATATCCCAACCAGGTCTGACACGAATTTTGTTGTTTTGATAGAAGTAGTTAATTGCATTGCAAGATATTCTTGCTGCGGCTGTTTATGATGTTGTGATCTTTATTCTGAAACTTCTTTTTTTGATCCTGAGTCTCTTGTGTTTAATTTCTTCTTCCTGGATGCATATGAAATCTAGACGTCCATGCATTCTTTATGTCTTTTTTTTTTTTTTTTCTGGGAATATATATCATTTCTTAACTTCTGGTTACAATTTAATATAATGTCAAAATAGTTTTTTTCATAAAGAGTGTGTTCAATAAGTGTTTTCAAATCTGTATGATTTTTGTTGTTAGTTATTTGAATTGTGAAAGTGTTTGGGGAGATTCTTATATTGTTTGAGTAAATTTAGTTATATTTCTAGATGTTTTACGAGAGGAAAAAAGTGTCTTTTTACTGGAAAATATGAGATTTTCTTTTAATTGGTAATTGTACGAAAATAAAGGCTCTGTTCATGCAGCGTTTTGGATGAAATGATTTTTGGTGTGTGATACGGGGAATTGTTTCAAAAATATAAAATATATTATTTTAGGTTGAATATTTTACTTCTTGAGTATTTGTAATGATTTTTTTACTTTTTATAATGAGTATGTTGATTTTTGTATAAAATATTGTGTTTTCTATTTCTTATTTTGGGAATCATAATTGAAAAATGGTCCTCGAGCGGAAAAAACAAACTCTAAGGGTGTGTTTGTTTGTGGGGTTTTAGTTTTTTGAGTTTGGGTTTTCAATAATAAAATTTTGAATTGATATAGTTGCTTGATGTGTGATATAATATGTATTAATGTGATGATTTGAATGTAAAATTTAATTTTAATGTAATATAATAAGTGAAAATTAGGTCTTTAATTTTGAAGTATTATCCATTTGGCTTACGAGCAATTACTGAAATGTAATGTGCAGCCACAGGAAGATAAAACAAGTTCTGTGACCATCGGCATTGCAGACGAACATATCGGAATTGTTGTTGGCCGCGGTGGGAGGAACATCATGGAGATGAGTCAGGTCTGTAATTTCCCCTTTTTTTTTTCAAACTTTTTGCAGTTGAATGCCATTTCCGACTATTTTCCTCTTTCTCCTTACAGCTTAGCGGCGCCAAGATTAAGATATCTGACAGAGGCGACTTCATGTCCGGGACATCAGATAGGTACAAAAACAACTACAACAATAATAAACAGTCTAATCCCAGATAGTTTTCTCACAAATATACCATTTCAGGAAAGTGACGATCACGGGGTCTCAACGAGCCATAAATCTAGCCGAATCCATGATATCGCGAAAAGTTGCTGCAGCAGCCACCCCCGAGCAATAAGCCTTTTGCTGGATTCAATTTGGTACGTCGATCTCGTCTCATCTTGTCTGTGTTTTGTTTCTCTTTTTCTTCTTCTGTCTCTCTCTCCCTTTTTCTGTGTTTTATGTTAGAGAGTGAAACTAAGTCGATATGCGCGCGCAAGTTATAAGTGTGGTTATGAACATAAACATGAACATGGAGCTCATAAATCATATCTAATTTGCTTCCCATTTTCCTCATCAAAACTATTTGACATACATCTCTCACACTATGATCTGTATACTGTTGTAGTAATTTGATTCAAATTTTGAGATTTGTTTGCTTAAGTTTTGCATTGTTGTTGCTACTATCATGAGTATATTAAATCTGCATGTTCTAAATTAAATGTTTATGAAATATAGTATTATTTAAATTTTATTTTATAAGCGTTCCGAAAGAACACATTATTTTGCTATACATTTGGGTGGGGGTGGGGGGTGGGGAGATATATATATATATATATATTTAGTCCTATATTATTCCATTTCTTGTTCTGGCCATTTGATTAAAACTAGTAATAAAGGTGTTTCTTTTGGATGAATTTGGAGAAATTTGGTCTCCGTTTAGTATTAAGATAATGTTTAATGAAATATTTTGCCAGAGAAAAATATGTTTTTTTTTTTTGTTTCTGAGAAATGTAAAGAGCTACTGAAATATTACCATGTAGGTTGAAATGTCATTGTTGGCACTGATATAAACTAGTCACGTAACAATTTTAGCTTTAAAAGTTGGCATGATTTAATTTTGTATGCTATTTATATAAATATATTTGTGCATTTATTTTAAAAATTAGATTAATGTCATATTGGTGTTAAGAATTATCACGTGGCTAGTTTGTATTAGCTTCGATAGTGACGTATCAGGACATGTAGGGTGTGTTTGCTTGTGGGTTTTAGGTTTTGTGTATGAATTTTTGAAGAGTTAAAAAGTTGAATTTGAATGATTGATTGATTGATGTGATATAATTAGAGATTGATATAATGTTTTGAATGTAAAATAAATTAGTAGTATAATATATAAAAATAATAATTATTTGATGTGATATTTTTTAAAGGAAAAATGAACTTGAATAGTAAAAACCTGTCGTGAAAACCACAAAAAATACAATCATAATATTTTGTTATCAATAGATTTTCTCGGCAATTACGATTAGATATGGAATTATTTTTATATAATTTCTTCTTTTTTTTTTTAATCGGATATAAGTTCAATTACCATGATTAGGGTTTGTTTAATTGTGGTTGGAAATTGATTTAAAATTTTGTTTGATTTTTGTTTAAACAGTATTCTGATATAATGTTATATAAGAAGAAATAATATTTTTTTATTAAAAATTGTGTAAAATAAATAGTGTAGATTTTAATTTGAAATGACAAAAGATCACACCCCAAAATGCTTATTTTGTGTTTTGGTTTGAAGAATTTTTTTTATGTCAGAAAATTGATTAAATAATATAAAAATAATAAATGTGTAGTATAATAATTTTTTTTATTAAAACTCATTGAAAACTTTTTGTTAAAAGACAAATCATATATTCCCTCCATAAAAATGCATTGAAAATTTTTTGTTAAAAAACAAATTATATCCATTTGCTTTTTTACGTAGTTTTAAAAATATTAGTATTATATTGGGATGTAGTAGGAATAAAGTAGAAATGATTAAAATAACCTTAATATAAAATGTAATGACATTTGTGTAAAAGTAGATAGTACAGTTAAAAAAAAAATATTTTGTTATGGAACGAAGAGAGTATCTATTACCGGATATATATTTGCCTTCAACTTCTATTTTTATATCTATTTATATCTTCTAATCATCTAAAAAAATTAAGGGTGTGATTGGTTACTTCTATTTGTATACTATATACATATACTCCTCCAAAATAATTGTTAAAGAGTTAGTTTTTATTTTTTTATTCTTGTTGTCTCAAAATAATTGTTCTCTTTTTTATTTAGTAATAGTGATTTTTATTTTATACTAAAATTATTTTTATTTTTTTCAAACTATTTTAATTATTATTTTAACTTATTTTTTTTATTTTATTTTTTTAAAATAAGAGCATTTTAATCTTTTATATTTTATTTTGTATCATTTTTAATTAAATATTATTATTTTTTAATTTTTGTGTAACTCTCTAGGATGGAGAGAGTATTATATTTTTTTAATATAATTAATAATATTAATAATTTAAAAATAAATTTAATATATATGATTAAAAATAAAATTATGTATTTAAATATTTTAAAATTTATATCGCAATACAAAATATATTGAAGAAAATAATTTTTTTATAATACAAGGAAATAAATGGAGTTTTAAATATAAAAAAATAATTTTTTTTAGGAGCTAAGATAAAAATAAAGGGGTTTTAAGTGAGTTCTATGTTATATATATATATGATATTATATGTTATGTAATGAATTAAGTTGATTTATTTTTGTGAAGTATGTTTATATATAGGTGTGTTTGTTTGAGGGATTGGATTTAATATACACTATTCATTCAATTTTTTTCCCTAAAAAACGTCAAATCAAACATCTATTTTTTATTTTTTATATTATACTAAAAATCAATTTTACATTCAAAACATCACATCAACACTTATTTATATCACATTGTACAACTATTTAAATTCAAAATTTTTACTATTCAAATCTCAACTCAAAATCCAAACCCTCAAACAAACACACCCTAATGAATTTATCTAAAATAGAAATATGTCAATTGTTATTGGATAAACAAAAATAAAATATGTATCAATTGTTATAGGACAATATAATTTTCATTTATAGCAAATAATTTTTACATAAATTTTAATTTATATATTCAACATTACATTTATTTATAAATTAAGGGAAAAAAGTAAAAATAATTCAATTAGTGTCTTATAATACGCTAATGCAATAACATTTGTACAAAAAATTATATAAATATAAAATTATTTTTAATGTTAAAAATAATGATGCCAAATATAAAGAGAAAGATTAGTGGTGGACGGAGATAATATAATACAAATAATTACAGGTTAAAATTAATATAATTAATTAAAATTAAAAATATAATTATAGTAAAATTTAAAATATGATTAAAATATAAAATTATTTTTTTAAGAAATAACAAATTGTATGAGACTGAAAAAATAATACTCCCTCCGTCCGGCTCTAAGGGTCTCATTTACCTTTTATGTCATTATATTTAACAATAAAAATATCTTTATATTTGTATAATTTTTGCACAAATTTAATGAATAGGATTTTTAAAGCCAACCGAATGTAGTACTAACTTTTTATGAATATATAAAATATACTCCATCCATCTCATGTAATATGAGCACGTTAACGTAGACACGATAATTTAGGTAAAATATAATTACTAAGTAATTACGAAATGTATTTGAAAAAAATAATTATTATACAGTAAAAGTAATTATAAATTAAAATTAAGATAATTAAATAGTTTAATTAAAATTTAAAAGTGAATAAAATGTACAATTATATTTTATAAAAATAAAAGTACAAATTATGTAAGAATGACAAAAATATAAAATAAAGACATATGAAAAGAGTATATTGTATATATTATGTTATTATATATTTATATTATATCTTTTAATAATATTTATTAAAAATAATCTTACATGTGAAACCTATATTGTTATCAACATATATATATATATATAGAAGTAATTGTTAAAATACTTATAAAGTTGCTTTAAAGTTTCAATATTTTGATCCAATCAATTACTTTTATTTTTAAATCCAATTCAGGTATTCTTCAAATTGTTTAAATGTATTTTAATATACTTAAAAAACAAAAAACCTAATATTTTGTCTGTTCCATTTTAATTTTTTTTTGTTTTGTTAATTTCATTTCAATTCCATATATTTTCTATTTTTGATAAATTACTAAATTTAAATATGATTAACATATATAAATTAATTTAATTAAATTTATAACATACATGTAAGACTAGTTCACTTATTTTTTCAATAAACAAATATTATTATATATATTTAAAATTGTACATATTTTTATAAATTTAGTTTATTATAATTATAAATAAATAAAAAAATATTTGTATTATTTAAAATTTTATTTTCTAAAATATAATTTATATATTACAGATATAATATTTAAACTATTTAAACAATATTTTAAATTTATTTTAATTATATATACTAATTCTTATTTTAAAACTCTAACAATATTACTCACAAAAAAAATAATAAAATAGTACCTTTGTTAATATAAAATATTTAAAACATAATAAAAATAATATTTCAATAATTTTTTACACTTAATTCAAAATAATTTTTTTAATAATATATAGAAGATTAATTAATAAAAAAATATTGATAATATGTTTATTTTGTGAAATAATTTAATATTTTTTTTTTATGTGAGTTATAAAAATTATATAAATATATAATACATTATTTTTTAAAAAAATATATATGTATAAAACATCTCCTAATCCGTTATACATTTCATATTCTACTTCTTTATTTGAAAATTAATTATATTTTAAATTTATTAAATTAACTATTTGTCTCAATTATAATTATTTTTATTAATACTATATTTTTTAAAAATAATTTGATGCGATATACAGGACGGTGGATGGATGAAATAGTATTAAATATATTATTATTATTATTTTTTTCAGAAATAGGAAAATTTCCAAAATTGTGATAAAATGAATTGTCATATCACTCAGAGACAATCCTCCCTTCGGCTATGGCGTGCCCGACCTTATCACCGCCGCAACTCCTCCGCCACCCGGCGGCGCCTTCCTCCTCCTTCTCCACAAAATTTCCTGTTCTTTTTCCCTCCGCTCTCCCTCCGCTCATTCTGGTGGAGCCTCGGAGACTCCGCCACTGCTGCGGCGCCGTCTCTCTCGCCGGAGTTGATAGCGCGGCTGTTATACAGGACGCCGGCGCCACCGTGTTAGTCGTAGGAGGCGCTTATGCTCTCGTCTCCACTTTCGATGGCCTCACTCGCCGCCGCATCATCGAGCAGGTTAGCGATTCGATTGCTCTGCCATCCGCCGCCTGATTTGATTGTTTTCATGCATGTTTGCGTTGAGCGAGTTTTCCGATGTGCGGATTTTTTCCTGCGTTCTCTATGTGATAAATTGAGTTTTTCCTGAGCTTTAAGTATCCATTACTGTGGTTGGGGAATTGGATCTGATCTGATAAACTGACAGCGATGAAGATAAGGCTATTTTGATGCTTTTGTACTGCAATTGATTGATTGTTTGGGCATAGAAGTGAAAATTCAGTTCACTACGGATTTGATTTTGGACGCAAATAGGTAAACGGAATGTCTTCTGCAACACTGCTTCTCTTCACATGATGAAATCATTTAGGAATTCCAAAATTAGCATCCTGAATTTTTTAATCTGCAGCACTGTTATCTGCACATGATGAAATGACTGAGGAATTCCCAAATTAGCAGTAACTCTGTCGAAATTTTCACTTGCAACTTCAACATAAATGAGTTCCAAAACTAGCAGTAAATTACAATAATTTCACCTGCACCACTGCTTCTTTTCACATGATTAGATTTCATTTCCATTGTTCCCTCTTTGTTCTTTACAGTTCATCAATAGGGTAGATACATTTACATTTAATATAGAGGTAAAGATAACAGAACTTTATATGCATCTGTAAGAGTCAGTCCTACTCTACATTGGGGATGATGTTCTGAAATTTTTTTTACTGTAATACAAATTTTATTGGAAGGTTGTTTGAGTTTCATTAGATTCCCTTTCTTTCAAAAGAATTTTGTAGTGGATTAAAAAATAGCATTACATGTAAGTGAATTTGTGTAGATCTTGACTTTAATCTGATCGAAAGTGAAGTTTAGGATAGTATTTGGGTAAACCAAAGTAAGAACGATAAATTGGTAATCGGGTAGGACGACGTAGATGGTAAATGGAAATGGGCTATTTAGGCGGTTCAATACTAAATGAAAAGTTAAGACTATTTAGGATGGGACGGTGAAAGTATCCCTTTAGAACGGCTACCGATTAAGCTAAGAAAGAATCACGAGCAGATCGAGACTTGGAAAAGATACTTGCTTATTATATCACACGAAACTATCCCACAAAAACATGCTTATTACAACATTGAAACTTTTGTCGTTATTAATTATTTGGATGGAAATGTGATAATATGGTGCTTGACTGCTTGTTGTGCAATGAAAAATCTTTCAAACAAACCAAGAATGGTGTGATTGATGCCATGTCTGTGAGATAGCAAGTTTTTCTTTTAAATTTTTTTTTTTTTTTATTACTAAATTAAATCTTTCCTCGACTGTGGCGACAGAACCTGAGCAGGAAACTAGTTCACATATTGTCGGGTTTGCTCTTCTTGGCGTCGTGGCCAATCTTTAGGTATGATCTGCTTTTATGTTTAAACATTTTTTATTCGCATTTTGCATTAACGTAACTCGGGGCTATACAACTGATTTTGATCTTAGATCAGCACATCTAGAGGGGCGCGTTACTTCGCATCACTCGTTCCTTCCTTGAACTTCTTAAGGCTTGTGATAAATGGTCTTTCCTTAACCAAAGACGAAGGGCTCATAAAATCCGTTAGTCGGGAGGGAAAGCCCGAGTAATTCCCAAGTATCATTGTGAATCATCTTTCAAATTTCTTGTTATCGATAATTGAAGATTTTAAAATAAGTTTTGTCACATTTTTCTTTTAGGGAATTGCTTCGCGGCCCACTTTATTATGTTCTTGTGTTGATTTTATCCGCAATATTGTTTTGGCGCGACTCCCCCGTCGGAATGATTTCACTCGCAATGATGTGTGCTGGTGATGGTAATGTTTTCGAATTTATTCGTTTCTAAGTGGTTTCTTATGTTCCGTAAATAATCCATTTATTGATCGAGCTTATTCAATCGTAGGTATTGCCGATATCATGGGACGAAGATTTGGCGATCTGAAAATTCCTTACAATCCGCAAAAGAGCTTGGTCGGGAGCATGTCCATGTTTCTTTTTGGCTTCTTGGTTTCCATCGGGTATGTCTACTTGCAAAAACTTTCATCGCAAATTCGGTTGCTTTGAATATGATCTTTAGTTAGTTTCTACTCCCTCCGTTTGCTTTAAAATTTTGGACATAAATTTTAACGATTGTGTAACTTTTACTATCCGCTGTGTAAAAATAAGTTCATTTAGTTTGGTATGAATTTTAACGTTGCTGCCTTTTATAGTAAAAAAAAATTAGAATGTTTTATAATTAAAAAAAAAAAAGAGAATTCTTTTTATTACTGCACATAAAAGAAAAATGAACATATATTTTGATGAAAAATGAGTATATTACTTCTTTTGTCGCATAAAAAATATGATCATTTTTTTGTCTTTAATTTAAAAATATATTATCATTATATATTTTAAGTGAAAAATTATATTTTCTCCATTCAGTGTTAATATATACATTTTTCTATTTTTGTATGTCCTGCGTTAATATATACATTTTTTTAGTATTTATTTTACTTTCAAATGTAAGATTGTCTTTATATCATTTTTAATTATTTAATACAATTAAAATATTATTATCTTTTACATTCTGCATATGCACTTTGATGTGAGATGAAAAGAGTGTTAGTTTTTGTGTATAATATTTTTTTACTATGAAATATCTAGAAAAAAATAATAACAAAAAATATACATTTAGAGTAGAATTTGTGCCCAAAAGTATAAGCACAACGGACCGAGGAAGTATAAAATAACACAAATTTTATGGAGTTAATTTATGCGTAACTATTTTTTGATTCCTTGTGACTATAGCATGCTCTACTATTTTGAGATGCTCGGGTACGTTCACCTCGAGTGGTTCAAGACGATTGCAAGGGTTGCGATCGTCTCGTTGGTCGCAACCATGGTCGAGTCGCTCCCGATCACTGGAGTCGTTGACGACAACATCTCTGTCCCATTGGCCACCATGGTATGTGCATCGATTCTTTTTCATGACTAAAGCTTTTTATTTGGGGTGTGTTTTTCCGAAACTCGGAAAAGTTTATCTCATAAAACAAGGCTAAATGATATATATACCCCAAGGGTGTGCTCTTTTTTACTTGGGCTCCGTTTACACAAATACTTTTATTAGAATTTTTTATACTATTTATTTATAATAATTTTTTTTTTAAAAAAATACCATAATATTAAGATACTCTATACATATATATTTATTTCAAATTAAAATATATTATTTATTTGATATAGTTTTTAATTAAAATATATTATTTAAAAGATTTTTATAAAATATCACATTAAAATTGTATCAGTTGAAATTTTGTATTCCCCGTGCAGGTGGTATAAAGTATAAATATTTTTATTTTGGGATGTCCAATTACAAATAAACATTTCATTAAACTACTCAAAAAAAAAAAAAAAAGGGACAAAAATGTTATTTTACTATTATTAACTAGTATTAAATATTATAGAGTAAATGAATTAATAAATTTAAAATTACGAACAAGTATGACCGAAGTAGTTCAAAAGTTAGTTCATAACCAATTCATCGATCAATTTGGCCCCATTAACGAAATTAGTAGTATTGTTATGTAATAAAACTTTCCGCTCAGAAGTTACAATCAAACTAAAATTATGAATAAAACCTTCCAATTTTGCATTCTTGTTATATATGTATTTAAATAATTATTTCACAATTTTTAATTTATATTAATTTTTGGTGCTTGAAAGTAAGTTTCGAATGTATTATATCAACACATGTGATAATATTTTTGAATAAAATCAGATTATTTTTAACTCCAATTAAATGATTAGAATGATAAATAATGCCACATTTGGTTTTGAAGAAAAAAAATTCTTCATATATATTTATCAAACAAAATTAATATATTACATATATTCATTATTTTTATATTATCAACATAATTATTTAGAATTTTATTTTGATTTTGAAGAAAAAAAAAATTAGATGAATTATAAAAAAATTGAATAAATAATATAAAAATAATAAGTATATGTAATATATTACTATTATTTTTGAGAAAATGTTTTGTATAATTAAGAAAAAGAACACATCCTTAGTTTGCCACATAAAAAAAATAAAAAAAAAAAATATACCTTCAAACTATTTAACAAAACAAAAACACCTTGTACGGGAATAAATGACGGATCTGTGACCGTGATGTAATGGATTCAAAAATCCCGATGCCTTCAGATCACGTGTTAAATATTGTTAGCCTATTGTGACTTGTTTTGTCGGATCTAATTTTTCAAAAAAATATTTTTATTTTTTTTACAAAATATAATATCATACATTATTTTAATACTAAACTAAAATCAGAATTTTCTAAACCATATCAAAAGAAACAAATCGGGGGAGAGGGAACAAATTCGTATCATATACTTATTTTTATAAAGAAATTTTCTTATTTTTTCGATGAAAATATGTTACTTTATTTTTATAAAATAAGAAAATTACTTCAATCAATTTATAATTATTCAAAATACTTTTATATTTTTAATAATTAATTACAAAAATAACAATAAATCATGAATACTAAAAGCACAAATTTATATCCAATTTTTTAAAGAATGACCTGATAGTAAGGACGAGACTTGTGACTGTGAGATAATGAGTTCAAATTTACTTTCAATTCGGTTGTCCGATTCGATTTTTTTGAATCCACTTAAACTTGAGGAGTAGTCACCCCGGATCCGGTTCAGTTTGGATTCGGTCTCAGATTCAAGACCCTTTTACATTTATATTTATATCCAAATTAAGATTAAATATCATTTTCACCAATATTTGTAAAATCTCAGTAATTAAATTGTATTGACGATTGCTTCCAATTTAAATATATATAAAAAAATATCTAATTAATAATAAAAATATAACGCTAAAGAGATAAAATAAATAAAAATTAAAACTCAAAACCATCAAATTACAAAATAAATATTCTTCTTTTTTTAAAAAAGAAAACGGTCCGATTTATTATTTTCAAGCAATACAAAAATAAAAATATGCAATATGTATTTTTTATTCCTTTATTTATTATTTTTATTTTTAAATATATTTGAAAAATACAACATTGAAATATACTTCCTCCATCCCTTTTGAAGGGAGCCCTAACTAGATTAAGAAATAATATTATTTTATTAATTAGTAAAAATGTATAAGAGATTTTGATATTTTTGCCATTTTGACATTTTGTATAAAATAATTATATGGGTAATGATATATTTGTAATATAAGTAAAATGTAAGAATATTTAGATATTAATGTATTATTATTTTTTCTATGATATTTTGAATTAGTACGGAAAAAATATATTTTTAATAGTATTATTTTAAAATTTTAAAAATTAACTCACTTATATCATACTCTAGTTCCACCTCTGATTAACTGTTATGAATTTGTTATATTTCCCATAGAAAAGGGACATGCATAATTCATGTTGCTTAATCTTAAGATCCATTTATTTTTTACATATTTTATTTTCTGCTCGAATTATATTATTTATTTATTTGATCTGAAATTGATTTAAAATTTTATTAGTGTTCTCGCTCAAAATATTTTTCGTTGATTTATTTGAGCGAGGGAATCGAAATTTGCACTACAATATATATATATATATATATATATACACTAAACTTGAGTAAAATAGAAAGGTTACCATCAAGCTATAACTTAAAATTTGTGTTATTATTTTAACTTAAAATTTATGTTATTATTTTGTTAGTTAATATATATAAATATATATTAAATTTTAAAAATTAGTTATAAAAAATCGTGCCGGGCTAGACACCGTCCAAATTTTATGGGCCCAAGCACGGCCGGTTTACTTGGCATGCGGAGTCGGATATGATCCAAAAAATTTTGAACTTATTTTTTAAGGCTGATCACAAATTTTTCATGTTGAATTTGAATCAAATTTTCGGAGTCGTGTTTATTTTTGTCTATCCCTAATAATATACTTCTTTCATTCCATAACAAGTAACCTAAAGTCTTTTTCATTTTATGTGACTCTTTTTTATATTTGGTAAAACTTATTAAATTAAACGTATTTAATAAATACTCTATAAATTGACTTAATTAATTTAATACTTTCTACGTGTCTGCTACACTGTAGACACGGTATTTTTATGAGGGGTGTAATTAGTAGATAATTAAGAATGTATTAGTGAAAATAGTTATTCTATAATATAAATAATTATAAATTAAGATTAAGATAACTAATTAGTTTAATTAAAATTAAAAAAAAAATAAAAATTTAAAATGAGATTAAAGTGTGTAATCATTTTCCAAAAAATGAAAGTAACATGATATGTGGGACAGACAGAAACAACAACGTGGACATAGTATCTAGGACGGAGGGAGTAACATATAACATCATGCATACGATTCACTATAAATTCTTTTATTTTTATCTCTCCAATTAATAAAGAAATATTTTTATTTGAATTTAAAACTACTCATCTTTTATAAAATTAGTTTATCTTAATTATAAATAAATAAATATTATTTATTTGTATTATATAAAATTTTAGTCTCTATCAAATAATATTGCTATTATATATATTTTATTAAGATATAAAATTTAAGATATTTAAAGACACATTCTAAATTTATTTTATTCATATGTATTATTATATTAATATTTACTTTAAAAATATTATATACATAGAAAAATAAAAAAAAATATTATAATTAATTGATATTAACTAATTAAATTTTATTACTTAATACTAGTATCTAAAAAAAATAGATCTTATAAAATGAAATAGGGAAAATACAATTAAAAATAAAATTGATAGTAATATTTTAAGCTGGGCTCGAAAATCTAGATCTAAGCACAATCCGGTGTGAAATATATTGGCCCCGATTGGCCCATTATTTTTATTTTAATAATATTTTACTAATTAAATTTTTTTAGCATGTAATTAGTGTAATTTTTCATTGAAAAATAAATCATATTAGTCTAAATGAATAGTCATTTGTATTTCAAATTCAAATCAGTGCTACTATTTGATTTATAAGATTTTTAATTTAATGGAAAAGTTATCATTTTTTATTTTTGTCCGTTCCATAACAAGGTTACCATTTTCTAATTTAGTAATTGTACTGTCTACTTGATATAATAAATACCTTTTTCAACTTACAATATATTAGACAAATGTTATTACTTTTATATTACACCATATTAACAGAGGTATTTTTGTCTTTTTTACTATAATTCAATATAATACTAATATTAAAAAATCTACTTGAAAAAAGCAAACACCACCCTTTCAATGGGACGGAGGGAGTATAAGTTATATTTTTCATCAAATAAAAACCCCAATCTTGAATTAAAACCAAACAAGCCCCTATATTTTTACGAATAATTAATGATTCAAAAAAGTTTTTTTAGAGGAGATATTAAATTTTCGTTTATTTTAAAAAATAATTTTTTTTATGGTATATCATTATTAATATTTTATTATTATTATATATATACATATATTTTTCACAATTTTGGGCCTGTGAAAGATACTAAGGGTGTGTAGGTAATATATTTACCTCATTTATTGTATAAAACTTGAATTATTATGTTTATATTTACACTTAAATATCAATTTTGGACGAATATGATATTTTGTGCAAATTTTAATATAATACAAGAAATTTCATGCAATAATTCTTTTTAAAACAAATATTTTGTGCGTTTTAACTTCAAAAAAAAAAAAAAGAAATGTTATATTATCCGTACCCTATTTTTATACCATTTATATCTGACTCTAAGTATCTCATTTATTTTTTCTGTGTTATATTTAAATATTAATTATTATATCAAAATATAGTATAATTTTTTTAAAAAAAATTAAAAAATACTTCTATCGGTGTATTGTAATAATAATAGAATAACATTTGTAAAAAAATATATATATATATAAAAATATTTTTAATATTAAATATAATGACGCAAAATATAAATGTGACCGTTAAATACGTACTATTTAATTTCAATTTTTTAAATCATATTTATTTTTTTGCTAATTCTAATTTTAATAAATAAATAAATAAAAACAGGTATCATACACTTTACCGCGATGGAGATTTTA